TAACTCCCACTGGCATTTTTCAAAAATATTTACAGATATTTTAATCTTGATCTCTAATGCAAAAACCATAACTCTGGAAAATGAGAACATCTGAACAACAAAATTATCAAACTGAATGAATACGAAGTACTTTTATGTATAAACAATTGTCACTTTTCATTCATAAATACTATAATTTTTTTCATTCATAAATACTATAATTATTTTACCATTGATAAATCATTTTCTCATTATTTATGCAAAAAAATGTCATTAAATTAGTCATGCCTTGGTCTATTTTATACATTTTAAAAACATATATATGTCAAATGATAATTGTGTTTCTCTTAATTAGTTATACCAAAAAAAATTTGAAAATGTATAAAAATATTAAGATAGTTTTATTTTGCTCTCCAATCCAAACAAGATGCACTGTAAGCTACTGTTCACTTATAAATACTCCTGACCTGCTTTTGAAAGTAGAAAAAACATGGAACAATAGATGTTTTTTGTGCATAGCTGGAAATTATAGGAGATAGAGAAAATATCATCATATCAAAAGTACTGAAAATTCAGATATTATTGTGTGCATTTATTATTGCAACTTTGAAGATTGGATAAAAATGAGAGTTTATTTATTGCAATTTTATGAAAAGCTACATACAAATATATGTATTTAATATCAGAATGCGAGTTCTTATTATTGCGATACTCAAGTAGTCACATTATTAGCATTAAATAACAAGAATGTGTCTATAGTACACAGATGCCCCACTCGCACTATCATTTTCTATGTTCAGTGGACAGTGAAATTGGGGTCAAAACTCTAATTTGGCATTAAGATTTGAAAGATCATATCATAGGGAACATGTGTACTAAGTTTCAAGTTGATTGGACTTCAACTTCATCAAAAACTACTTTGACCAAAAACTTTAACCTGAAGTGGGACAGACGGATGGACTGACAAACAGACGGACGAACGAACGTACGCACAGACCAGAAAACATAATGCCCCTACTACTCTCGTAGGTGGGGCATAAAACCTCCCATTAATTTCTGAATTTACAGTATCAGAATACCATTATCTACCAATCTATAAATATAAGGAGATGTGGTATGATTGCCAATTCATGAGACAGTTAATTGTCCACTACAATACAAATGACAAGGATAGACATGGCATAACTCCATGTCATTAGGACTCTAGTGGACAGTCTTATGGCCACAATGATTTTTCCTGTATCTCCTATAATTTTCAAATTGATGCATAAACTAATAAAATGCTTCGCTGAGCGCAGCCTGATACGACCGCAGAGGTCGATCCCTGAACAGTTGGAGCAAGTTTGGACACAATATTCAAGCTTGATACTGTCTGAATTTGGATTGTGATCAAATTTTTGACATAATATAGGTTTCTGACACAAAATAAATGTGGACAAAGATCTAAAAAATCTATTGCGCAATACTTTCAATTGAAGATTTCTTCTTGAAACTTTTCAAATGAATTGCTTTGCTGAGTGCAGCTGGATACGACCGCAGATGTCCAACCCTGAACAGTTGGGGCAAAAATGGACACAATATTCACGCTTGATACAGGTCTGAATTTGGATTGTAAATAAATATTTGACACATAATAGGTTTCTGACACAGAGTAACTGTAGACAAAGAACTTAGCATTGGTTATATGAATTGAATTTATATACTTTTTGCTTTGGAGCAATACACTATGCTGTTGCGAATAGACCCCCCCCCCTTCCCCCCCCAAAAAAAAAGAAAGGTTAACCTCCCCTTTTTTGCTTTTGTGTAATACACTATGCTGTTGCGAATTGACCACCAACCCCATCCTACCCCCCCCAAAAAAAAATTTACCCCCCTTTTTTGCTCTTGTGCAATACACTATGCTGTTGCCTATTGACCCCACCCCTCAAAAAAATCATTTACCCCCCCCCCCCCCCCTTTTCCCCTTTTTTTTGCAAATAGTCCAAAACCTGACATTTCTTTAAACATAATTTACAAGTTATGTAAGGGAGGTAAATCCAAACATACAAAACATTGTATTTTAAATGTATATGGATTACCTCCTTTACACTGCTTTTAAATTGTCTTAATTGTCCATTAACCAGAAAAACCTAGTTTTTTGGCCCCTAATTCCTAAACTATTGGGACCATTACCCCCAAAATCAATCCCAACCTTCCTTTAGTGGTATTGAACCTTCTGGTAAAAATTTATAGAGATCCATTCAATTAAACTAAAGTTATTGTCCGGAAAATAAATGCGTCTTCGGAAGACGACGCAGAAGCAGACGACCACATGATAGCATTATACGACGCAAAAATTTTTTGCGGTCGTATAAAATATATGCTGATCCCCTCTGTTCTTCTTTTTAGCAACAGTGGCAATGTTTGTTGATTGATTAAATACCCATATAAAATGTATGAACACCATGCCATAAGGATCATTTACGTAACTATATAATCTGAATAAAAGATAGATCCCGTGTCGACAATTTGCTTACAAGGATCTGACAACACTCTATTATACTTTCTGTTTTAAAGACCTTTCATTATCCGCTAGTTTTCAGTCCAGGTGTAGGAAATAAAATTCATGATGTCATAAATAAAAAACATTTAAATTTTTCTTGGAAATACATCTGGTAGAGTATAAGGTGAATTTTCAAATATTTTTGTTTTCTTTGCAAGTATAGAATAAATGGGGGGAAAACCTAAATAATTTACACAGTGTTTGTTTATATACTCAACACATCTCATAAATATTATCTTTGATGTTGCATGCACTAAATATTTTCTATCTTAAACAAAAAACATGTAAAAGCTATTCAGTTTTTGTCATTAATTGTTCATGTTGTTTAATTAAAGAAACATTAAATTATTGCCATATTTTACCTAAAAATCTTACTGAATATTCATAATACATTGTATTTGAAAGGCACTACAATTAAGATTTTTAACATACCTTACTAACTTAACATAAAACTCATATGATGATGAATTTGATTTAAAAAATTTAGGACAAATCAGGCCATTAGCTAAACATGCAACCTCCTAATAATATTATACAAGGGAAGACACCAGCAAAATCCCCAGTATGTAAATTGGATTATTAAGGGATTTTTTTAAAAATGTATTGTCAACTGACTAGGATTCATGTACAAGTATATGTAATAGCCACTTTAGAAGTAAATGAAATTTTTCGTCAAGTTCAATTGTTTTATTCCTTTTGTAATGAACTTAATTGTGTTAGTCTTTTTAAAAGACCATTTTTTTTCATATGGAGATGTGGTATGATTGCAAATGAGATAACTATCTACCAGAGTTCAAATGACAAAGACAAAGGCAATTATAGGTCATTGCATGGCCTTCAACAATGACAAAGACTGACCCATATTGTATAGTCAGCTATAAAAGACACTGACATGAAAAATGTTTAACAATTCAAATGAGAAATCTAATTGCCTAATTCATAACAAAACAATTTATGAAAAACTAATACGATAGGTGTGTGGAAACCTGTCACACATTAGTGGTACTTCTTGTTGCATATTAAGCTGTAAATATTCTGAGAACTGTTTGCTAGGATTTCAAAATAATTACTTTTTTTCATATTTCTTTTTGCTTCAATAAAATTTCATTATTTCTTTAAATGTCCTAACAAAGGTTACATAACATAGCAAAGGTTGTATAATAAAGTGATCTTTGAGTACTTCACATAAAACTGCAAAAGCACATTCAAAGGGAGATAATTCAACAATCACATGAAACAAGAGACTCACATAATTTCATCAAGTAGTTTATATTACTTATGAATTGTAGCTATACAATCATGACAATAGCATGTGAATCAGTTTTAAATGAAGAGTATCTGAGAAAAGTCTTCATCCCTTTAACTAACCTTGTTCTTTCAAACAGGAAATTATCTGCTCTTTGCATTTACATCTTTCATCTAATATAAGGTTTTATAATTTATTTACATAGGATTCCTGCATCTTAGAATAAGACTTAACTATTCTTCCATACGTATAAGAAATCACATCTGAATTCCAGTATAAGGAATACATGTACTGTAAATTCAGAAATTATTGCAAGGTTTTTATTAATGCGAATAATGTGACCGGTTGAGTATCGCAATAATAAGAACCTGCATTCTGAAATTTGATACATATATCTGTATGCAGATTTTCTTCTAATCAAAATAATTAATCTCACAGTTTTATCCATTCTTCCATAATCGCAATGGTAAATGCAATCTGATTAAAATCAGATGTTGTGATAATTGGAGAGTATCGTAGCAAAAAGTAACAGCTGATTTTAATGAGATTGTAATAAATGCACGCAATAATTTCTCAATTTACAGTAATCAAAACCTATTTGTTTTTGTAGCTGTCTGTTCCATGTTTGTAATTGATCACAATTAATTTCTCTTCAGTCAGTGATGCTAAAGGCCAAAATATTTAAAAATTCAAAACCAAATGCAAACATTGAGAAGCTGGAAAACCAAAATGGACCAAGAGTAAAGCCAAACCTGGGAAAGGAATCATAGCTATGCATGAGAGAGATAGATTCCTTAATCTAAAATTATTTCCAAAATTTTATAACAGTTAATTTCAATAATACAATATCCATATTTTATTATGCAAGTACTGAAGCATTGGAAGATCTAGGGGAACCCCCCTTTTATTTTATTTTTTTTTTGTGAATGTTTCATGATGTTCAAAATGGCCTGTGAAGAACTGTTTATCTATTAACATTTTGTTAGTGTACTGTGGATTCATTTAATTTCGTGGATACCAATTTTCGTGGATTGAGGAAAACTTGCATTTTCGTGGATATTTGATTTCGTGGTTTGCCAAAGTCTGCATATAACCTTATAAAAAAATTGTAATTCATTGAACACTTAATTTCGTGGTTCACCTGTACTTAAGAAATCCACGAAAATTGGTATCCAATGAATAATAATGAATCCACAGTATAACTTTTGTACTGTAATATAAAATTGTACGTACCTCTGGTTTAAGAGATACAAGTGGTAATCTCATTGCTAGTTTTAACAACTGGATCATCCCTGTGTATATGATACTCAGTAATTCTTCATTGAAGTCAGATGTCTCCAACTCTTTAAGTTGAGAAAATTCTACATCCTTCCCTTCCAATGAATTTACTATCACTGAAATAACCAAATGTTGATAAATTACTATCAATAACAAGAAATTCACATTCATTTCACAGAATAGTAAAATTGTATTTGGACTAGTAAGTATTTGCAAAACTTTGTTTAGACACATAAGAAGAATGTTGGAATATTGGTCTATCCAGACTAGTATACACAGTTTGAAAAGATTTTGGTGCAGACTGCATTTCTATAGGTTACAAAATTCACATTTATAATTTTATTGCAAAAATGTTTTCATATTTGAAGTTTTTCAATCCTTATGTCAATGTTTATGGCAAAAGACATATCATTCTTTAATAATGGCACCATTTATGACATTTTCTAGTTTAGCAGGAAAAAATTAAAACATTATCAAAGTCACATTCTATAATTTAAAAATAATCTTAAAATTCCAGAAATCATTTTTTTTCTTCACATCACTGAGACTTGACTGTAAGTGTTGCTCTCCACCTATTGTAGTTTATTCAAAATTCTGACCAAATTGCAATTTGTTTGTTCAAGGTAGATGGGGGGTCTAAATTAAAATCCATTGAATTTTTTAATAATTTGTCAAAATGTAGTTTATATAATGCTTTTTTTCAAAAATATAATAAAAAGTATGGGTCACAGAGCATTTTTTCACGCTACAGGTTGTGCAAAATTGTCAGATTTTGTATAGATTATGCATGGAAAACACAATTTTGTATGATAAAAAGAAAACTACACCATAGAATTTTGAGAAGATAGTTTCTAATAATATGCTTTCAGATAAGAAAAAGAAAAAATGGGGTCACCGGACTCGTTTTCTTTCTACATAATAAAATAGGTAAATTCACAACACATTCTATTATAAAAGTTACTTTATCTAAGTTATCTCTCCTTATGTGGCAAAGTTGAAAAAAAAATGAATCCAACAAAAATATTCTGTTTTTTGTAAAATACAGCCGTAAATATGATAAAACACATCAAAATCCAAGATGAAGGAAGACACCCCAGCTACCTCAAATCAAACTGTCCAACTGGTCAGAAATTTTAATGAACATAGTCAAGCCATGAAAGTGCAAGGTGATAAAATAAAGCATACTTTATACCATCATAATAGACTTTAATTCCACTTCATTGATATTATGAAAAATCATTCTTATAATTTCTATACATATTTATATTCTAATTGTCATGAGAAAGGTGATAGGTAGTAGTTTTTGAAATGCTATAAAATATCCAAACTAAGCTTTCATACAATTTTTCTTTAAAAAACCTTTTATATTCAGAAGAATCAGACATGGTTAGAATTAAAACATGCTATATTCAGTAAAATATATGTGAATTTACAATATGTTGTTAATAAGCAGCCATGGGAGATAATCTAAATTCATTGATCTTTTGAATTGTGATCTTATCTCCCTTTAAAACTTTAAGAGAACATGTTTGAGTTCAAATATATTACAAATGTACCAAGTATTTTAGAGATTAATTCAAAAAAAGCTTTGTAGCATGCATAGAAAAACACCATTTTAGAAGAAATAATTCAAAACCTTAAATTTGGACATTTTTTAGTAATTCAAAATTACTACAGTACCCATCACCTTTCGCATGACAATTACAATAACTATATATATATATGTATTGAAATTCTTTGAATGATTTACATAATATCTATGAAGTGGAATTAAAGTTTAATAGGAATGTAGGTACACTGTATGCTTTATTTTATCACCTTGCACTTTCACGACTTGAAGACTGTGTTTTTCTATAGCAGTTTATTTAAAATTTCTGACCAGTTGAACAGTTTGGTTTGATAAATCAAACTGCAATTTGGTCAGAATTTAGAACAAACTGCAACAGGTGGAGAACAACACTTACAGTCAAGTCACAATAACAATGAAGATCATTCAATGCTATAAACAATGAAGAACTATGACACAAGTGCATAGTATTCCTATATATATGTCATGGTGTGTTATTTAGCTTATGTTTTTTTATACAAGTTCATACTATGATATCATTTGAGCCCAAGATCATAGGATATTTTTAGGAAGAATTTTACAAAATTTAGAAAGGACTAGAAAGATTGCGTCAGAAAATATAGAAATAGCTCAAGAGAGAAATAAACGCCAATATGACAAGACAGCACAGGAACCCGAGTTTAGACCTACCCAAAGAGTTTGGCTTTACTGTACTGAAGTTCCCATAGGAAAGGCTCCAAAATTGCATCGTAAATGGGTAGGTCCATATTATATAACACTTGTAAACAGATCAAATCACACATATAGAATCCGTAATTGTGCAAACAACAAAGAAGTGAAGTCACTAGTAACTGCGCATAGGTTGAAGCCATACTATGACCCTAACATTCGACCAGATGAAATAGGTCAACAGGACCATAATCCTAACAATGAAAATAGGAATGATAACATCAGACAGAGAATGAAGACAACAATGAAAGACAGCAACCAATCAGAGAACAGAGAAATGGAGACAAAAACGACAGAGGACAAAATAGAGGACAGCAAAATGGAAACAACAATGACAGGCAACAACATAACAGAGGACAGCGAAATGGTGACGACAAAAAACAACAACCTAACAGAGAACAGAGAGTAGGAGAAAACAATAATCAAAACCAACCAAAAAATCCTCCTGTTGGCAACACCAAACCATCGTGTCAGGATTGCAAATGCGGATAATGTACACCATTTACGGAAGACAACATTGACAGTCTGATGGCTTCTAATCGAGGTAATAGTACACTACATTATAAAATAAAATTCAAAACAGGACAAACCAAGTGGCATTTTCCATGCAAAATTCCAGCAAATATAGTGCGATAATTTCATGCAGACAGAACTATGAGTGGGAAAAAGAGAAAAAGACCTCTCAATCAAAGTAAACATAAATTTTTTAATAAATCTGCCAAACAAGGAGAGGTTGAAAATAATGAATCTAGTGCTAATTCACAAAAGTAATCTGTAAATGTGTTATCAACCAAAAACTACCCTTCCGTAGAATATTCACAACCTGAAAAATTGCTAGCAGTGCATTAAATAAATAAAAAGGCTTATTTTCTTATTCAAACTGAAATTATTCAAAAATGGCATTCAATAACATCTGTTCAAAACCATGCTCACAATTTTATAAATTACTTCACAACAAAATTTGAGGAGAGATTGCTGCAAGACAAATTGAACTTTATTCAGAAAAAAACACCAGGGAACATTGAAACAAGAATTTAGTATCTGTGGTCAAGGATATAAATTACATGAAGCAAGAGTTGGCAATAATGGAAAATTGGAATTCTTATTAAGTTGGATGAACCCAAATATGCCTCTAGAATGGCAGACTTTTGATGAAGTGCCGAATGGGTGCATTGACTCTTTCTTTTCAAAGTTAGTTAGAGAGTTTGAAAGTTAAATAAATCCAATCAGAACATGGTGATTTGTTTTAAACAATTTGTGACTTATCAAGACAGTGAAAAATTGTATTTTAGTAACATGTAAACTTGGTATCCTCAATAAGTTTCAATATGTCAGTGATTAGTATAACATTATAATGTGCATGTACAAGGGATGTGTCTGTAAGAGAATATTGGATAAAATTTATAAGACGATACTGCAACATTTTTGCCAAAATTGTTAATGGATCAATCTCGAATATTAATTAAAATATAGATACATGTGTATCTGCACTTTATAGCTCCAAAATAAGGATTGGGACCCTTCATTTTTCCCTTATGCAAATGATCATTTTAATTTCATTACTGCATCAAAAAATAGAATGTGTCTAAATAAAAAGGAAAAATTGACAGTATACTTTTCTGTAAGCAAGAAAAGATATCTATGTTTTTTATCCACAATAATTTTTTTATTTCATTTTTCAGAAAAAATTGAAAAATGAAAGTATGTGTTTTTATCTGAAATACATAGGTCAAGGTCAAATTGAAATATATCTTGAAAACTTTGTGATGAATATTTTTTCTTTGCATATTTTGAGTACAGCAATTCAAAATTGACTTTAAATCAAAATTCAAAATTGACTTTAAATCAAAATTCAAAAGGAAAAGCCAATGTAAGATTTCTTCAGTATCTAATGCCTTCACATGTTTTAAGGAATTTTTTTCACAAAGCAGGGATTCATTAAATAAACAACTGATAATCATGATAATTTAATAATTCATGTCTGAAACATAATCCCTTTATATATAATACACACAATATGAGACAGGGGCTACCTAATACCTGAAGGTTTTGCTACAAGTCTGTTTTATTTATCATTATACTTTTCGTTAATCAGATAAATAAAATAGTGGGAAATCGTATGCTGATCAGATACAAAATTGAGGGATATGGTATGCTCCTTTCTGTTTATGATGTTTTACAAAAAAATCCAGAAAAGAATGAAAACTAGAATGAGTTGTATGGCAGTCATGGTGTTGAAGGTTTTTTTATGCTTAGTGCTGACCAAAATTGACCTATCTACCATTTACAGTATGTTTTATAAGATGGTATGTGGACAGTAGTAAATCAAGTGCAAATTGACTATAAGATAAGTGAATCCGTTATCTTTACATGATTAAAGACATGTATAAGGGATGGCGTGGTTGGGGAAACCAAAAATCATCAAGGAGCAGGAAAAATTTATCAAAGGGTACGCGGAGCTAAACTAAGTAAGGACACTATTATATTCACAGACAGTAAAGGCCTTGGCCTTCAAGAATTTGTCCCCGACTCTATAGGGGACAAATTTAAAGTACTGCCAGAGAGAGGTGCAAATGTCGATAGTGAGAGCCACACAACAAGAATGTGTCCATAGTACATGGATGCCCCACTAGCACTATCATTTCCTATGTTCAGTGGACCGTGAAATTGGGGTCAAAACTCTAAATTGGCATTAAAATTAGAAAGATCATATCATAGGGAACATGTGTACTAAGTTTCAAGTTGATTGGACTTCAACTTCATCAAAAACTACCTTGACCAAAAACTTTAACCTGAAGCAGGACAGACGGAGGGACGAACGAACGCACAGACTGAAAAACATAATGCCCCTAGGTGGGGCATAAAAATTAACGATCTAGATCAACCCATTATTTTAATCTGGCTAGGAACATGTGAAATTACAAAAAGGACGAACAAGACCATAAAATTCAGAGAATATCTGTATCAGAATATTTAATACACATTATTCCAATACCAAGACTTAAAAGACAAAATAATCAGCTCTCAACCAGGTTACCTTCAAGTACAGTCCTATTTATTGAATGTCCAAATTTCTCATTTACAAGAGCCAACAAAAATAGAGACAAGAAAAAAGGAGTTTATCAACCATTATTAAATTACCCAAAATAAACACTTTCCAGTACTTCTGGTGAATAAAGTATTTCAAGGCTGCACCCAAGTTCAATTAGCATCTAACATATACAAAAAGGTGTGTAGGCAAATCGATTACTTCAATGAACACCTAAATTTAATAGATTCTGTGCAACACCTAGGCTATCACAGAACTGATTTTGTCCAACAAATATTAGACAACATAGAAGGGTTTGATTGAGTTATCCCTGGAACTAACCGAAGATGGGTGCTAGTAATTAATAACAGAAATATATGTGTTTAAGTTAAATAAGGAAGCCTTATTTAACATATTTTTTGTTAAGTTAAGATTAGAGTTTTCAAATTAAGGAAGCCTCCAATTTACATATATACAAGGTAGAAACTGGGGAAGCTCTAGTATTTAAGTTGATCAAAAATAATTAGAATATCAAGTGAATTATTATCAGATATAAAACAATTGAAATAGGGAAGCCTTATGTTCAAGTCAACAAAGGTGAAACATACTGATGAAATAGCATAGATACATAAAACTAAGAAAACACAGTGGGTTCATACGAACCAGGGAAGCCTACAGTGTTGTAATTCTGCATACATCAGTGAGAACACACTTAGAATATGCTAGTGACAGTATCATGAGTATGGGTATCTTTTAAAAAAAAGTAAATAGATAAGATTGAGAATGTACAGAAAAGAGCAACACATCAAATACCAGGTTTCAACAAACTATATATTGTAAGTTCCACAGAAAGACAGAAGAAACTAAGGTTAACTACACTGTTATGTAGGAGAATAAGAGGGGACATGATAGAGACATGTCAGATGGAAAATATGACCAAGAAACAAGTGCATTTCTCAAATTGATAGCAAATAAAGAAAATAGACATAGCACAAGAGTAAATACTGTACATACTCGAGTAAAAGGCAACTTCATTATTTAAATAAATTCCCTGGCAGTGTAATTTGTACTTCCACAATTTACATTTGTTTATGTTTCATGGATGAATGCGCGGAACCATGCACATTCAAATTTTGAATCCAGTTCCTTACCTGGAAGAAGAAGAATGATTTCATTGGTATGTATGTTTGTATGCATGTAAGAAGATCCCTCGGTGAACAGAGCACCCTTCGATAGCTGCGAGGGTACAGTGGAATCTGTGTACACTCCCTATCAGGATAAATGGAGATGTGTCACTAACTTATAAACAACCAGACTCAGAGGGAGTGTTAGGGCATCTGTTATTATGGTGGAGGAAGTAGAAGTACTCAGAGAGAACCACCTGGCTCCTCGGCAGAAACAGACAAATCAAAGACATCTCAACATATTGATCTCCAGGTCAAAGTCAGTGGACACTTTAAAACTACGGTCTGGGTACTGGGTACAGTATGTTTTACAAGATGGTATGTGGACAGTAGTAAATCTAGTGCAAATTGATAATAAGATAAGTGAATCCGTTATCTTTATATGATTAAAGACATGTATAAGGGGTGGCGTGGTTTGGGAAACCAAAAATCATCAAGGAGCAGGAAAAATCCCTCGGTGAACAGAGCACCCCTCGATAGCTATGAGGGTACAGTGGAATCTGTGTACACTCTCTATCAGGATAAATGGAGATGTCACTAACTTATAAACAACCCACCACCTGTATAATCCCCAACCCAAATTAAAAAATGGAATATCTACATTTTTTAAATCAAATTCTTTAAATAAGTCATTAAGTGTAGTGAGGACTTTGTCCCCTATGAAAATATATCCTTCAAACTCACACTGGAGCATTTTTCTGAAAGTCTGTTTGTCGAGTTTAGCCAGTGGTTTTGATATTTTCTTTATCTCTGGTGGTACTCTTGTTCCGTAGAATGGTGTGCGATCAACTGCTATCCTACCACTGCTGCCGGTTACTTGGATTATCGACATTTTTTCCAAAAGAAGATTCGAGATGACTTCAATACGTAATGGGGAAATGTGTGATATTTAAATAACACTTTTGTCAAGACATGACATGAACATAAAGAAAAATATATCAGTAAAATTCATCTGATTTCATAAATTTCGGTATCTGCCCCCATCCGGAAGCGGAAGTTTTGTAAACTTAGGATTTGCTAAAACCTTTCAGGCAATCCCAGCTTTTCCAATAGATGACGAATTACGACAACTCGCCCCACTGCCAAATCGCCCTACTTTTTCGCCAACTCGCCCCACTTTCTACCTATCGTCCCAATTGTTAAAAAGGGTAATATCCCGTTTAACTTATGAAAAAGGGTAAAATCCCAATGAAGAAAGGTCTTGCAACTCGCCGCACTTATGAAAAATAGTAAAATCCCGACGAATTTAGTCCTGCCAAGTCGCCCCACAAAAAGGGTATTTTATCGTTGAATTTACTCCGTAAATTGCTATAAAAACAAATTGCTGCTAAATTGGAATCTTTAAATTGTTATGATAATATATTGCATTATGATACAATTAACTGGTTTCTTTGCAATTATATAGCTTACAAGCATAAAGTTATTCTCAAATATATATTACAATTACATATATAATAATAACTTTTGTTTATATCGGGATATACCACGGCCAAAAACAACAATGTATGGTAAGAAAAGCTTTAGTTATGAGGCAGCAAGACTCTGGAACTCCTTGCCAAATGAGGCAAGGAGCTTATCAACTTTTGGCCAGTTCAAAAATTTTATCTCCACCTGGTGTTTTTCAGAAAGTTGTACCTGCAGTTCTTGTAAATAATGAAACTCCTTGCTGCCACATGACTTGACCTTGAAGCCTGCGGTTTGTTTTATGTTTTTATTTTTTATTTTTTGCAGTTATTTCTATTTATTATTAATTTGCTTTGCTTATGCATTACCTGTGCTGTAGCTGCTTGCAGTCTTTTGTTTGTGCTTTACAGTGTTTCATTTTGCATGTGCTACTTGGATACACATATTGTGTGTTACTATGTGCTGATATTTGACATTTGCTTTAATATATATCTTGCTTAGCTTTTATTTTGCATGTGCTATCTATGTATTAATACATGTATGTGCTGTCTCTATGTTTGTGTTGTATATGAATCTGATTTTATTACATGCATGTTTTGTTTATTAATATCAGTCGGTTAAAGAGCTCTTAAGAGTTCATGTACCTTGTTATTGTGTATATATGCAACCCGACTTTAAATAAAGATTACTTTACTTTTTTACTTTACTTTGATGTATCTACACTTTTATATTAAGAAACTAAGCATCATTTAATTTCAATCATAACCATATATTAAATTTTTGATTTTCATTAGTACTACAAGTGTTTTTTTCTATTGTTATTTTAGCAGTACTGTTGGGAAGATTGTGTAGATTTATAACTATTTTTCATAAGTGGGGCAAGTTGGCCTGACTAGATTCATCGGAATTTTACTCTTTTCATCAGTGGGGCGAGTTAGCAGGACTAAATTCGTCGGGATTTTACTATTTTTCATAAGTAAGGCGAGTTGGGAGACCTTTATTCATCGGGATTTTAACCTTTTTCATAAGTAAGCCGGCGAGTTGGGAGACCTTTATTCATCGGGATTTTAACCTTTTTCATAATTGGGGCAAGTTGGTAAATAAGAGTTACTGTTATTTTAGCAGTATAGTTGGGGAGATTATGTAGATTAAACTTCTTTTCATAAGTGGGGCGAGTTGGCAGGACTAAATTCATCGGGATTTTACTTTTTCACCAGTTGGGCGAGTTGGCAGGACTAAATTCGTCGGGATTTTACTATTTGTTATATGTGATGCGAGTTGGCAGACCTTCATTCATCGGGATTTTACCCTTTTTCATAAGTGGGGCGAGTTAGCAGGAAAAATTTAACGGGATTTAACCCTTTTTTTAAGTGGGGCCAGTTGGTAAACAAGAGTGCGGCGAGTTGGTAGACATTGGGGCGAGTTGGTGGAAAATTAGGGCGATTTGGCAGTCTTACTTCAGGCATGACGTCGGGAGCACTCCTAGATAAAATAAGAAGTGCTATTATTATATAAATAATGATTTTTTTTATAATCATGGAAGTGATATAATACTTCCATGTTTAAACCAAACATTTTTTTCAATTTGACAATTGGAATAAAACATACATCTAAAACATAACTTTTGATTGCCAAGTTGTGTCGTTGAGTTGCTGGCTGGCTGACGTGGGGAATCGATTGGAAAAGTATACTACTCCATAAAACAAAAGGCATGCAATTCAAAACAATGTCAGCAATTAACTGATGTATATGCCAAGACAACTAGCGCCATGTCAGGCTGACAAGTTGTAATTCAGTGACACCTGGGACATACATGTAATATAGTATAATAGGCCCAGAGTATACCAACACATACAAATAATTTTATTCATTGAATAATTATAGTTTGATTATGACTACCCAACACATTTCACTGAAATATCATAGTCCACACTTGACTCTCTTTTTTACTATAGCAACGTGAGCTTACTTGTAAATAAAACTTGTAAGGGAACGACCATTTTACTTCAAGGTTGGTGTGTGTGGTTTTATCCTAAAAAAAATATTCTGATCCCAATTTGATGAACAAAAATATTGTGGTCAAGCAGATGACAAAAAAAAATTCTGAATCCAGATTTTCCCCATACCTTATAGTAGGTGTTAAATTTTGAAAAAAATAATTTGATTGATAGCGTCGAAAAACTAAAAAAATGTTCGCGCTTTGTGAAGAAAAAAAATTTATGACTGTGACAAAAAAACATACCCCCCCCCCTTGAAGTTAAATGGTTGCTCCCTAATTCCTTGGATATCTGACACCGAAATAGTAGGCCTATATATTGAATCCAGCTTATAACCCAGAAGTGCTAAAAAACACCTAGAAAAGTCTTTTTCATATATAACAATTCAAGCAAATACTGAACAGATCAAAGACAAACTAAATAACACTGAACAGATCAAAGACAAACTAAATAACACTGAACTTGAGAAAATTGCAAATAAGGGAGCTACCATTTGATTTTTATGGGGGGGGGGGGGGGGGGGGGGGGGAGAGGATAAAATTTGAAAAAAAGGCAGGATGACAATTTATGTAAAAAAAAGTCAGGATAAACTAATAAAAATAAATGCAGTATCGAATAGAGTGAAAAATAAAAAAGCAGGACAGAGATTATAACTTAAAAAAATGCAGGACAAATTTTTTTATCCTAGAAACTATTCATACAGATGAAGGTCGAGTCCGAGTCAAATAACAATAAAAAAAAACAGTATACAGGGAAACTGCTTCAAAAGGAGACAAAAAAAAAGCCTATTGGACATACTTAGAAAACATCATATGTTATGACGCAAATTAAGTTATTTATTATGACACTACACAAAAACAGACTGAAACTGAGTCTTGGATTAATATCAGGAACACAAAAAGTCAGCTCAGGAGTTAAGCCGCTGAAATCTGAAGACGTGTTAATAGATGACACAAAACAAAAAGCTTAATTTAAACAAACAATATCCATTCTGTTTTTGTTTTTACACCGTAAGATGAAAAAGAATATATACCAACTCTTACAGACAATTATACCCATATATGTCAGAAACACATGTCACAATAAATGGTATAGAAGAACCCCTTAAAAAGTGAGATCTATCAAAAGCTACAGGACCAGATGAAATCCTAGCACGTATGCTCAAACAGTATGCTTCAGAATTTGCATCATCAAACCTCACTCTCATTTTTAATACATCTTTTTCTGAGGGAAAGTGCCATCACACTGGCAACAGGCTAACGTTATATCGATTTTCAAAAATGGAGAAAAAATACCTTACAAGTAATTACAGACCTGTCTCTCTATAACCTGTACACGATACAAATCATTAAACCATATTGTAGTCAGCAACATCATAAACATCTGGATAAACATAATATTCTAGTGGACATTTAGCCTATTAAAACGTAGCTGCGAAACACAACTACTAACATTAAGTCATGAATTACTTAGCAACCTTCTCAATGGCATCATACGAGATTTTCCCAAGACATTTGACAAGGTTCCTCACAAGAAGTTATTAGGGAAGCTGGATAATTATAACATAAGGGACCGGGGAAAACATGGAAATGGGTGTCAACGTTCCTTAATAACACAATGCAAATGGTTGTTCTTGATGGGGATGCATCTGGTCAAATGCATATGGTTAGTGGGGTGCATTAAGGATCAGTTTTAGATCCGTTAATTTTTCTAGTTTTCATTAACGAAATTCCTGCAACTGTAACCGCTTGTTTGCAGATGACTGTTTCTTTTTTTGCAATAAAAAGCCAACAAGATTGTGTCATCTTACAAAATGATCTGAACCATATAGCCAACTGGAAACAAACTTGGAAGATGCAGTGTCACCCAGAAAATGCAACTCCTTTACCATGTTTACTGTAACAAGATCACGTACAGTCACCATACACACTGAAAGACTACATTTTAGAATCTATCAACACAGCAAAATACCTTGGTATCACCTTATCCAACAACATGGCATGGGATATTCAAACAATAATATCACTGCAAAGCCAACAAGATCTTGGGCTTTCTTCAACGAAAATTGAAAATAAATCAGAAACAAACAAAAAGTGTGGCATATAAACTATGGTAAGATTCATTCAGAATATTGTTCATCACTGGCTTGGTCCCCGAACACTCAAAAACAGGAAAATAACATAAAAAAAATGTATAGAGAAGGGCTGCACGCTACATCGCCAACAGATACCATAACACCATAACACCATGCACCAGTGTCACCTACATGATTGACCATCTTAAATGGAAAATACTAGAAACTCGTTGAAACATCAGCAGAGTAACAATGATATACAAAATCACTCAAAATCTTGTGGCAATTGGTCCAAATCTATACCTTGTTCTGCAGCCAACACCAGATAAACCAATACAATACAGTTTCAAACATTTAGCACCCTAAAAGATTACTAAAAAAACGGTTTATTTTAATTATTGATTTTCTGTCGTGTCTATATATATGTCTCTGGTGGAGCAAAGTCCATCTCTCTGTAAATTACGGGAAAATAAAATATATCTTTTTTTTTTAATTTTCGCTTCAGATATTGCCTCTTTATAATAAAAGAGTTTCTGTCAAAGTTTCATAAAATTCAATGAAAATTTGAAAAAAAGTTATGTGATGTCTAAAACCATTTGCGAAAAAATGAATCTCATTTACTTCAAGATGTTCATCTTTACTAGCCCAGGGGTACGATCCGGTCCTGTGAAGAGGAGACTGGAGAGGGTCGTAACCTTTGGTGCGAAGATATATCTCTTAATCATGAAAATGCTTTTGTCGAAGTTCATAAAATTCCACGAAGGTTCACAAAGTTATTGATGTCTAAAATAAACCTTTGAACCACGGTCTGTTTCTATGTTTACTGTAAAAAAAAAATGTCCATTTATCAGTAAAATACAGAAAATAAAAAAAATATATTCAATATTTTTCTTTGGAAGCGGTCTCTCGATTAATCTTCGTGGAAATGAACATATACCGTACAGAAAGCTATACAAACCCTGGGATGAAAACTAGAGGTCCTACAGAGTCTGAGTCTCTCATCTGGATCTATGTGCATCTGCATTAGCGGCCACTAACCAACATCGTAGACTAAAATATTATAATTCATGACGCAGGTCTCTTTTTGTTGGTTTTTTATTTGTTGGTATTTTATTGCTGCTCATTTTTTTTTATTGCTTATTTTCTTTCTAATTACTCTAGACACTCTAGTTTTTGCTAAAAACACAAAAATGGTTAAATATCATCATTCAAGGACAGTGACTCCCATAAAAGAAGTGCCTTCAAGTTTGTTGACCTATTTGTTGATCGTGTCTTGTTGATATTTTTTTCTGTTTACACTTTCTCTCTCTCTTCTATAGGATTCTCAAAAACGCAAAAAAAAACTTTAAAAAATCGTCATTCAGGGTAAAACAACTATAAGGAGTCATCACTTGCAATTTCAGCTATGTTGTCTTATGGTCTTGCTAAAAAACATTGCTTTTTAAATTTTCTATATATATATATTTATATAAAAATAAGAAGATGGGGTATGAGTGCCAATGATACAACTCTCCATCCAAGTCACAATGTATAAAAAGTAAACAATTATAGGCCAAAGTACGGCCTTCAACACGGAGCCTTGGCTCACACCGAACAGCAAGCAATAAAGGGCCCCAAAATGACTATGGTAAAACAATTCAAACAGGAAAACCAACGGTCTAATATCCATTATAGTTTTCAAGGCAAAATCGTAAAAAATTTGTAAAAATCAACATTTTTAGGATAATTACTCTCGTAATGAGTCGTCTAACAAATTTCGGCCATTTGACTATTATAGTTTTTGAGATAAAAGGCAACAATTGAAAATAATGGTAAAAATAGTCATTTTATGGCAATAAAACTTAAAAGGAATCATCTGACGATTTTGGCCATTTGATATATTTGTAAATCTTGTGTTAATATAAAAATAAGACTTTTTTGCCACAAACAATGAAAAAGACACCTGATGCTGGATGATAGAAGACAGTCTTGTCAGGAAGAAATGAGAAAAGCTAACACTATAGGCGCTTGTGGAAATGGGAACACCCCCTTTTTTCTGAATATTTTTTGATTTTAAGTTTGTTTTAGTAAATATTCTGTAATATTTTAACTTATTTTCACTTAATAAATGTGTTCTTGTTCTTTTCTATACGAAATTACAATAACAGTAGTTTATAAATTTTGACTCAATTTTTGAGAGTCAAAATTTATAAACTACTGTTATTGTATAAATATAATTCAGGATAAAAATTTGCTAAGATTTCTCAGCTAATTGATCCAGGTAATTTTGGGTGAATCTGATGTACTCTGAAATTATGCAGTAAAATATTCAGATGAAATTACCCTAGCTATATCACAGATTTTTAGTAGAATCCTATGTCTGTACTGTACAAGTTTTTTCTGGTGTGTCACTGTGTTGCTTTGACATTTCATCCAGCACTTCAAAAAGCATAGAATAGAGGTCTATAATTGATTTAAGTCAACAGGGATACACCCTAAAATGCATGGTTAATACGTTCAACAATATGAGGCTTAATGGGAATCTTTTACCAAAACTTATTAACCCTCTATTTTCTGCAACAGGCTACTAAAAGAATCCATTATGTTATGTAAAAAACCCTACAGTAAAATCTTGAAATAAAAGGACAAGACAAATAAAAAAACATTGCTTAAATTAATGTTCATTACTTTTGGGTCCAAAATGTAAAAATTAAGTCCCTCTGGTTGATTTTGCTTGATGGTAACTGAAAAGGATTTTTCTTGGTGTTTTTTTTTTGTGTAGGGGAAGGAATAACAGAGATGTCCTACTAAACATATAATACAATAGTGTGCAGTTTATTCATGAAACAACCAGAAAAAAACCCCAATCAGGACCATTCTTCAGAACATTGCACACCCTTCAATTGAAGTTGATTGATTGATGGTTGCTTAACTTCCAGTGACAAATATCACATACACATATTCAAGATAACATGTCAACGCAGAGTTGAAATTTTAACATGCTTGCTCACAAGAAAATATTCCTCAGGGATATATATCATCCTGCTTAGACAAATTGTTCTGACTCCAAGCACACCAGACTTTACTCTTACAATATACTCCTAAATGGTGCCTGCTTGGAAGATAAGCTGCAAATACCAATTAGAAAGTCTTTGCTTTAACCAGATGGGGATTGAACCTTCAACCTCAAAACTCAAAGCATGTATGCAACCACAAGACGACATGGGCAAGTATATATTATGTACATTTTTAAATCTTTCAAAACCAAACAAGTTTCAGAGATACTCATACCTTTTATCCAATGATTCATGCATCTAGTTAGTGAAATTTTTATTTTTCTTATCAATTATATAATGAAATGTACATTATTTATATACTGCTTTTATATACAAGTTAATTCAAATTCAACATTAATATATATTGTACAATTGTTCCTGCTCACAGAGTTTTATAACATGTATAAAAGTAGAATGATTAAAATTTCATATTCCCTCATAAAATGGAATGAAAAATTGTAGTAATTCTTTAAGGCAAGTTTTCAAAAAACTGCATTTGTAAAGTGTTATTGTTAATGGGATTTAAGTGCCAGCCTCTGTCTTGATTCTGAGTACATGTAGGGTTTGGGTAAATTATCAAATGTTCAATATTGAGTTACTCCAGAGTATGAATAAAAGAATATAGTAGGGTCAAAATTTATGAGAGACTGCATAGTCTAGTAAATTAAAAGAGCTATCATGTCAGACCTCTTCAGTGATACACAAACATTCAAAATATATCTCATGCTGACTTAACAACCTCTGTCTAGATTTGAGTGAATGGTTGAATTCAATTGTAACCATTGAAGATATGGCATTTTTTCATGTTTATAGCAAAACCACTGGTTCCCAGGGTTATGAATTTATGGTTAAAGATATATAAAAAATTAATGGAAATTGAAAAACTGTCATTTATTGGTATTAATATTTGTGTATAATTAGTGTATTTGATAAATCTTGCAATCCATGAAGATTGGTATTAAACCTACAACAAAAGAACCTTCTTAGTGTAGAAAAAAATCAAGAAAAAAATATGAGTCCCAAACTCATACATCATGTACATGTTTATACAAGTGTTGACTTATCTTCTAGCAAAATGCATGTAATTTTGAATTTTACCTACAACTATCAAATTGAAAATTAAAAATTAAAATAAATTTTGAAAAATTTTGCAACTTAAAACTTCATTAAAGTGATTTTACTTTTAACAATTTACCCAAGTTCCTCCAGTGAAATTTTGGTTTCAATGCCTGATATTATTTTAAACACCACTTTAATACAGAACTGACCCCTCATAAGAAAATTGGTTAAACTTAAATGATTTCAGCTGTAAAATCACAGACTTGTTACCAGATAATCTCAAAATGTTACAAACATTGAAAAATAACATACTATTTAAATAAATAATTACATCACAGCAGTCATTGATATCTAAAACCACCATTTTCATTTCCAGTCCTCAGCAGATCTGTCTGATTCATTTTCAGTTTTTTTCCAAAAAGGAGGAATATTATTGTACATCTTGTATGTGAAATAATATTTGAATGTCAAAAATGTTAAAATTCCTCCTAAAACAACAAATTCTTTATCAATTTTCAGTCTTATTTTTGGCATAACTAAATGAAGAAAATCTAGTTGAAAAGTTCTTTGACTAAAACTTCTGCTACTCATTTATAGAGCTGTCAGCTAGCTATCTGTTCACAGTACCAATCCACATGTGTGTCTATGTTTTGACAGGTGTGTCCTTTTCAATATTTATAATATCATAAAATCAGACTTTTGCTTAAAAAGCACAGCATCCAATTGCAAGTTGTATAAGTTAGTACTTTTTGTGACACAATGAATGCAGAATGTTAATTTATGATTTCACTCCAAACTGTTCCTTCTTCTCACAAATATTGTCTGCAGTCAACTTTTGTGCACAAAAATGAATGTACAAAATTAAACACTTATTTATGTCTTCCTAGCTTTCTTGTTTTTTTAAGTATTTTTCTTAGCTTTATCCTTTGGCTCAAAGTATGTATCAAGTTCTTTGTGATGTCTTCTTATATCCCACATCATTGCATTCCTGAAATATAAAAAAAGTAGTAAAAGATGATGACAGAAAAATATATAGTCTTAAAGGAGCCTGTGGTCGTTCATCTAAGATTCTATGCTTTAAAATGTAACTCTGACCCAAGAAGAATGAATATTTCAAACCCATTAACCAGGGGTTACATCCAAAATAATTCACAGAACAATAAACACAGATTAAGGATATACACCTCTGAGGAGCCAAAAATTTCTAGAATTAAACTTTTTTTCTTAACCTGATTTATGGGTTTATATGATTGTAAACAAATAATTGGTGAAGAAAAAATCATATGGTGATGCACTTCTTTGTTTGCTACAACCCTTTGAAAGTACCCAATTTTGATGATTTTCCCACTTTTCATCAATTTTGACCTATTTTTGGGCTATTATCGTGAAAAAAATCATAGTTCCACAATTAAACTTTTTTTCATACTTTCAATAAAGACGGAGTGGACCAATTTGAATAAATTTAACTTAAAAGAACTATAGGTAGGTGTTAATATAAGAAAGTTTTATCATATTTTGATTTTTTTTTGTGTCAAATTAACCATGCTGTTAATTTTGTAAATTTGTGATTTTTCTCTGTTTTAAGAACAAAATGCATATTATTTCAACTTCTTTGTTAAACATAATTGAAAAAATACATATTTAAGAAATTTGAAAAGAAAAAAGTGATATGGGATGTACATGTTTCTGGTAAAATCATTTCTTGTACCCCTCACCCATTTTCTCAAAATTTTGGCTAAAAAGAGTGACTTGATTGGTAATAAAATTTGAAAAATTGATTTCTCAAGAACTACTGACTGTAAATACACAATTTTATCACAGAGTTGGGTTTGATTATAACTTTTAAATTCATTTATATTTTCCACTTGTATCACATATTTTGGAAATAATTCCAGAACGAGATTTCAACGAGACTATAAAAACGTCAGAAGAAAACATCCTTAATATTACTTTTTTATCAAATTTAAAGACCACTTTTTCTGCTTCATGTATCCTCCAAATATTACTTTTTTGGAACAGTCTGTGGAGGAAATGTTGGAGGACATTTCTCATAAAGAATCTTCTCAAGAAAAAGTAACAGATCTATCCTCTACTCCTCTGTTATATATATACATGTAGATAATGCCTGTCTTCTTGGTGACTATGTATGTTAACAGCGTCTATCCTCTACTCCTCTGATATATATATATACATGTAGATAATGCCTGTCTCCTTGGTGACTATGTATGTTAACAGCGTCTATCCCACTGAACTTGAAATATTAAACTGTTACAACAGACACATTTAGGTCTGCATCATATCTTGAATTTCATCCAAAGATTAATAAACAGCTGCGCCATGAGTGCATGATACGCCCGTCGTCTTGTGTGTGAATTTTTATGCAATAATCATAAATGGTTTCGGACATACGGAGCAACATGAAAAAAACCCTTTTTTTTTTTACAAAAAACTCAATATCTCTAAAATAAAATTTTGAATCAAAACCAAAAAGTATACAGATCTTTAGATTAATATAACTAAGAAGTGTGTAAAATTTTAAGCAATAATCATAAATTGTTTTTGAGATACGGCGCGACATGTGAAAAAAAAACACACACCTGTTTTAGTTACTAAGTCCCATAACTCAAAAAGTTTTAATCTTATTTTCGCCAAAAAGTATACAGATCGTTTGACCATCATAAGAAACAACTATGTTAAGTTTCATGAAATTTGGATAAGTCGTTCTCAAGTTACGTTGCGACATGTTTACGCTGGACAGACAGACGGATAGACGACATTTGTATACCATAATACGTCCCGTCAAAATTTTGACGGGCGTATAAAAATGACAGAAAATAACTAAGAGAAAAAAAGAGCCTGAGATGATCTTCCAATTTCTGTGCAGCAACATTCCAGCAGTGCTTGCAATATTTTCAATCTGTCTTAATGTTTAAATGTATGAATGGTCTAGCATCTGATTTTATATCTAATAAATTCACTGCATGTATTGATCTTTATATTTACTAACTCAGATCGACAACATCAGGACTTCTTCATGTACCAAAACCTAATTCTGTTTTTTTAAAAGAACATTCTGGTCTCATTACATGGAATAATTTGCCAAATAATATTAAGGAAACAAATAATTTACATACATTTAACATGTTTAAGATCAAATGTTCAAACTATTTAACTTTACAGAATGAAGATACCTGAATTAGATGTATTGTTTCTTCTATTCAATGCATATGTGCTTATCCAAATTTAAGCTGCTTTATATAGTTAACTGATTTTTTATTTTATTTGTTTATATTTTTTTTCTATTTGTTTCAATGGTTTTTGAAGACCTCAGGGAAAATTAACATGTTATTGTTAAATGAGCTACCTTTGTTAAATAAAGGATTTTATCATTATTTACTAGATGATGTGATATTCCACAAGGCTTGCATTTCCTAATATGATTCTCAATAGAGGGTTGCTACTTAAAAGAAAGTTATTTAACCAAGGGTTTCTTATAGTACAGTTTAAGTATCTTTTTGAAATTTCTACTGTACAATCATGATTTTGCAGAATGTTAGGAATATGGTAACAAGTTGCTTTTTAAAAAAAAAAGTCAATATGTTGAACCTTAGAACTTTTTTTATGCTAATTATTATTTCAACTGAATTGTAAATTATATCTCAGTATTTTCATTACCATGTGTGTGGAGGATAATATTTTCTTTTTATTGTAAATCAGGACAATTATGGCATGTTGAGAGTGGTGTTAAATATAAAGTAGGGAGATAAGGAATGTTTTAATTTCAATAGTTCATTTCTGGATGGTGTTAGCTTTCATTTTTACCAGTGTGAAAGATCAAACTACTACCAATGGATGACACTTCTAGCGTGTTTATTGGTAGAGGTAATATTTCAACTAGAATCCCTCAGTAATTTTATATATTTTTCTTTTTAAAATACATATTTCAGAGCAAGTACGATATTTTGTTTCATGAAATATGAAAGTTTAATTCCTACCAAATAAGACAAAATCTACTTGCTTACCATTTATTTTGTGCCGTAAAATCCCGTTCCACCTTAGAAATGGGTTTGGATCCAGCTAATACATTCAATTTGCTGCTTATACATGTATACTTAATATACCTGTCCAGATCCGGAGCCTGTTTTTTTGTTTGCTTATTATCGTGTCTGTTTTTTCGTTTTTTTTTGTATAAAAATATTGCCATTGATTTATATCTTGTACAACACTGGTCAATTTGATGTCATTTAGCTCGCTTTGCTAAAACTCAACATTCAACGCCATGTTTATTGAAAAGTTCTCTCATTGGCAAGCATAGTTTACCAAATATTATATGATCATATCAGTCTCGGATAATTCGATTATTATGAAATGCGGTTCCTTAAATCAACATACGTAATAAATCTCAAAACTTTACACTGTTTTTTGCTAACTTATGTTTGTCGCCTATAATTCAGAAATTTAACAGTGTTTTGGGATTTTTTGCTTAAAGTTAACTTTTTAAGCATGGGTCCCTTTTCAAAAGTCTCCCAACTACTACCTCATATGTGAACTTAAGTATAGGGGAAATTTTGTTCGCTATGTTAAAGAAATCTTCTACTTGCTCTATTTTGCCTGTGAAGACCATAACACCGTCATCTCTATATTGACAGTGTAATTTGATGTTTTCTTTCCATTTGGACTTATCTAAGATATTTGTTAATAGGACAGACAGATGCAGATATGTGCATGATGGTGAAAATATACCACCTATGGAGGGGGCGCTCCTATAACTTGTTTGTATAACTTTCTATTAAACTCAAATTTATTGTTTCTTAGAATTAATTAAACAAATGCAGTATAACCTTTTTTTTAAGAATCTTTAAAGGATATTCTTTTGTGTCAATTAATTCTTCTGCATTGATAACTGTTTCTATTAAATTATCAATGATCATATTGGTGTACATTTACGTTTCATCATAGGCAATAAGAATGCATTCCCTTTTTACCTTGTGTGTTTTATTAATGAAATCTTTTGTATCTTGAACTTAAAAGTTATGCCTCTACAAAAATGGTTTTATATTAGATCATTTAATCTCTCAATGCGTCTCATGGTAGAGTTACACTTATTGATGATCAGTTGTAAGGAACATTAATTAATGTCTCCTACTAGTTGACCATTACTCAATGCCTCATTTATTTCTAGATTAATTTAATGAATTTTTGGAAGACTGAGGTACATGTGTCCATGTTTTGAATCATTATCATTCTTTAAGAATTGTACGTATGGGAATCTATTTCTATTTTTTTCTATATAGATTATCAACTATATCTTTTATTACCATATAGCATATAAGTGAGGTTAAGTGATCTGTGTAAAGTTCTTTATTGCCAAGTTTTAGATATCTTAAATGATCCGTATGGAGGTGCTCTTAATTGCAGGAAGCTAATACAGATAAGAAATATAAATGTTCCGAATGAACAATAATTAGGGTTCCAAATATTCCTCCATAGAATATATTTCTAACTAATTTAAGTAATTAATATGCGTGAACTCCTGATCATGCAACAATACACTTCGGCACCAAGACATTATGGCACCTTGTTATAAAGACAATTTAGCACCATTTAGCACATTTCGTGACTAAGACAAATCGACAACTCGCTCCATATTTTCCTGTTATATTAACATGCATTAAAAGAAAAGACAAACATCATAATTAATAAAATGCTCCGCTGGGGCGCAGCTTGATACAACCGCAGAGGTCAAACCCTGAACAGTTGGGGCAAGTATTGACACAACATTCAAGCTTGATACAGCACTGAATTTGGATTGTAATTAAATATTTGCCACAGCATAGGTTTCTGACACAGAATGAAAGTGGTCTAAGAACTTAAAAAATTTTAATTTACCTATTCAAACCATATCATTATTATTTGCTTTTATATATAAATCAGAAATAACCAATTTAAAATGGAAAATTTTAAAGAAAAAAAAGGAAACCCCCCCCCCCCCCCAATTTTTTTAACCCCCTTATGATTCATCACCCCCAAACTCAATCCCAGCCTTACCTTTGTGGTATGGTACCTTGCAGTACAATTTCAGAGAGATCCATACACTTGAACACAAGTTATTGTCTGGAAACTAGAAAAATGCTTGTTTTTTGGCCCCTTTTTGGCCCCAAATTCCTAAACCTTTCGGGCAATTACCCCCAAATTCAGCTTTCCCTTTGTGATATGGAACCTTGTAGTACAATTTCATAAAGATCCATACACTTACACCCAAGTTATTGTCCTGAAACTAGAAAAATGCTTGTTTTTTTGCCCTTTTATGGCCCCTTATTACTAAAATTTTGAGGGAGTTACCCCCAAAATCAATCCCAGCCTTCCCTTTGTGGTATGGTACCTTGCAGTACAATTTCAGAGAGATCCATACACTTGAACACAAGTTATTGCCTGGAAACTAGAAAAATGCTTATTTTTTGCCCCTTTTTGCCTACAATTTTTGGGCAATTACCCCCAAACTCTATTCCAGCTTTCCCTTTGTGATATGGAACCTTTTAGTACAATTTCATAAAGATCCATACACTTACACACAAGTTATTGTCATGAAACTAGAAAAGTGCTGGTTTTTTGCCCCTTTTCTGCCCCTAATTCCTAAAATTTTGCGGCAATTACCCCCAAAATCAATCCCAGCATTCCCTTTGTGATATGGAACCTTGTGATACAATGTCAGAGAGATCCATAGACTTACACACAAGTTATTGTCATGAAACTAGAAAAATGCTTGTTTTTTTGCCCCTTTTTGGCACCTTTTTAGTGATATTGAAATCCTTACATAAAATATGCAATACAAAATTTTATTGTGTTTGAATAAACATATTTAATCAAATCATAATTGATTGTAGTTATACTTAAATCAATATATTATGTAAGTTTATAATGAGTTTTGATAATTTCTCAATGGAGATCAAAAGTGTACAGCTTGTGTTTGCAGCTTGGGTTATCGTTTGATCACCACAATTCTAAAGACAACAAACATGACAAAATACCTGTAAACTATATTTTATTGTTTTAACATTACAAGCCACATTTGCTTCTACGTATATACTAACCCTGTGAGTTGTGTACTGTCAATAATTATTATGTCCCAGACTAACCCAAATAATTACACAAAACTTCCAAACAGAAGACATGTATTAAATCTAAGAAACCTAAATCAGTATCAGGCCTTTGTGGCCACAGAATTAGTTGTTTATAATAAGGTTTGAAAGCATAATAGTGAAACCTTTCAGAATTTTGGGTCCTCAATGCTCTTCAACTTAGTCCTTTATTTGGAACTTTTAAACTTTTTTTATTTCAGCATCAATGATAAGTCTTTCATAGACAAAACACGAATTTGGCGTACAAAATTTTAATCCTGGTATAGATCTATGATGAGTGTATATAAACATAGCGGCTTGATGAGGTGCTTTTTTTATCTAAATATCAAACTGTCTTTCTGAATGCCGCAATGTCTTTAACTGATGCTGAATGGTCTTGGTGCTGAAATGTCTAAAATTTAGGAATATCTGCGTCAAGGATGATCATGAATACGTTCCAATAGGGAATACTGTCCTTTTTAACTTTCGGTTGTGATAATATCAATTAATGTTCATCATAACAAATGAACCAAAATGGCTGTATTTACACCTCAAAAACTGCTCTGAGTACAGACTAACCTGTGCAGTTGGAAAAGTTTTAAGGCCTGGCAGCCACTAGATGTATAAAAGTTAAATGCATTTTGTGCATCAAAAAGATAAAAAAAAAATAGATTTTGATGGGCATTTTTTTTATGCCACCGCCGTAGCGGAGGGAGCATTAAGTTTTACCCTTGTCCGTTTTATGTACGTCCCAAAATTGGTTTCAATTCTCTAACTTTAGTTTGCCTCAACCAAAAATTATGAAACTTATACACAATGCTTATTACCACAAAACACAGATCAAGTTTGAATTTTGGTGGAGTCACTTTTACCGATCTAGAGTTATGCCCCTTTACAAATGGAAAAATTGCTGAATTTTTCGTTTCCGTTCTTTAACTTTTTGTTCCTGCAGAAGGTGTAAAAATAAACTAAGTTGGGTTTAAGCTTTGAGATGCTCCCTCTCAGGTAACAACTGTGTTGTATAGTATTGATTGTCCTTGATTGACATGGACAAAAGAAGGACAATAGATATCTACACAACAATAGATGAGTTAAAGGGTGTAACTGAGTGGACAGTATCAAATGTAATTCACATGTTTGTTTATTTTTACACCAACAACAGGAGCAAAAAAAAATGCCATTCAAAATCCAAAAAAGATTTTATCTTTCTGATACACAAAATACATTTAGCTTTTATATATCTAGTGGATGCCAGGCCTTAAAACTTTTCCAACTACACAGGTTAGCCTGTACTCAGAGTAGTTTTTGATGTGTAAATACAGCCATATTTGTCTATTTGTTATGATGAACCTAAATAATTAACAGTGATTTAATATTTGTTGTAAGCAACACGATGGGTGCTAGTAGAGAGCAGAGTTGCATCATTTAACTTGAGCACCCAAGTTTATCCCCCAGCCCCCACAATTGAAGTGGGTACTAAGGACATTTTTTTCGGTGCAGTGTTTTGGGGACTGTTGTGAGACTTATCCTCATTAGTTTTACTCAAAATGTTGTCGACTTATGGTTTTTGGTTGCCTTTTGAACTTATTTTTTAACCTGCCTTGACGACCTAGATTTTGACCTGTAACTCGTAGTGTCACCTTGGCAGAAAACAAAATTTCTATAGTGATTTATGAAATCCTTACGTTAGAGCAACCGTAGTTAAAATGATGAGCGTGAATCTTCCTGCATGTTTTAAAAGAAACTTTGGATCATATTTGTAATGCTTTTTAGCTGGATTCATCGGCTTCATGTCTTTTCATTCCGTTCCTGTGTCAGTGTCGACACTTTTGATTGGACTGAAATTCGAGCAGCCAATCATCTTGAAGTTATTATTTTGGTAAGGCAAACATGTCTGCGCCCTAGTCCTCTTATCATAAACCATTTTTCTTCAAGTTATTATACATTGTAATGCATTTATTGTTAACTCCTAATTACTTCGTGCCTTCAATTGCAATATGTTGTTTGCCGTTAGTGGCTACGCTTTGTCGCCTTGCGATCCGCATTTGCGTTGATGTCAATGCAAATAATTTCTGATCCTTTTTTTCAGGTATCACTAATCATTTCTTAATTATGCTGATTGATGAAAAATTAAACATTTGTAAAAAAAAATAGGGATAGTTTAGTTTTTATTTATTATCAAGAATACGTATAAGATAGGCCTAATGTATTTTACTGTTTTCATCAAAGTGTACAAATGAAGGAATCAAGATTTATATAGAGTCAGCAATACAGCATGGTTGAATATAATCTCTTAATTCAAATGTGCAAACCAAATTACTACAAGGTGTAAAAAGATATTGTCAATAATCTTCAAATTTAGTTGATTATAGTCGCAATAAAAATAAAAAAATTCCCTTATTTTAGTTTATTATTATACTTTTGACTTGACTTTAGTTTAATGATGATTTTTAACCATTTTGTTTTTGTATTTTGCCAAAATATCTTGAAAACTAAAAAAAAATAGATAGAAACTTTAAATAGCCAGACCAGATCTACAAATAAGTCAACATGACCAATAAAAGCAATATTGTCAGTTGACTCCTTGTTGGAGTTATTGCCCCTTAAAGACAATTTGATCTTTTTTTGCATTTTTGCCTATTATCTTGAAAATTATGATAGATAAATCAAAACTTAAAAAAAGCAAAAATGATCACCAAGACTGGATCTGCAAATAGGTCATCAAACATGAAATTGTCAGTTGTCTTCACATAAGTTATTGTCCTAAAATGACAATTTTAAAAGTTTTTTGGCAAAAACTGTAGAAGAAAGAGAGAAACTGATACCTGAAAAAAAAAATATAAGCAATACAAGATCAACACAAAAGAATTTTTAGTTAACGAATATATATTAGTCTACAATGCTGGAGAGTATCCATTGTTGAAGATGCACATAGACCTAGGTGAGTGACAGAGGCTCTTTAGAGCCTCTAGTTTATTGACAACCATATTTGTTTCATTAGGAGGACACCATTTTCAACAGACAATCGAAATTCCTATGGGAATCGGCAGTACTACTTCTGTGTTGAAGGCCATACTTTGACCTATAATTGTTTACTTTTTACACATTGTGACTTGGATGGAAAGTTGTCCCATTGGCTCTCATACCACATCTTCTTATTTATATTTTTCCATTTTTGTGTAGGATAAAATTCATAACTGCTCTAATTTCAGTCCAAAGAAAAGTGTTGATATGGGTGGAAGTCAAATTGCCACCTACAAAAAAAGTCAAATTGGCACCTGCTCAAGAATATACAATGTAGAAGTAATTTGATACATATACAATATTTGTATAGTGTAGGAAAATATAAAATTTATTTGACAAGCTTTAGAATCAGAGAGAAAAGTTAGGCTTCACATGGGCTTTTTGATGGAAATACAGTATAAGGAACTATATCTTTTTATACACATAACCAATTCATTTTGTGGCAAATCCATTGACAATGTCTTGACAACACCCATTGTTTTATGATGTCAGATGAGTAAAATAATCAGATATATTTCACATGTGACTTAGTTTATTTAACTTGGAAATCACATTATTTCATTGAAATCAATGTTGAGTTCAAATTCAGCACAACTGTACTGACATGATTTAGGTTAATTTAAATTCTAGAGACGCATTTTATGAAATCTTACTTTTTTTTTGACTCTGGAGGAAAAATTATTTAAATATATATTTAAAGGACATCAATAGTCCATTTGCCTATTGCCAATTTGATTCTGTTAGTACACACTTTTAAAACAAATTGCTTCCCTTTGTCAATCGTAGACTGGATCTTGACCAGACAAAATTGGTTTCTGCCCATGCACAGCATGATAATTTGAAAGTGATATATAGCCGTTTAAACCAATTTTTAGTGAAAATAGTTCCTGGTATCAAAAGTATTTAGCTTAACAACAAATTTAATGTAATTAAAAGATTTGAAAAACTTAAAGGTTACACACATTACGCACAAATACATTTGCTTTTTCCGCTAGCTCTTCATTGTCAATAAAAATTTATGTCCCTCCTAAGGGAGACAACTAAATAATGGATCCTTAATTACCGGGTCAATTATGATGGGAATTGGCAAAAAGACTATTGTTCTTTAAATTTTTTTTTACAAAGGAATATAAAATATTATTTAATCAGAAATTTTCAGGAAAATTTAATAAAAGGCATATAATTAATTTGCCTAGTTAAATTGCCACTTTCAAGAAAATTTCATGATGTGACAAGTAGTCAGTTCATGCAGTACAAAAATGTAGTGAAGTACATTTGTAGTTACAGATTTGTCTGTGGGTATCATTCTGGTTGACATGAAACTAAAATTGCTGACCTGTTAGTAGTTTAACCCTAGATGTTTAGAAGACTTCCATGATTTAACCTATTTACAGCCATTTAAATGTGATAAATTAATGAAAATTACAGTTTTAGCACTATAAATGTAGAAGATAGATTATAATTGTTGACTTTGAATTTTAATTCCAGAAAATGGGAGCAAAAACCAAAAGAAAACATGCACAAGATGATGATGTCAAAAAAGATGCAAAACGAACAAGGTAAGTTACTGGCTGGTTCAATTTTCTGTTTATATAGATTGTTTAATAATACATTATCTGTGTTATGAAATACAATATCATTGAGATTAAAAGAGAACAACTTTTTTGTGAATTGGTCAATTTCAGAATTTCATCTTTGAAACCAAGCCAATGTTAGAATTAAAAGAATTAAGTTCTTATTTGGTTCTTAGAGTCTTACAGAGCAACATACAGTTAGAGGGAGATAAAAAGAAGTCTGTATTAAAAAAAGAGCTTAAATATTTTTATCATTCACTCTTTTTATATGGTCACAATAGGAAAGTCCATTGAAATCAATATATACGATATAAATGCCTTATCTTCATTGATGATAATGATCTTATCATCATTATTAAATTACATCATGTACATGGGTCAGACAGATACAGGTATATATATATATATATATAGGTCATTATCTTATAATGTCATTTTACAAGTGTATTCATGGCAACAATTTAATCGTTTACAAGCAACACATTTTCCACTGGACTTGTACACATGCAAATAATGATTTGAACATACTAACAAGTAATGGTTATTTTTTTTTTCAAATTTTTATTTTTTTATGAAAAGGGGAGGGTGGGGTCATCGAATTTCTTATGATTCTACAACCTTGCTGATGTATGGAAATGATATTCATTATTATTTCAGTAAAGAAAAAATTAATGCTGATATATTTTTCAGAATGCAGGAAAAGACAAAAGGAAAGATATACAAATTTTACAATTGTCAGCTTTTGAGAGACCACAAATTGGTTAAAGATAATCTGTATGTACGAGATGGAGTCATAATCAACCCTGAGAAATTATTTTTTGAAGAAAAATTACCACCAGATGAACAAATCGACTGTAAAGGAGCCATTATTTGTCCTGGATTTATTGATATACAAATTAATGGTAAGACCAAAGTTTATAATCATGGAAATCCCATAGTCATCATTGTTCATTTCATCTTGTTAACTTATCAGCAAAAATCACTTTAGTTATACATTTTGCAGTTCATCATCAAAATAGTGGCTTTTATTGAATGTGAGATCCCTCGGCTGCATCTAAAGACAATTCATTTGTACCAATATGATTGAATTTATTGCTTATTCTGATTTGATTTTTATTATGAGTTTTTGATGTGTCATTTGTTTTTGACACATTCAGATTAAAAGCGGAGGGTTTAGTATTCACTAGACTAGTTTATACTGCCATGTATTTATGTATGCTTATGATGGTGTAATTTTCAATGGAGATCATAGCTATATATTATTTTTTTATAGGTGCCTTTGGTGTTGATTTTTCCTGTGACATTGATACCATTGAGGAGGGATTGAAGATTGTTGCCAAAGGATTATTACCACATGGTGTTACATCATTCTGTCCTACAGTTATTTCATCCAAGGAAGACATTTATAGGAAGGTGAAATAAAGTAATCTTGGTTCTACATTCATAAAAACACAAAGTATTTTTTTTCTCACATTTTACGATATATTATAGTTAGTCACATCTATCAAGACATTGTTCCACTAATATAAAGATTGAGAATATTTTACTAAACTGATTAATTATTTTACTTTGATTTTTAATATGAACTGAAATCCTGATTTATATTTATAGTTGAGCACTGTTAATTCTTACTAACTTTGCTAGAATATTTATTTTAGACAGTTTTATGAATTTTTACTCAGTTTGTTGAAATTATAATTGTTCTATACATATTTTCTCCCAAATAGATATAAGAAGATGTGGTATGAGTGCCAATGAGACAACTCTCAATCCTAGTCAAATTTTGTAAATGTTCATTTAAATAAACAAAGAAACTATATGATAATAAAGATAAAGCTTCAAACAAATAATGCAACATCTTTGAAAAATTAGAAGATCAATCTTTTTTCATATCCAGCAGCCCTGCTCTCCTAAAGAGCCGCCGTTTCATTTTTGGTCAAAACTCAGGAACAGCATGGCTTTAAAGAACAGTACTCAGGTGTTGTCGTAAATTCAACTCCAACTCCATTGATCATAGTTCAAGGTAGTTGTCAGTCTTTATTGATTGATGGAACATGTTGATTGATTTACGCTGCATCAGCACAAAAAGGCTATATTGTGGCGATGGAACATGTTGAACATCTGATTTAAAAATGCTTGGTTAAAAGGGAACAAAAGTTTTGATGAATGTTTGAGAGTACTTTTCAAAATCATAACTGGCCATCTTTGACATCATACAAGATGGCTGCCAGCACCTCTGAAACATTTTAATTTTGCAATGAATCTAAAAGATAAACAGATCAATAAGTGATAAAATTTTAAATTTGATTTTTCAAAATTTAAAGTGCATCATTGATAATTTATGTCATCAATTTAAATCAGATTTGGGAAAATATTTTATCTTATTGATTCCCAGTAAAATTTACAGTAATGAGCTCATAGGAAAAGTCCAGAGGATTCTACCAGTACTTTATTGGTTTGATTAGGAAAGACTCCACTTATCTTATAATCGTCACTTAGTATAAGTATTCTAACTGTGGGTCAATATTATGCATACAGGTAGGCCATAGGTTTAAGGTGACCATTACTTCTCTTTGGAGTCTTTAAGTGAAGACTTGATATTGAAAATTAAAGGGGAAAAACTACGTACCAGAAACTATAGTCTTTATTTATTTTGATTTTTGTCTGTTTTATTTCCAGATTGTACCAAAAATAAAGAAAGTGAATGGAAATAAGGAAGGTGCAGGAATATTAGGTATTATATGTACTGTAAATTAAGATATTTTTGCGAAGATTTTATTGTTGTGAAAAATTGTGATGAGATAGGTTTTTGCTATAACGGAAACTTCTCATTTCAGTATTTATTGTGCTAATTAGATATTTTATAAGCAGCATTCCCTGAAATCTCAATAAATAAATGTACCAAAAAATTTCTGAATTAACAGTACCTGTTTATTTTATTGTCATTTGGCAGGTTGACCATAAATAAACAAGTCTTCTGTCATTTGTCCGTCAAACCTCTTTACCTGCAAAGCAATTTTAATTATAGATATAAAAAGAAGCTTTTAGCTTGATTTATGCACAAAAATAAAGACCATGATTTGTAAAGATACCATTACCAATTCGACATAAGAGTAATCTATGACATCACATTTGAATGTGTGTAAATTTAATGGGTCTCTGTAATAAAAATTTAACAAAGATCAGTGACCATTAAAATAACTAAATAAAAAGAATAATGGCAAATATAAATCTTTTATTGTCATTGATAAAGTAGTGGTAAGATTTTTAAGTGAGAACTACTATTGACTTGACAATGTGACAAACATGCTGATACAGGGCTTTTGGTTATAAATATATTTCTTTTTCAAAACCTAACCCAAGTTTGCAAATCATCATGCATAGAAAAACTAACATGTATCATGGTATTACTTGTAAATGCATTAAGTTTACATCCATGATATGCACTATTGCTTAGGATAGCTTTCTAGAAAACAGTTGTTACATGATGATTATTCAGTCATGTTAAAAATGTTGAAAAAGTATTCTTTCACTATGTAAGCAAAACTATTGTTCTAATTCAAAAACATGGGGTGTAGTTGTGTGATGGTGTAAAGGTATTGATAAATATAATGCCTACACATGTTAAAATGAGCATAGAGTATGACATGAAAGAATTATTTCTGAAATAAAAGATGGGCAAATTTTATCACTAGATCTCTTGGCAAAATGATACTGTTAATTCAGAAATTATTGCAAAAGTTTTTATTAATGGGAATAATGCGACTTGGTGGTTATCAGAATAATAAGAACTTGCATTCTGATATTTGATACATATATATGTTTGAGATTTTCCTGAAATCGTAATAATTAATCTTGCATTTTGTCCATTCTTCAAAAATCTCAATAATAAATACACACAATAATTTCTGAATTTACAGTATACACAAAAAATGTAACTAGAATCCTCAATATACCTGGAATGTGCAACAGTTATTAAGTTGTTATTTTTGCTAACATTTATATTTTTTGGGTTGCTTTTAATTTGCTGAGTAAAAGTTAATGTTTATCTAATAAAGATGTGTTGATGTCAAAGTTATGAAATATTACCTCACTTTTATGAAAAAGCATGAAAGTTAGTCTTAGAGGTAGGAACATTTCAGGTAAAAGACATACACAGAATTTAGAAAATTATTGTTTTATTAAATTTGTATATGATTTTAATATTTCAGAGCTGTATATTTTTAGGTGCTCATATAGAGGGACCTTTCATTTCTGTGGAGAAGAAAGGGGCTCACCCAGAAGAAAACCTCAGACAGTTTCCAAATGGTTTTTCTGATTTGACAGATTTATATGGTGATCTTGAAAATGTTGCTATGGTTACTATTGCACCTGAATTAGACAGATCAGATGAAGTAATAAAGGAGCTTGTGAAAAGAGGAATTTCAGTTTCCCTTGGTATGATTTTGTAACTAGGAAATTTGCGTTTTCTTGATACATGTAGTGTATTTAACAATTCAATATTAGGAAATTTTGTTTTACGTTTTTGAAATATCATTTTCAGATTTATGGCTGTCATACTTATTGCTTTTTAATCATATTAATATAGAATTGAATGCTGTTTTTTTTATTATTTTATACGAAATGAATGCAAGGGATGATCACTTTTTGCATGAAGTGTGGAAGCCAAAAATGTGATCGTCACTTGCTTTCATTTCTTATAAATTTTTATAAACACAGCAATCAATAACTTATATTTACAGATCTTTAAAACAAAGATGTGCAATCAATTATATGTCATAAATATTTATCTACTGTCCTTAATTAATATACATGTATATCATCAAATAATAATTTATTGTTATATATTTCAATAAAAGATCAGTATTTTTATGAATTGAACACCTACTGTAAATATATGATACATTTGTATATAAAGATAAAACAACTGAAAATATTCTTTCTTCCGAAAATGACCATAAAGCCATATTTCTTGTAAATTAAACTGTTCTTCAAAAATCTGAAACAGTTTTGTAATAGTTTTATACCAGATGATCAAGTTATCAGCAAGTATTGCAGTGAAATAAATTGATGTAAGATTTTCTTTCAAAAATTGTAAAACAGAAGTATTATGAAATAAAGCAAAATCTCACACGTTTTAAAGCGTTTCATGTTCTAACATATTTTCACAGCCTTGGTTGTCTCATGGTAGCATACTTTCTTCTAATGTAGGAGGTAGTGGGTTTTCTCCTAAGCAAAATCAAAAGAAAGACTTGAACAATTAGAAATTAAAGTGTTTATATGAAATCTGCAGCTTTTCCCCCAAGTTTTTATACGACCGCAAAAAAAATTTGTGGTCATATATTGGTATGACGTTGGTGTCGTCGTCGTCGTCGTAGTCGTCCGAAGACACATTGGTTTTCGCACTCTAACTTTAGTTTAAGTAAATTGATCTCTATGAAATTTTACCATAAGGTTCAATACCACAAAAGGAAGGTGGGGATTGATTTTGGGGGTTATGGTACCAACAGTTAAGAAATTAGGGGCCAAAAATAAGCATTTTTGTAACTTCCAGACATAACTTGATTGTTAGTGTATGGATCTCTCTGACATTGTACCACAAGGTTCCATATCACAAAGGGAATGCTGGGTTTGAATTTGGGGGTAATTGCCTCCAAATTTTAGGAATTAGGGGCCAAAAAGGGGCAAAAAACAAGCAGTTTTCTAGTTTCATGACAATAACTTGTGTGTAAGTGTATGGATCTCTCTGACATTGTACCACAAGGTTCCATATCACAAAGGGAATGCTGGGATTTATTTTGGGGGTAATTGCCTCCAAATTTTAGGAATTAGGGGCCAAAAAGGGGCAAAAAACAAGCATTTTTCTAGTTTCATGAATAACTTGTGTGTAAGTGTATGGATCTTTATGAAATTGTACTACAAGGTTCCATATCACAAAGGGAATGCTGGAATTGAGTTTGGGGGTAATTGTCCAAAACATTTAGGAAAAAGGGGTCAAAAAGGGGCCAAAAATAAGCATTTTTCTAGTTTCCAGACAATTACTTGTGTTCAAGTTTATGGATCCCTCTGAAATTGTACTGCAAGGTACCATACCACAAAGGGAAGGCTGGGATTGATTTTGGGGGTAATTGCCTCAAAATTTTAGGAATTAGGGGCCATAAAGGGGCAAAAAAACAAGCATTTTTCTAGTTTCAGGACAATAACTTGTGTGTAAGTGTATTGATCTTTACGAAATTGTACTGCAAGGTTCCATATCACAAAGGGAAAGCTGGGTTTGAGTTTGGGGGTAATTGCCTTAAACGTTTAGGAATTTGGGGCCAAAAAGGGGCCAAAAAACAAGCATTTTTCTAGTTTCCAGACAATAACTTGTGTTCAAGTGTATGGATCTCTCTGAAATTGTACTGCAAGGTACCATACCACAAAGGGAAGGCTGGGATTGAGTTTTGGGGGTGATGAATCATAAGGGGGTTAAAAAAAATGGTGGGGGGGGGTTTCTTTTTTTTTCTTTAAAATTTTCCATTTTAAATTGGTTATTTCTGATTTATATATAAAAGCAAATAATAATGATATGGTTTGAATAGGTAAATTAAAATTTTTTAAGTTCTTAGACCACATTCATTCTGTGTCAGAAACCTGTGCTGTGTCAAATATTTAATTACAATCCCAATTCAGTGCTGTATCAAGCTTGAATGTTGTGTCCATACTTGCCCCAACTGTTCAGGGTTCGACCTCTGCGGTCGTATCAAGCTGCGCCCCAGCGGAGCATTTTATTTTAAACTAATTTCAAAAGAAACATAAAAAAATGCAAATCTCAGTTTCAATATAAAAAGCATTTTAAAACTAAATATCTTGCAAGGAAAGGGCTTTCCCAAAAAAACATATATGGCACCTAGGAAAGGCACTTTTAAAATGGTGTAATTAAGAATTTCTCTTATATGTTTACTGTACAAAATAGTCTCAACACCAGCAGACCTGCCAACTTTGCTTATTTTTTGGGATTTCCCACAAGGGAGGTGTTGACCTGACTTTTGAAATCCACCATTATATAAACTGTATACCTCAAAACAAGCATTCAAAGGAGTTAGATTACAATTAAGCATATAAGTTCCATGTATTTTTTATGAAACATCCCTATTCTGTTAACCTAGTTTTCCTTTATTTTTATTAGCATACTAGTAACTCTACCACAATCTGACAGCACTTGTAATTTTGATATTCAAGTGGTCAAGAAGGAAAAAAACAAATTCCAGTGATGAAAGCTTTCTTAATTATAATCTGACACAAGGTTAAGCTGTAAATGAAATGTCATGCAAGGATTTAATATTTACAGGACATACCACAGCTAATTTAGTACAAGGTGAAGATGCCATTCGTGCAGGGGCCTCCTGTATCACTCATTTATTTAATGCAATGGTTTCAGTAAGTAGCATTGTAATTCTTGTATCTCAAAACAAGATTTAAAAAAAGAAGTGAACCGACTCATTAAAATCAAAAGCCAATTGTAAAATCAGTCTCTTCAAATGAGAACTTCACCATTGAAATTAATAATTAAGTTATAAATATGGATGTCTTTTGACATCTTGGATTAAAAATTTCAGAAAACAGTGGGTCTATTTTTTTTAACTTTTACCTGTACTTAGATTTATATTTCAAAATTCTGTCATTAAGTTTTCTTTCATTTCACAATATACTGCTATTTTACTGCATAATCTATACAAAATTTGTCAAACCTGAAGTTCAACTTGAAAACAAGGTTGGTGACCTATAATTGTTAAATAATATTTTATAGTAAACAGGAAAACTGGCAATTCTTGTCTATTAAAAGTTGGGACCTCTTACAAAAATAGTAACTCATATGAACATTAGCATAGTATTTTATTGAAATAATTAATGTACGGTAAAATTTTATAGTCAATATATATAAACAAAGCACAAAAAAATAGCGAATTATGAATAAATGTATTTATAGTTGTGTTAATTTAACATCACTAACACTAAATGTTTTCATAGTTGTGTTGATTTAACATCACAAACACTGAACAATTTGTTTTATAGTTTCACCATCGAGACCCCCACTTAATAGGTTTGTTGACCAGTAAATTCCTGACAGATAGACAAGTGTATTATGGACTGATTAGTGATGGAGTACACACACATCCTGCTGCAGTAAGAATGGCTTTCAGGAGTAATCCTAGAGGTAGAACATAAAAAAAACAATAAAAAAAAAAATATATTAGCTTAATTAAAAAGTCTATTAGATGAATATTAATGATGTAAAACTACATGCACAAATTTAAATAGGAATATGGTAATACATGAATCAGACAAAAAATATAGTATCACATCACACTAGTGGCAAGTTTGTTTTCATCCTATTCATTTTCTTTTAAATGATTAATGCTTTTATTGAAAAATATGTACATAAGGTCAAAAGTGTTTCACCTATTCCACTGTATTATACACAAAACACTTCCTACTAAAAATATATAGTGTACATTGAATTACAATGGACAGCTTGAACACACATACAATGTCTTGAACAACAGTGCAACATCCATACTTTCTAGCAAGATTAAGTAAACCTGATCTACAAAAGTTTAGTTTTTCAAATCAGAAAATATGTTTATTTATGCATTACTATAGATAGCCCATTAAGGACAACGAAGGATACATCAGTGAAGACTATTTTGATAACTGTTAACATATAGTTGATCTCCTCTGCACTTAAATCACTCCTCCCAATCTTTGAGGAAGTTTTATATCAAATTATCAAGGCTTGGTGATGTCAAAATTATTTGACTTGGCTGTAGTAATTTTGATCCAGACTTGTCTCATATGTCATAATGTTTGAAACAACCTTGAAAAGTTTGACATGAACTTGCCCTAGTCTGGTATATTGTTTAAAAAACTTTAAAGTCATATCAGGTTCAGAACTTAAAAAAAAATGGTATTAAATACCTAACAACAGAGGATGTTTCATCAATAAGGTTTGAATGCCTGTCTTCATGGTCTCAAACTTAGACCAATTTTACACCCCCATATTCAAATATACTATGTTATGTCCAACTCAGACTTTTTGGCCTATAAGGATTAATGATCCTTGGTATCATTGTTGCGGTAAATCAGTGTGTGTAGCAAATCAGGATGTAGTTTCTGTCTGCAAGGTCAAGGTTAAAAGTTTGTATATTTAGATGAATACAAGGGATGGGGTATCATTTTGTAAGCTTTGCTGGTAGTATCTCTAGTATGTAGTACAGTGGAGATTAAATAAACATTTATTTATTATGTAGGATTTATCGTAGTAACAGATGCTATACCTGCAATGGGGCTACCTACAGGGAAACATCACATGGGTTCACAGCTAGTGGAAATTCAAGATAAGAAAGCTTTCATTGCTGGAACTAACACATTGTGTGGAAGGTATGATTTGAGTCATTCTAAATTGGATCTGGATCTGGGTTGAAAACTAGGAGGAGTTGATTACACAAGTTATGTACCAACTTTTCCCTGCCCTCTACCCACCCATCCGTCGGACATTGCCATACTATAAGCAAGTTTTAGACTTTGTCAATCCTGGCCAAAAATGAAAAATGCATGGCCAAATAGCTTTGGAGTAAAAATTTAAGAAGTTTGTGGAAGTATATGTACTGACAGACGAAAAGGGATGGCAATAACTCACACTGGTTGTACTTAAACTTATTGGTTACATTGGAAAGAAATTATAATTCTCATGCAGCTATTAAAACGTAAAAATTTGACCGGCGTATATATCCCTGTATTTTTCAAAATTTATCGTGTTTGAAAGTTTCATACATTATACTGTTAATAATCGAGTATACACTTTTCACCCAAATTCTTTTGTGTTGTTCGACTGATCACAAGAAAGTGCATACTTTTGTCATAATGATTGAATTGACTTATCATACATATTAAAAAATGTTAATTAGCGACGATCTATTGATTGATGTTTTACCCAAACATTTTGCACATTAGTTAGAAATGAATTAAAAATAAATCACATTTACATAGATATTTGTATTTGTTATATTATCACACAAATGATCAAACCTTTAATTTTTAGCATGCCGCAATTTTCATAATTTATGTTCCATGAAAGTTCTCCCAATTTTGTAGTTCTCATATTTATTTGGAATCAATTATCTGTCAGTCAATCAAGTTTATTTTGTTTACATCTTTAACAGTACAATACAGGTTTTTTTTTCGCATGTATTTTCCCATTCATTTTGTCATCAAATCACGAAAAAATGTTGACGCTAAAAGAAACCGATATACGATAATATTTTTCATTTCAATCAAACCTAAGTTACAAAACTTTTATGTACTGTAATCAGAATAATTTTTCAAAAGTAATTTATTTTCATTAGCAGAATAATAATGCGCATTTAAATCGTCCTGAATATGTCAAGCTTGGATCTTTTCTTATAAAATATGCCAACAAAAGGACTAATAAAGAAAATGAATGGCTGTGAAATCGACTAGAAAGAGCTAAACTAAAGTTTCTGCACAAATAATTTGTTTTACAGTATTTCTTTACTTAGATTAATTATATTATGACTTTTGTGAGAAAAAAAGACTACATTATCTCTCTTAAGAAATTAATAGTCAGTTAGTTTAGTTTCAATTGGTGTTAATCAGTGAATATTTTTATTGAATTTTCACACGTTATTTACAAAAGATAAATAAGTATAACTTTGTATATACAAATATGGGCCTTCTTTTCTCCATTTCTGCATTGAAAAGTTATAATGAAATCATGACACAAGAGAGTTACTGATACATTGTACATATCACACATGATTTACAAATTGCATGCATAAAAAAAGATCCAAAAGTACTAGAAAAGTTTCAAATTGTTAACAGTGAACCACCTATCTTTCAAATTGCAACTGTTTAGTTGAAGCAATATGTCCAATGAGTATCACAAATTAAAATTAAAATCATATTTATTCCTTTTTTTTAGTACAGTGAATCTTGTCATAACTGAACCTTCAGTAAACTGATTGATTATTGATGTTTACTTCCTTAGTGAAAAGGTTATAACAGGATGAGCTTGGTAAACTGTTAACCTGTATAAATGTAACTGTCATAAAAGGACAAACAGTGATATTCTTTACAAATAACCTGTAAGAAGAGAGCACCTGTTTAATTCAAACAAAATAGATTCCTGCAGGGTTTTTAAGACATGTTCCAAAGTGTTATATATTTAAAAGATGATATTTGTAACCTTTATTTTATAGTATAGCTACAATACCTAAATGTGTTCAGAATTTAAAGAAAAACACAGACTGCACCACAGAACAGGCATTGGATGCTGCTACACTTCATCCAGCAGAGGTTCTGAAAATTACAGATCGTAAAGGGACAATGGACTTCGACACAGATGCTGATTTCCTTATGTTAGACGAAAATTTAAACGTGATGGCTACTTATATTGCTGGAAAACTGGTGTGGCATAGAGACTGGCATCCTAAAGATGCTTTATTGAACAGACAAATGTCTGAAAGAGTAGGATGCGAAGAAAGTGCAATAAAAAATAGTTTTTGATTTAGGAAACTAATAATGAAGTTGAGATATATATCCTTCATATTGTAGATTGGTGCTAGATTATATAATGGTTAATGTTATAACAATCATAGGACGATGTATTAAGGGAAATTTGGAAATTTAATGGGTAAACTTATTTATGCAGGTCATCAAATTTTGAATGAAATGTGAAATTTATTGATTGACTCAGATAATTCGTTTAAATATTCATAATTAGAATGTAATTACTTTAAATTCAGAAATTTATGTGTGCATTTATTATTGCGATTGTCGAACATGTCAGAAAAATGTGAGATTAATTACTGTGAAAGTACTTTTATTCGTGGGTATCAATTTTCGTGGTTTGAGCAAAAGTTGCATGTTCATGGGTTCTTAAATTCATGGATTTAAGTTTTTTGAAGAAAAAAATTGGGTGAAGAATGTGAAGCCATCTCAGACGAAAACTCGTAAAATAATCATATGTTGTGTTATAATAATTTCTGGGACATTTCAAAATAAGGTGTTTATTTTCACCTACTTGTTCATCTTTCATTACTGACAACATTCATCAAACTTTTAATATGATAATTGCTTTCTGAAATAAGCCGATTCATCTATTCTTACAAATGTTCTCAATTGAAGGAAATTGCAGAGTAAACATTTTAATTGTTGCACATGTGTAATCAGAAGTGATGACACTAATTAACTCGAGATTGTTTGATCAACAGATTAATGGTCACCAAAGGTGTTAATTGGATCATAACTTGTCCCTTAAAGAAAATGATAACATAAAAAAAAGCTACAAATGGAATTTGAATTTTCTTGAGAATTAAAAGGTTAAAAGTCGTACAGTTTAGGTTTTTTAAAGATAAGATGGACAGAATTCTGTCTGAAGTTGCATCTTTAGTTCATAGTGCGTTTGCTGATATTCGATGTAGTCAAACCTACGGTATTGGGGATCTTTCCATGTCCTGATTTGGACAACAGTTCTTTTATTTCGTTGGACACTTATATTCGTGGATAAAGCCATCCACGAAAACCACGAAAATTGGTAACCCACGAATAAAAGTACTTTCACAGTATAGCAATTTCAGGAAATGCTGCATATATAACAATGCTATCAAAATTCAAAATGCAAGTGACCATTTTTGCGAAACCTATCCTGTCACAGTTTCTATAATAATAATAACATCACAGAAATTTATGAATTTACAGTGTTTATAAATAGAATGTAATTATTCAATTTGTCTATTACCGCCTGTTTGTGAATTTTCAGTAATCTCATTTATTCAGGGCTTTAACCAAGCATTGTTTATTAGGCATTTATTATATCAACGGTTTTTATGACTCTGTCATGGTGGAGGGGGCATTTAAGTGTTACCCTTGTCCGTCTGTACTCCCAAAAGTAGTTTCCATTCTCTAACTTTAGTTTGCCTCAACCAAATGAAACTTATACCCAATGCTTATTACTACAAAACACAGATCAAGATCACTTTTACCGTTCTTGAGTTATGTCCCTTTATAACGTTATATGCAAGCGAGGGCATCATCTGTGTCCCATGGACACATTCTCCATTCATTTTTTTCATTGGTAGAAAAATATTAACCTGAGAAAACAATAAATGCTTATTGGTTTTCTTCAGTACATATATGTCTTTAGCAGGGTTGTAAAAAGTCATCTTTTTTTGTTTGCCAAAAATTTATTTCTTTTGACCTCTTTTTGAAAAGTCTCTCAATTTGCTATACATATAAACAGTTTTCATATGAAAAGGAATTTATAGAATAATGTCAACATTGACTGTGAGTAAATAGTAGCCAAGGTGGAAGACAAAGTTAAGACTCTAAAGGGAGTGCACTCAGTCTTCATCAAGGCTACCATTTCTGTTTTGTTTTAAGATTTTTAATTTTTGTACCGGTATATTATATTTTATACTTTTTTTTTATAACATTCCATGAGTATTCCAGCTGCCAAATTTATATTGTGAAAAGTTTCATATTAAATAAGAAAAGGATAGGTGTCTGTTTACTTTTTCTTTCTAATTTTTTACCACCACCAAACATAGTTCATAGAACCCTATGAGAAGATATATGAAAACCTTCTTTTACATCCACTTCATTTGAACTTTGGTGGATAGCTGTCTCATACCACATCTTCTTATTTTTATATTTATATATGAAATCATGTTTCTAGTTTCAGAACATCATTACTAGATTAGCAAGCTTCGATATGAAATGATTCAGACAACCATCTTCTATTTCCTCTAACAATAGATTATAGGGCAGATATTTTCCTGCAATAACTAAGTAATAATAATAAGTATTGCAACTTAATGCTGATAATTGTGACCCATTTATGGAAGTTTGTTGCATGGCCCTGTCTGTATACCAAAGTTATAGTGTAACTAGTCAAATTTTGTATAAAAAAACTGTTAGAATTCAAGGAAATATTTCATTTGACTTTTTCTGATCACATTTTAATTGAGAAAAAAAAGTTTCTAGATAACAACTAATACATGTATCATTATCTGCATTGAACAAAGTGCATGTATTTTATTAAAACTTTTTAATATTCCATTTAAATATTCATGACCCCAGGGGATGGAATTAAAAAGCTGAATCTATGGCTGAATGTCTACTGTTAATATTGAGAAGGAAATAACATGAAAAACATTGTAATTTTTCTATGGAAGGATACCTTATTTTTGTAGTACCATCCCTTGGTTGTATTTATTCTTTTAAAAGGACAGCTCTAACTATAAAAAAAAATATCTATAAAAATCTTCTAAAGTTAATGTCAAATTAAACCTATCTAAGTGCTCAAGAAAATACCTTTATCAGTTCTTCTTTGTAATTTTGCTTCTTGATAAGCACAGTAATGCTAAACATGTAGGGTGTTATTACTACAAACAATATTAATGAAAGTAATGGTCCCAAAGACAAACCATCTAAAACCATATTTATAGAAATAACATTCAAGAATTGCAGTGTCAGATTATGCCAGTATGTGATATTATATTGCTATAAACAAATGATCTGTGCAGAATCTTTTGGAGTCTCACATTTATTTATTTTTTTTATTTTTGCAATATATACTGAGTATAGTATTTTTTTTTGTATAAAATTAATTTACTTTTAATGTTTATGTATTAATGGTTGAGTTATAAACTAAAAATGTACCTGTTATAGATATACAACTCTTGAATATATGATACTTTGTCATCACTTGTACTTACATCACTTTCAGAAACAAGATGATCTACTTTTGGTGTTTGTTTTCCTTCTTGTTTTAAATCCTGCTGTAATCAAAAAGTCCACCTCATCTTACTGTTTTGGTGGTTTGTTTGGTTTACTCCATATTTTCTGCATTTCCTTTTGCCCAATCTATGAGACAATCCATTACCTCCATGACTCTGTCCTCTTTTAGCTGACGAATAAGAGTTACTTGATTTATGATGGTCCTTCCCAAGTTTCTTGCAGACACTATATTCAGCATCTAATTCTTTGATTTTCTCTTTTATATCATCATCGAAAAACATATGTTACTGGTGTAGTATCATCACATAAGGCTATATATATAGGTTGAATGTCCCCCTTTATAAAACTCCTTCTATTAAATGTTATTTCAATAAAAACTGCCTTGAAATAACTGAAACGTATCTCGACAAGTAACAGCATAAGATTGAACTTCCTCTTTTGTCATGGATTCCTGCTTTGAGGACTTGTCAAGGAACATATCCATTATATGCATTAATGGACATGCGGCTGTCTGCACAGAAAAAAAGAATTAAAAAAAAACTATAATTATTCAGGTAATTTACATTTTTTATGCATTTATTTTAAAGTCTTCAATTTATTTCATCTATATTTTACTATCTATTTCATTGTATGGCTGTTTTATATTTATTATTGAAATGTAGATAGGGAAAATGATTTTAATAAATATATACATATATATATATATATATATATATATGGCAATCATACCACATCTTTTTTTTTTTATATAAACATGTAAATGTAACAAATTTTATAGCATCACACATGTTTCAGAAATAACCCTCATTGGATACAATCAATACTGTTTGAATGGATAGTAACACATCAGTCAATCAGAGCATTAGAAAACAGAAGAGCAATCAATTATTTAAAAGCATTTGCATAAATGAGATGCAATCATAATTTTACTATGTACAGTCAAACCTACGTACCCTTATTAGTTTCCTTGAATACTGTAAACCAACTTATTTTCGCGGATACTTTATTTCGCGTTTCGCTCCTTGCCCACTTCGAGGCGATTAAAGTTGGCGATTTTCAAATTTTCTTGATGTATTTCAATTGGGAAAGATCCAAGTTTTACATATTCGCAACGATTTATATTCACGTTATTTTTTTACTCGTGAAAGTCGCCAAAATAAATCGCTCGTGAAAATTAGTTGGTTTACAGTATTAATATCAGAAGATGTTTGGGTTTATGTCAATGAGACAGAAAAAATAAACAAAAGACATCTAAATGACAGCATGCAATCTTCATCAATAGACAAGTGTCCATACAAAAGGCAAGCTCTTACCTTAATCATCCGAAGCCTATAAAAGTTGTGAAGAAACATCTAGATGACAAAATATAATCCACAACAGACAGGTGTCTATAGAATAAGTCAAGCTCTGAATTGTCTCGAGTCGATATAAGCTGTGAATAAATTTAACAGAAACCATCAAAGATCTGCCATTTATAACAAATTCTCCAAATATTCACACATCACCCGATAGATCATATGAATCTCTTGTCAACTTCACCTGTCAGTATATTTAAATCTTGCCCAAAGTTTTTCTCTAGTTTTTGGCTGCCTTGCCTCCCTGGCAGCGTCAAACCAAAGACTTTTAAATTGGTATTTCCTGCTTCTCCGCCAAGAATGCTGCACCTAATGAGTAAGGGCAAAAACTGGTCTGCCCTGGAGTCAGAATAATTTAAGGGTATTGTGATGTCTTTCTGTGGACTGTTACCTTGTGAACTAGCTTGCTAAAATCCAGCTCAGCTCAGTGTCAGTCTGGTGCAAGGCAGGGTTAATATCCATACATCAAATGTTCTCATCCTGATGCATTACATTTGCCACTGAACGTTACAACCATTCAACCATTTATAGTATTTGTCTCGCCTTGAAGGAGTCAAAATTCGAGACTTAGGTACCGGTATGCTGTTTCCATCAGTGGCGTAAACAATGTTTTTGTTTGTGATTAGGTCTGTTTATGTGGAACCACTAGTTGTAGATCAATGATATTTAGTATGCAGTTGTATTAGTGTTGGCACATCTCATTTCCTTTGAGTCTATTTGGCCTTGCACCCTCTGTCATGGTCTATTGACTTTAAAACTTTTGCGTACTACCCAGTATTAGTTTGTGATTAGGTCAGTTTAAGAGGAACCACTAGTGGCAGGTCAATGATCATTTCCATGGAGATCATTTAGCTCCACCCCCCTCAGTTATGGTCTATTGACTTTGAATGTTTTGCCTAGTTTACATGTTAAAATTTGTGATTAGATCTGTTTAAGAGAAACCACTAATGTTAAGTCAATGATAGTTTTAGCATTTGCAAGTCCTTTTCCATGGAGATTATTTGGCCCAACCATCTATCAAGGTGCATTGACTTTGAAACTTTTACATTGTTTACAAGTTAAAGTTTGTGTTTAGGGAAACGAAACACAATGGTATTTGGTATGCAGTTTTATATACATTGGTATTTCTCATTTCCATGGAGATTATTTGGTCCTGCACCTTAAGTCATGGTTCAATGACTTTGAATGTTTTGCATAGTTTATATGTTTAAATATTGGCATTTGGATTCAATATTTGCATTATACTATCAAAATTACAAAAAGGTGAAACACATCTCTGTGTCAACAGTTTATTGAATATGTTTTGCTTGTCTCTTCTCTAACTTGGTTGGCAGTAACCTGTTTCTGTTTTGTATGAGAACTTTCACTATTTTTTCTGGAAAATACCCATTCATCAAAAGAGGAGTGCTTTTATAACTGCTACTCATATTTAAATGTCCTGGAAGGAATTACTACTATGACTTAAAGAACTCAATAGGTGAATAGTCTACTGTAATGAGATCAGATAAAGTATCAATTTGACAACAACACTTTATGAGACTGCAATTTTATTAAAATGTTAGTCCACATGTCTATTTACATACAGAAAGTAAGCACTGAAGTACAAAACTTGGTATGATAATTTTGACGTCACAATGCATGTTGCTCAGGGAGAGATCAGTTCAATTTAAATTGCTGGGAAGTTTAGAAAAAACACAAAGTACGTCAATAGGTGAATAGTAAAGTGTAATGAGATCAGTTTAATTCGAATTGCTGGAGGATTTAGAAAATAACACAAAGTATATCAACATTTCAAAATTAAATGTACTCCCATTCAGGGAAGAACACACTTTATTTTATCATTAATACATATTTACCACAGTTACGATTTATAAGTAGAATGTACTCAAAATGTCACATTATATCAAGTAAGAGACATAATATCAGAAGCTAAATCTACAAGACAACTATTACACAGCAGATAAATCAAGTATCAACACATTTACAGCTACTTCAAATATACATATTAGAAAAAAAAACTCCTTGTTATGGGGTAGTTTTCTAGTGCGAATGAGATAGGATTTAATTTGGATTATGAATAAAAGGAGATATAAGATATGTGTCCATGAGACAGCAACCCAATGACAGAAATAGACAAAAGACATCTACAGGTCTATATAGTATTCAACAATAAACAAATATTCATACACTGTGGCAGTCTTTAAATTGCCAAGTCTTAGTGGAAACTTGCATGTTATACTGATATATATTATATTTGATTCATAGGGAAATCAGTTTTTGAAAAATAAATTAGAATTGTATCGAATATTTAGATGAACAAATCTTGTCATCTCTGTTTTAAGTAATTTTTTTTTGTAATTTTCAAGACATAATTCATGAAGACTAGAATGTTTCTATACAGACGATTAGCAAAAAACACTGGCTCTGCCAGCTTCAGCAGTCATGGAATATTAAGATGAACAAATTTTAGTGACAAACAAGATGTACTGTAAGCTATTGCTCCATATCATACCAAAGCTCAATGTTGTTGACTCTATTTTGCAGTCAATATGTGAATCAATCAAATTTTACAAAAAATGCCATATATCAATAAAATGCTCCACAGGGTGCAGCTTGATATGACCACAGAGGTCTAACTCCCTGAACAGTTGGGGCAAGCATGGACACAACATTTAAGCTTGATACAGCTCTGAATATGGATTGTGTTTAAATCTTTGACACAGCATAGGTTTTTGACACAGAATGAATGTGGTCTAAGAACTTAACAAATTGGACATTTACAGGTCTATTATGGTCCAATATTCAAAATCTAGACACATGGTTAAATTCAGCATATCAAAGAACCCCAAGAATTCAAATTTTTGATGAAATCAAACAAAAGTTTAATTTTAGACTCTTCGGAACCTCAATGTGGACCAATTTGATCACGGGGCCCAAAATCCAAAATCTAAATACACATAATTCAGCATATCAAAAGAACTCAATATATTCAATTTTTGTTGAAATCAAACAAATTGAAATTTTAACCTCTACAAAAGTTTAATTTTGGACCCTTTGGGCCAGTCTAAAACGGGGCCCAAACTCGAAATACAGGGTAAGATTTAGCATATCAAAGAACCCCAAGAATTCAAGACTTTGAATTAAACCCTATTAAAATTGGTCGAGAAATAAGCAATTTATACAAAGTACTAGAAAAGTATTGTTTTTGGCCCCTTTTTTCCTAATCAGTTTGTGCCATAACCCCCAAAATCAATTCCAGCCTTTTGATGTATGGAACCTTGTGGTACGATTTCATAGAGCCATACACTTGAACACAAAGTATTGTCCTGAAACAAGAAAAATGTTTGTTTTTGGCCCCTTATTCCTAAACAGTCAGGACAATAACCTCCAAAATCAGTCCCACTCTTTTGTGGTATGGAACTTTGTGGTACAATTTCATACAGATCCACACACTTATACTCTAGTTATTGTATGGTAACCAAAACAACCACAATGTCATACCATTATACAACCCCACAATTTCTGCAGTCATATGAAAAGCCATGATTGGAAATTGATGTGAAAAATGCAATAAAATTTCATATATGTATATTTTCCAATATGCAAGTTTACACCAAACAGGAAGTAGAACAGAAAGAACCAAATGTGTGTTACCCTACACAGTATAGCATAACAAGATGAAGTAAAGTGCTGTATATAAAGAACTATGACTGTAGACAGTGAGAAAAATGTGATTGAAATGTGTTAGACAGCCAGACACATTGGATGAAGAGACTGACAGAGGGATGAAGAGACTGACAGAGGGATGAAGAGACTGAGAGGGATGGAGAGACTGACAGAGGGATGAAGAGACTGACAGAGGGATGGAGAGACTGACAGAGGGATGAAGAGACTGACAGAGGGATGGAGAGACTGACAGAGGGATGAAGAGACTGACAGAGGGATGGAGAGACTGACAGAGGGATGGAGAGACTGACAGAGGGATGGAGAGACAATCCACCTTCCTTTGGAGTTGGGGGTATAATAATGATGTATAAATCAATTAGACTTACGCAGACACATATTTACCTTGAGCATATTAAAAAATTAAAAATCTAGATCAGTGATACCTATATTATGAGAGTAATCATATCTAATATTGTTTTTTTCTAAAATAAAAGAAATATTTTTTTAACATAAAAATGTAGAATTGAGAAGTTACTTAGTACAAAATTTTATGCAAACTAAACCTAGATGAGACTCTTTAAAATCATCTCATTAATCCTAAAGGAACAAATAACTTAAGTTAAAATATCTAAATAAGTTTACCTACCAAATTTGTAACTTCTTTCTGCAATAAGTATTGCAACTTGTCATATCTATAAAATGCATTGAGAAAAGTGACTTACCTAACATGTAGTTTAGAAAGATAAGATAAAATGAAGAAGGTCAGTTGCTTAAACATCTTACAAATGGATTATTTACTACATTAACTGTGTAAGGATAGTAACATTACTATATCTGTATATAACCCATGGAATCCATGAAACAAGGGACACAAAGAACTTAAATATATACAAAATAGGAAATTTGTACATGTTTTGATTGTTTTGAAAGAAATAGGTACTGTTAAGCAAGCTTGCATATAGCTTTGTCTGATATCATCAAGTTTTCCTAATATAAGGGCTACAAAAAGCACTAACATTGAGTTCCAATACTTGTATCTTTAGGATGTGATAAAAAAAACCTAGAAAACATGATACTGCTTTGTTTAGTCAATCAAACAAAGCTCAATTGTTACAAATGAAAGAAATATATTTATCTGAAGTTAATACCTACCCAGTGTGTCTGTTATTGCATAAAATGGCAAGTGACTGTAACTAGTCCTTAACCAATAGTCATTAAATTCAAAGAAAATTTTCTGTTTTATGGTACATGTTATGTATTCAATGCAATTTTCAGTTAAAAAAAATGTTAATACAGACATTCGTTTGTACATATTAAATCAACATTTTGGCAAGAACTGAGATTTTAGAATATACATAAATTGCAAACATTCATTTTTCAGATCTTGCAGAAAGGTTATAAAAGGAAAATATAGAGTAATACATTAGCTTGTATCAAGCACCTGGCAACTATGTTTTGCATTGTGGATTCTCCCTATTTTCAAGTATACTGCAAGAGTCTCTTCATATAGATTATACTGATTCACCTTCCCTTATCAAAGGTCCAAAACTTACCATGGATTTTAAAGACAATCTACAAACAATAATTATTATCACTTGGTACTGACAGTTCATTAGCATGACTTAACTTGCTTTGGCCATTTCATATAAAAAGAATTTATACCTGTAATTAAAGTACATACTGTTTCAACGTTTTAAGTGTAAATTGATATAATTTTGCAAGGAGTGAAGGATTTTTCTATACATTGTATTTGCAATTCAAAGGGTGGCAAGCAATGGTTCTTATCATATTTCCTCTCTAACAATCATGGCATAATTTCAATTCAAATGTTATTCAGATAATTTTGTAGTACAAATGTACTACAATGCTGAATTTTGATTAAGATCAAATACAACTGTATCAGAACACATTAAAAATGCTCAATCAACAATTCATTTTTTATATTACAAATGTGAATACAATGACCAACATATACAGACATTACTATAATAACTGAATGATAAAAATGTTGAAAAAATTTATTCTACACAATATATCAACTTTGGTCCCAAATATGTGTGAAATATTTCAAGAAACAAACTGGAAAAAATTCTCACTTTAAGTCATTACATTTTTTGACAAAGTTTTCAAGGGAGGTAATTCTTTCGTCTACATATTTAACATATTTAAACAACAAGAATGTGTCCATAGTACACGGATGCCCCACTCGCATTATCATTTTCTATGTTCAGTGGACCGTGAAATTGGGGTCAAAACTCTAATTTGGCATTAAAATAAGAAAGATCATATAATAGGGAACATGTGTACTAAGTTTCAAGTTGATTGGACTTCAACTACATTATAAATCTACCTTGACCAAAATCTTTAACCTGAAGCGGGACAGAAACATTTTCTATGTTCAGTGGACTGTGAAATTGGGGTAAAAACTCTAATTTAACATTAAAATTAAAAAGATCATATCATAGGGAACATGTGTACTAAGTTTCAAGTTGATTGGACTTCAACTTCATCAAAAACTACCTTGACCAAAAACTAACCTGAAGCGGGACAGACGGACAGATGAACGAACGAACGGATGCACAGACCGAAAAATATAATGCCCCTAGGTAGGGCATAAAAAAACACATATTAAATGAGATCATCACTAAATAATACAGTTATATATAAATTCTTGTAGTATAATAAGCTGGCCAGCAGCTTTCATCTCTGTACAAATATTAACTGTTGTGGAATCTGTTATAATTTAATTTTACAGTAACTTTTATTTTAAACACAATATACTTTCTCACAGCTTGACCAAGATTATGCTTTCCAAATCATCATTCAAAATATTTTACATACAAGTTTACTGACATCACTTAGCTGCTCTAGAAAAAAATATATAATGCATGACATTGTTTGCCTTTACTAATTCAAAGACAGTCTTTTTTGTACCATTATTTTTCTTGCTTTTGTTTTGGTATTTGGTTAGATTATTTATATGGTCCTACCGTCTAGACTTTATTGGGCCTTCTTGAGTTGATAATATCAATTTGGTGATCAACTAACATTTAATGCTATATTGCTGTCCTAGATTTATAACCATGTGTATGAAGAAACAATGTTACTTAGTATATAGTATCAATGAGTGCCAAGTACCAAAATACTTGAAAAAATTCCAAAGGACTGTTCCTAGCAACTTCATTAAAAAAGCATTATTATCACTTAGGACCGTGTGCGAGAATCCAATTCCTGATTTTGTAGGACTTTGGAGCAAACAAGTATTGTTGGAGAATTGAAGAGAGTAGTCCCTTGTAAAGTCTGTTTTCATAGATAAATTTTCCATTAAAAAATCAAGAAAAGAGTTCAAATTATGAAAGATGGTGTTGGCAATAGATGAAACTACAATGCATATCCCATTATTCAAAAGATTTTTTTCTTTGAGCAGCTTTGAAACGATGGCAACAAACTAAAAATTATAAAAACTGGAATGTGTTCATCTTAAAACATATCATTATGAATAAAAAATATAAATCCTGGACATTAATATAAACATCAAAATGTATGTACTGTGTACTGCAAAAAAATTAGCTGCAAATGTTTATTTTTGTAATTTGCTACTTAAATCATAAGTTTTTTTTTAATTTGCTGTGGAAATGCTTCTAATACATCCAGGTTAATTTTTAAGAATCAGCTGTCATGTAATTATGAATATATCCCTGTCAACAATAACTTGCATTCAGCAAAAAAAAAAAAAGCCTATTCTAGTTACAAAGCATTAATTATACACAAATGTTCAAATGCTTACAACACAAAACTTTTATATCGCCATTTTCTAAATTTTTGCTTTGATCTTTCTGTGTGACAATTTTCCATCACAAGCTACTCAACTGAGAATAGTTTTTCACAGTTGCGTAGAGTGAGAACACAATGACCTCTGACATTGCCTAGGAAAGTATGTGCTTTCAATTCATGGAAGATTCAATTCTCGGCTACATTTCATCACAGAGCTATCACCCTTTGATTAGATTGTAGCCGAGAAACTCAATGTTTTTAAATATCCCAAAAATTAGAATTAGGAAAATACATCTTCTAGTAAAACAATCAATACTGCATACACAACTATTTTAAATTTAACCTGTCATGTGATTATTGTGAAAAAAATAAATATACAGTTCTAAATATTTAATATGACCAAATTGGTCACCATTTTGTCAGGTGTATCCTATTTGCATTATAAAATGTGAGGAACAAATAAAATATACGATTACAACTATTTCATAATATAAATAAGAATAAAATGAAGATCATAAAAAAAAGATTTCTTTTTCTCTATCACACAAGTCTGATGTATTTTGAACAAGTTTTCCCTTTAAAGTGGCTAATAACCAGACTGAACAAGTGAAACTGCGAGCTACTGCTCACTGATGATACCCCCGCTGCAGTTGTTTAGTGATGAATCTGAAAACGCATCACACGGTATAGCTGACTTATTTAAACCCTGAAACCAAATTTCAGAAATACTTATGATGTAGTTCCTGAGAAAGATGCGAAGAAAAATATTCATGGGACGGACGGACTGACAGACAGACAGAGGTAAAACAGTATACCCCAACTTTTTTAAAGCGGGGGTATAATTAATCTTTCACATGAATTTTTTTAATATACTAATAGTTATTTTCATAAAATTGTATTAAACTAGCAAAGTGTGTGTTGTAAAAAATTTTTTTTTTGAAAATTACCTTTAAGTAAACAAACTTTTTAAGAAGCCTCAATGTTCAAGTACATTAATTGTTTATATGTTACAATTACATTCATATCTATAACATAAATTTTCTATTGATCTTAACCCTACTACTGAAAAACAATTTGCTATGTATTTACCAATTGATCAAGGGGAGACAATTTCAACATTTTTGGCCTTTTTGTTCTTAGTTTTTCCAACCACCCTTATGTAATAATCTATTTGCCAATTACCAATTTGATTCTGTTATTACACATTTTTAACACAAGTTGTTTCCCTTTGTCAATTGTCAATTGGTTCTATATCAAACAAATGTGTGCATGCAAAGCATTATAAGTTGAAAGTGATATATAGTTGTTCTAAAAACCAATTTTTACAGAAAAGTAACTATTGATATAAAAATTTTAGCTTAACAAAAGGGTAAATGTTATTAAAAGATTTGAAAAAGTTAAAGATTACATATATTACGCAGAGATAAATTTGCTCTTTCTGCTCTAATGAAAATTTATGCTCCTCCTAAAGGAAAACAACTTGTATAAATGGATCGATTATTACAGAATCATTTCGCCGTTTCAGAATCTAATGCATTCTGGGAAATATTTTCAAAAGTGTACACCAAAACATTATGATTGGTTTAAATGTCCTACACAATGGAAATTCAACCAATGACGAGAAGTTATTTTCATTTTTGGGTACGATCAATAAAATTACCCATAGTCCTTTAGATTCTCAAATGGCCAATTACAGAGGGGCCTGATGGGGGGGGGGGGGGTCTCATCACGAGTTGATTTTTTTGTCAATCACGATTCACAGAAAATAAATTTCCATGATCACGGATCACGAAAATATAAAAAAAAAATAAATATGTAGAAAAACGGATCACGATAGCGAAAATGCACCGATCACGAAGAACGAAAATAACCCATCAGGCCCCTCATTACAGAACGTGGCAAACAGACTATTAGTAAATGACAAATATCTGACTTCTGTTATTCTACATTGTTCATTACATCTTCAAACATACAATAAAGCATCAAGATTCAGTAATCACATAAAACACATACACATATATATATATATATAATTATGATTGACAACATCATGGTTTTAATGGAATTATATGATCAGTCATGATTACTGTCATGGACAACAATGTCACAAATAATGAGATGTCTTTGAAAGAGCAGATCTGTCCTCAGTCTGGACGAAATATAGGTATTTTTGGTATAAATTCTATTAACATAACCTGAAAAGAGAAACATTTCATCTTTTTTAATTATGAGAAAGATTTGTAAAAACATTTGATTCTTTTTCCTGAATTTTACTTTTACTTAAATACTAGACTATTCTATCAACAATATCTTATTTTTTTGTTTAAATTAAGATATCTTTAAATACTGGTTAATTTGTTATCATTCTTTTTCCTAGATGCCATACCAATAAGTACAGATGTGAGTTTCATTTATAATTTTGGGACTAATGAGTGAATGTATTTCCAAACTGAACAATTACAAATTCAGAAACCTTTGTTTTGGTTTTTTCTAAATCTTTTTGTTTTACATTTTCTCTACCATACCTAATGTTTATGTTTTTCCCATTTATTAATTAACATTATTAATCATATTTGCACCTGTAAAATTATAAACAGTCTAATGGTGAAATGGTAGTCCATCCATGGTTAATAAATTCTCAGAACTAGAGAACTATGGAATTTGGTACTCCTTCAAAGTTACATATATAAATAGAGAATATTATATGGCTTTTTCACTATCACATCCGTATCAACCCGAGACACCAATATAATCCATAGAGCTCAGCTCGAGGGATTATATTGGTTGAGGGTTGATACGGTGTGTGATATTGAAAAAGCCATATCATATACACTTTATTATATATCTCAAGTAGATGTGTTTTCATGTGACGTGACGTCATACAGATTAGGGGTTTGATAAAGCCTTTGCAATGGTGACTGATGTCGATGACGTGACGTCATACAGATTAAAGGTGTGATAAAGCCTTTGCAAGCATGACTGATATCTATATCATCACGGATGGCTGATACAGCACGATTGCCATTGATCGTATTACACAAACAATTTACATGTATTTACTACTAAGTATATAATAAACTACAATATATCTCAGATAAACTATACTTACATATTCCATCATACTACTAGAATCACATCTCTGTTTACTTAACTTCCAATGTAAACCTAACTACAATCAAAAATAACAAGTTTAATGTCAATGTATAATCCATGTCAAAGAATTGTTTGTATTGCATAAAAAACAAAGCTAACAATTAGGATATTCAATAAAACCTATTCCATTAGAAGATATGTAGGATGGTAGGAAGGGGAGTTTTATTTTTGAACATGGGTCACTTACGCTTGTATGTCCATTTTCCATATGTTGTAAATGACCTCACATCCTGAGTGGTCTAAGTTGTCTACTAGCCAGTCAACAATGAGGTTTTGAGTTCGAATCTCGGATATGGCAGGTGAGCTCAACTCCAATCTAAATTAACTTTGATTGTCAGTTTTCCTTCTTTCAGGGCACTCTGGCTTCCTCTACCAATAAAAACTGACCGCCAAAAATAGCACCAATCAATCAATCAATCAATCCATATGTTGTATACATCATTACTCAAAATATGTTGAGTTTGGTGTGAATTTATAAGTCCCCTCCTACCCTTCAACATATTTTAATGGAATAGCCCTAATATTGATGTTATAGAAATCTGTGGAACAATTATTGAAAAAAAGCAACAAATCAAAAAAAAATATTGACATAAATAAAACTAAGAAAATAGTCATTATATAAAAGGAACAGCACTTTTAATGTTTTCTCCATCTGGACAGTTGCTAAGAGGTAGCAAATATAATATGGAGTTCACACCTTACATCGAAGTCAAAACAGTCCTAATTTTATTTTTCGTACATTGTTTTGTTAATTAGGCCATTGATTTTCTGGTTTGAATTGTTTCACATTTTTCATGTTGGGGCCTTTTATAGTCGACTATATGGTATGGGTTTTCTCATTGATGAAGGCCAAACAGTGGCCTACAATTGCTTCCTACATGTACTACTTCATTTTAACTCTGGTGGACAGTTGTCTCATTTGCAATCATACCACATCTCCTCATTTTTATACTTATGTCAACTTGAGCAGTACTCTTTCATACTCATCTGTATACCATGTAAATCTTTAAAAGAACAAATGTGGAACAGCCTTATCAATTTCGTAATGAAATATCAAATAATTTAGCTGAAAATTTGGCATAAGCCCTCAGGAATTTTCTGTACATTTTAATTTTTTTTCAGAGATTAAATAGCTGCTCATGTCCTAAAAAAGGAAAATTATCCAAATAATTGAATATATATTTATAAGTCTATATATATGACAACCTTTTTACTGCTTTTCTCCATACTTACTTTGTGATAAAGATGATTGTTTTCCCAATCTAATACTTTTTCTATTGCATGACGTGTCTGAAAAAAAAACATAATCAGAGTTTGAGAGATAAAAAAATCTCAGCAAAATAAATTAAATAATCACAATATTGATACCCATCTAACTAATGACCAACTCATATGAATCTTGAAACTTTTTTGTTTATCACTATATGTAAAGTGCAATAAATAAATAAATGGAAAAGACAAATTTGATCAATCAATGAATGACAATATCTTAGAAAATTACCATTCATTAAAAATCATTATACGAAACATGTTTCATCTTCCTAAAGTGTAAAGAAAGGAATGTAGACTTCAGACGAAGGACAAAGGAATGTAGACTTCAGATGAAGGACAAAGGAATGCATACAAATAAGGATTAGCAGCCTCATGAATAATGCAGATATATTAGGGACAAATATCTATATTATTGTGACTTTTTATACAAAAATACCAAAAACTGTAAATCAACACTGCAACTTAATTCAATATTGAACCAATGAATGGGTACACAAAAAGACATGAACTAATTTTTATATTTAGGCCCCAAAAAATACTTGTGTTGAGGTTTCCCTGCCTACCCTATCTGTATGCCTCATAAAGTTTTATTGCCATTTTTGGTAGTTAAATTGTTACAAAATTTCAGGTTTGTAGTTACTTAAAATGTATGTGTTTCAACATCTGCCATCGTCACCACCATTTTTAATTGAAATATCCAACATTCAATTATCCCCCCATAACTGTATATAATATTTTTTACAAGTTATTTCTCCTGTCAGACCAAATAAATCAGTCTTTATATCGACTATATTTCTAAAACAGATTTTAAAGAATATTGCAACAATTCTGATATGAATAAATGAAAATGTTGGTAATATGTCAATGAAATAGAAACCAATTGACTCAATAACTGAAAGACATCTAAAAATAATAAAAGGCTCCGCTGGACACAGCTTAATATGACCGCAGAGGTCGAACCCTGAACAGTTGCAAGTATGGACACAACATTCAAGCTTTAAACAGCTCTGAATTTGGATTGTGATTAAGTATTTGACACAGCATAGGTTTCTGACACAGAATGAATGTGTTCTAAGAACTTAAAAATTTGAAATTGGACATGTACAAAAAAAGAGATCTTCGACAACAGCTGTACAAAGTGTTGTAAGGGGTTCCGCGGGACCCTGTGTCTTGCCTACAATTGCTACCGTCAATGTAAAAGTGTATTGTTGACTTAAAAAGTGAGTCCAATTATCAGTAAAATACAGAATGTTAAAAAAGATTCAGATGCTATTTCTTGGTCTTGAAGATTAGCTTCTGTCCAAGTTTCATAACAATCCATGAAGGTAAACAAAGTTATTATGTCAAAAAAATTTAATCCCAGACTGTCAGTAAATGTTATCTGTAAAAAAAATCCATCCAAAAGTGTGCTTCAGACATTATCACTTAATCATAAATTTTTTTTATCAAATTCTATGAAGGTTTGACAAAGTATTTGATGTGTAACAAACTTTAACCACAGACTGTATCTATTTGTTAAATGTAAAAAAAAACTAAGTCCATTGATCAATAAAATATGGAAAAATGAAAATAAATATTTTCAAAATTTTGCTCTGGATACTGTATTTTGGTCATAAACAAGCTTCTGTGAAAATTTCATAAAATTCCTTGAAGGTTTGACAAAGTTATTGATGACTGATAAACTTTAACCTCAGACTGAATCTGAATGTTAAGTGTGAAAAAAAACTAAGTCCATTTATCAGTAAAATACGGAAAAATGAAAACAAATATTTTCAAAATTTTGCTCTGGATACTGTATTTTGGTCATAAACAAGTTTCTGTCCAAATTTCATCAAATTCCATCGAATTCCATGAAGGTTTGACAAAGTTATTGATGACTGAAAAACTTTAACCTTAGACTGAATATGAATGTTAACTGTAAAATAAAACTAAGTCCATTTATCAGTAAAATACGGAAAAATGAAAATAAATATTTTCAAATTTTTGCTCTGGATACTTTATTTTGGGCATACACAAGCTTCTGTCCACATTTCATCTAATTCCATGAAGGTTTGACAAAGTTATTGATGTCCCAAAAAACTTTAACCATTGACTGAACCTAAATGTTGACGCTGCTGACACTGAAATCTTGGATCGCTATGTCTCGTTTGTGCGAAATAAATTTTGCAGGCTCGACAATAAGTCAATTTGTAAATCACCTGTCTAATTGCTCATTGTTGAATTATGAAGCATAATTAATATACATGTACAGGAAATCGGGCAAGGCTGAGTAAAGCCATGTGGCAAGTCTTTTGCCTATTTTTTAACAGATTATAAATCTTCAGATATACATTTTTAGTCATTGTATGTTTTAAGCAAGCTGTCTCATTAATTTATACTCCAAAAATCAAGATATATATTTGTTTTAATCCACCAACTATAGTTGTCATGCAGCTATTTAAAATAAAAGAAGCATGTGTCTGAGGACACGAATGCCCCTGCTCAAACTTTACAATTTTTCAAGTTAAAAAGGGGTATAACTCTAGAACTGTAAATGACTCACTGCCCAAATTCGGACTCTGTCTGCAAGTTTTGGTTCTTGGTCTTGGCATTGTGTATGAGTTTCATAAAATTAAGATGGAGTAAACTTAAGTTCAAATGCGGAAATGAAAATGGGACAGATGGAAAGATAGTCAAGGTTGGGGGCATAAAATTGCAAATCTATCCAACTAATTAAAATCAAATCTTTATGATGTTCTGGACAGTATGTACAGAAGAAAAGAGAATAACTCAGTGCTAAAATCTTAACAATAAAGAGTAATGAGCAAACAAAGTAAAGAATAGGGACCATCCCATGAGGGCCCTCCTGTATGTTTCACTGATTATATTCACTGAACTTACTCTTTTACTGAGACAGACAACTGGCCATAATGAACAGCCAAGGGTACAACAACAACATATACACCCGCAGAATAACCATTTTACATTAACTGGCAAGGCTTTCTTTAATACACCATTTAATCTAACTATAGTAGCTTTGAACTCTTCTGGTGCAACCTGAAAAATTGTTTCGATAATAAATAAATTATTCTGAGACATTTCCAAACTATACAGTTTATTAAACAAATCTGAAATGCATACTGACATTAAATCCTTTAAAATCTTTTTTATTCTGTGACTATTGATGGTAGCAATACCATTGACATTAACTAATACATGCAAATCATTTTTTTTTCCTTAAGACTTCCTGAGATCATGAAATAAATTATCTGTTCTTCAATCCTCTGTAACACTTATATTACCAGAGATTTTGACCAGCTTCTTCCCCATTAAAGAAAATTTGGTTGCAATTAGCACATTTACATGTAACGTTTAATTGTTAGTCAATATGTTTTCTGCAGCAAATAGCTCCATGTCACATTTTTTTGATGTCCTACACCTTTTTGTAGAAATTTATGATGTCATGTCACTTTTCTGAAATTCCTCATATTTTTAAAACACCCTGCCATATCTTATGACTGGTACTGAATTTCATCATGTACCAGGCTGTTACAAGCTTAATTATGACATCACACAAAAGTACCCATTACTTTGTTGTTATAAGAACATGGCTTTCTTTACAACGTGTAAGAGGAATGTCATAGTAGAATACACTTTGGATGCAACAACACTTCAATGGATGCCAACTTTTTGATTTTATTGATCTGTCATAAATTGCCTGACCTTCAATTATAATTATGATTTTTTTAAAATGCATTAAAGGAAAAGTAATGTTGGCAGTATTTCAGGTTTTTTTTGTCCTGTTTATTTGCTGAGTTTAAGAACTCACAAAAAAAGACAGTTTTATACTTGTCCAAGCTCATGAAGTTTATTGTATTTTTTCTGTTGATATATGATAATTTCTATTGAATTCATCAACAATTTTTGACTTTCCAGACAATAGACAGCATTGAGATTTGATGTGAGCTCTTATCTTTCATTGAAAATAGAATGTATACCTCTTAATTGCTATTTTGGTTTAGAAGTGTGGTTGCATATTCAGAACGATATCATGTTAATGAGAAATGATCATGAATATATTTCCTGCTTTGTACTAGACCAATATGCTGAATCAGATTTAAACATGCTGGTAAAATTAGAAGGTAGCAGTCTGCAGTTCTACAAATCACCCTGCTTAGACACATTATTCTGTGTCCATCAGATTAGTCTTTGCTTTTACTCCTAAATGATCTTTGGGGCAGAGAATCATCAAATAGCAATTTTTAAAGTCCCTGAATTCATTCTAAAAACCCCAGCATGGGATTGAATCTATTCGAACGTTAGCACTCAAAGCAAGCACCCTTCCATGATACCAGAAAGGTGGTTCTAACTCTTAAAAACAGGAGTCACAGTCAAATGTCTTCTGAAAGATGTACTGTATTCATTCATATACCATGTATACCTGTAATTCACCTTTATCTTGGGAAAATACCTGTACCAAGTCAGGAATATGGCAGTTGTTTTTCTCTTGTTCCATTGATTGATAGCGTTTTATTTTGTCAGTTTTTATGGACATCATTTTTATATTTCCCTATTTGAATTTGCCTTGGAATTCGGTATTTTTGTTATACTTTTTCATGCTACTTTTTATCTTTTTGTCTTTAACTATACCTTTGCTGAAAGACTAGTTGGAAACTCTGCTTCAAATCTGTTACTTAGACCAAATCTGCATAGAAATATACACAGTAGATTAGATGAAGGCAAAGCATTTCATTACATGTAGTTGCATGAAGAACATTACTGAGTTGAAGCATCATACCATCATTAGGGGGTCTCTTTTACATATTTAGCGGTAAGCATGTGGTTGCCCTTGCATTTATTTTGTCAAACATTCACTGAATTAAACATTGGTTTCATATGTTTTTAGATGCTGGCACAAAGAAACACACAGTTTTCCGTTTTGTTTAAGCATAGGCTTTAAGGTTTCTAGTTAAAATTGTTTCACATATTGTCATACAGGCATTTTATAGCTGACTATAGGTACGGTACAGGTTTTGCTCATTGTTGAAATTCACATTGACATCTAGTTGCTTACATCCAATATTGTTTGAATATTTACCTCATTTGTTGTCATAAAACATCTCCCCATTTGTTATATCAGAAATTTATTGAGGGTAAATCCCAAATATACACTTAAACTGTAAAAATACAACTACCATCAACCGACTGATGTAAGAACTCCTTTTTTATGATCAAAACAGCTGTAGACTGGAAGTTAGCTATAGTAACAACTTAGAAAACATTGTCACAGCACAATAATAATGCCAAGGATTTAAAGCAGCACAATGTAAGATAGGTTTCGATTGACACAATTTGAGCAAGAGTGACTTCCCTTTTGTCACCATTTTGGAGGTATGCAACTTCCTTCATAAATCAGCCAAGGGTTATTCTGAAAAATTTTCATTAATTTAGCCTTGCTAAGTTCATCACTAAGTTCTCTTATCAGAAATTGTCTGACTTGTGTGTATCCCATGTTCCAATATGGTTAGTCAAATAAGAAAAATCAACCATTTTACCCTCCAATATGGAGGCCAAGGGAAATAACTAAAACACAAATCATGTCATTCGAAACCTATCTATACTGGTCCAGGACCAGTTACTGTCACCTTGTGAATTATGCAATTACAGACGCGTGCATAAATACAGCATACTGCTATTATCCTCGTAAAAATACTCTTTATTTTATTTTTTAAAATAGTTTTTTTTTTATCCAATCATGCCAATTAAGACTGGGAAATCTTAATTTTTTTATTCTTTTACCACGTCGTGGGAACATAAACGTGCGGGGACAAGACGTCATCACTTGATGCTCTCGATTTTACAAACTGGCTGTTTTCAGATAATGCAATAGCAAAATCTTACTTTGGACATAAAATTTAAACAAGTTTATTAATTCTATCATCAATTTTAATGATCCCCTTCAATGCAGTGCAAGTTGTTGATTTTAGGTGACATAAATTCGAGACCAGATCAGATTGGGAGACAGTCCGAGAGATTCGAATTTTATGGACGGAATTACGATATTGTTGGTTAATTTAACAAACCTCCAACTCTGCTTGCCTCAAAACAGCAAAATATGACAATAATTTTCTAATTAATAGGATAAAAGTTTTTCAAGAAAAACTGTGAATTTCTGTCATTATAACTGGTACTGGACCAGTAGTGACTTAAATTGTGCTGACCATTACTTTCATTGTCCTGTAGGTCCATTCATTTAACAATATGTGAAAGAAATGAATGACCTAACAGGTCGAACAAAAGTAGCGGACTTGAGGGGAGATACATGTATATCTACATGATATACAATATAACCATTCTGTACAACTACAACTTGAAGGCTTCAGATATATGACCATATGATATGTACAAAAATGTTGAAGGCTCATTAATACTATGACTGGATATAGCTTCGTATATCAGTTTTTCCTGTTTTTATTTTTTTTCTGTTCCGTTGTACCATGTCTTTGTTTACTGTACAGTCACTGTTGAGTGTTGTGAAAATGAAAACAGGATAACAAAAAGATTACTTCATAGAAAATTATATGAATGAACAGTCATATTTCCTACATTGTCACATTTCCAGCTCCTCTTATTATGATGGGATCAGGTAAATTCACAACCACTTCAGCTGGAATAGGTGGTTCATCGTCATTTTCTTCGTAAATAGTATCGAAGTCTGCCATTGTTTGACATTTGTATGCGAAGAACGTAAACCCTCATGGATTGATGACGTTTTTCCGTAAACGTATTCTAAGGGAGGTAATTCTAACAGAATAAAAAGTTATAAAAGCGGGAAATTTTGTCCTTTTCGATTTTTTTTCTAAAAATTATTTCCAAAGATTTGTAATTGATTCTTGGAGTTAAATATTTATAATTTTGATTTTGGAATGAGTAAGAGTAAAGCAATTACTTGCTAATAAGTTCATTACTGGCCATCTTACAGTGAATTTTTAAAATCAGAGATTTTGTGTAAAATCCCTGAAATTGTTACGTATTATATATACAAAACCGCTAAAAAATTATTCTTTGGATTTTGTAAAATCTCTCATTAGCTGTTTAAACTATATAAATGTGATGATTTTATTTCAAATACGCTTTTAGTATAACATAGTTTATGTTTGACCCGAGAAATATAATACAAGAGATTTTGACCTATCGTTGGTATCTTTTGATCGGCTATGTATGGCCTCAGCAATTTCCAGTTCAATAAAAAGTCACTGTCAACAAAGACTCATAGATCAGTTTATCGGCAAAAATGGTATAGTCAAATAGAAAATGTATCAAGAGGAAAATTTTATGGTCAACTCAAGTTAAATTACAATATATAATCTAGAAAACTACTTTCAAAAATTATTTCCAAGAGAACGATAGTTTTTGACAACTGAACCTATAAGTCGCTGTAATTTGAAAATACCCTAGAAACGGGAAGATGGAAAAACATTCCAAAAGAATAAAGAAAGAATATGCCACTTGTGTCATGTTGCACTGAATTTCATTATCTTTTTGAGTGCCAGTTTTCGAAAGTCGTAGACATACTAAATAAACATATTCCTATTTACTATGCTCGATATCCAAGTTATAAAAAAATGATAGGCTTACTTACACTATGTAATGCCGTAAAAGTTTGAAAAAAATTATTACTGTTCATTAGTAAACTTATAAACATTTTGTGAATTGACTGTATAACAATGTTGATTTTTATTCACACCCACCATTATATTGTATTGTTTGTATATATGTAAAAGTTGTATTCATCTTGTTACACGTATGTAATGTGTCCCAGTGATCAAATAAAATTTGGTGGATAGTTGTCTCATTGTCGATCATACCACATCTCCTTAATTATTTTCATATTGTTGCAAAGTTTTATAACAGATATTTACGGTAAAAATTTTGTACAGTGATTAAGGGGGGTTCTGATCCCGGATCCCGCTCACACTATGTACGTAAGCAATTCTCATTTTTTTTTGTAATTTCCCGTGTCCCGCTTAACTTCATTTCCCGTTTTCACGGCACAATAATTTGACTTTCACGTGTCACGCTTACAAAAAAATCGGCAACCCCGTTATTTATTGAAAATTTAGATTTGTTGTATGCTAAAAAGTGATCATTCTGTTGATAGCTCCATTATGCAGTTTTTTTTTATTGTATGTGTTTTTGGTTTTTGGTTAAGCCATACCACATTTTGTACCTATAGCAATTATATAGTCAGGGAACGTCTGGACTTATGCTATTCTTCGTTGTTTTTCTATGTTATTATATTTTTTAGCAGTTGGGTGATAGTTGGTGCTGTCTGATATTTTTGGTTATTACTGTTTTCCTTTTTGTGTCACGATTACTTTTTAGTACTTCTATTAGCTCGTAGTCGAATGTTGGTCATTATTGAGGGGGCGGGGCTCATTATTGTTGTCTGTTGTCTGTTGTACTGACTGTTTTTTTTATATATTTTTGTCACGAATTTCCGTTATCATTCTTATGTATTACATGATCAATGTATCGACTTTTCGTAGTCACCATTTTATTTGATTTTTCGTAGTTTGGGGAATTTAACTATTTATCAGGCAAAACTAATATTTCTTTACCTTTAATTTTCTTGTTTGTATTGTGTTCAGTATAATATTTGAAAATCCTTTGCATGATACATAAGCTGTTATACCATTATGAAGTCAAAAAGATGAAACGACAAGATTATAAATTTATTACAATGTCAATAGAAACAAAGATTATTTGGCCGTTTTCACCTTTTTTTTTTAGAGCGTCACTGACACAATGACTGATGAGTGTTGTGTACACATTTTCAATCCTGATATCAATGATTAGTTTATGATACACAGGGGCGGATCCAGCCATTTTCAAAAGGGGGTTCCCAACATATGGTTGGGGGGGGGGGGGTTTTCCAACCATATGTCCCCATTCAAATGCATTGATCGTCCAAAAAAAAGGGGGTTCCAATCCCGGACCCCCCCCCCCCCCCTGGATCCGCCACTGATACACATATACCCTGTCCATTATACCAGATAATCTTATAGTTGCATTGTTTTCGGATTTCTATTGAATAAGCATGATGTCTTTACATATAATAACTTTTTATCCTCAGATTAAACATTTGAATTAATGTGGCCATTTTTATCAACGATATATCCTTCTCTTTCTCAATCATGTTATTTACACTGACTCATTGGAATATAGGCGCATGATGCACCATGGTGATTTGGAAATGTTCATTCATTAATCATTAATCAATGTCGTTTGGTGCTGTATATCATACTTTTTTTTTGTTTTGTTTATGCATCAATCAGGCTGTGATTAATTTTTTCATTTGAATTGTTTTACTTTTGTTACGTCGAGGGCTTTTGTAGCTTGCTATGCGGTATGGGTTTCGCTCATTGTTGAATGCCGTACGGTGATCTATAGTTGCTAATATTTACGTCCATTTGATTGATTGATTGTTGCTTGCCTAACGTCTCTGGTGGAAAGATGTCTCATTGGCAATCATAGCACATCTCCTTATTTCAGTACTTGAAGAAAATCGTGCGCCTTTGTCAACCATGAAACTGATATAAAATCAATCAATCAATCAATCAATCAATCAATCAATCAATCAATCAATCAATCAATCAATCAATCAATCAATCAATCAATCAATCAATCAATCAATCAATCAATCAATCAATCAATCAATCAATCAATCAATCAATCAATCAATCTATCAATCAATCGGTAAAAAGTCTTGTGTACACTTTTTTTTTTACCAGAATGATAAAAAGCATGTGAGGTAGACTTGATATGATTTTAAGGGTAGATGTATCAAAGTAAAGATGAAGATCCCCCAATCAAGCAATCAACCAACCTATCATTCAATAATTATATCAGATTTTTCGAAATATATAAAAAAAAAAAAAATCATCAACCAATCAATCAAAAAATCAATCAATCAAAGTGCATGCGAAATTTGGGTATATTGAAATATGGAGAAGTCAAAATCTTTGCAATAAACAGTAAACATTAAGTTTTAAAATGATGGTGGATGTCAGCATAACTCTAGTGTCCCTATCAACTTGCGGCACAAATCTAACATAAGACCTGTCGTCGTTAGCTGTGAGTTGTTGTTTAAATATTCTTTTTCGGTCCTTTGATGGATGCCGGAACTCCTCGGAAGTTATCAACTATTTTGTAAAAGTTCGCCAAATTGGAAAGAACGATGAAGAAAGTTGTGTGTATTTGTTATGTTGTTTATTCATTTTTGAAGATTTATATTTATGGTGCTTTTGCACTTTTAAGACAAATGCTGCAGACACATAAAAAAGAAGGTAATTTCATAGACTGCTATGTTTATGATACATGAGGGCTTTTTGAAACTGTTCGATCTCTGTTGCTGTTTAACTTTTCAGTCTTTTGTTGAAAAACTTTAAAAAGTGCAGATGAGAGTAACTAAAGCAACCTTAGATCTTATAAGTTTGTATAAAGAAAGATAAAAAGTTCTTAAACTTCATTCTTTTACTCCATTTCTCACAAAAGAATCTGGGTCCCTTTGCCCACATACCTGTTTGCCCCAAATCCGTTCACTCAGATTCACGGTTGACTGTCGTTCGCCCACATCTACCTTAGCTCTTATTTTTATTATTTTGTTTTGTTTGTTGTGTTGTATAATCATGTCATGATGTAATGTTAATAATAAGTATTAGTTCAAATGAAAAGAAAGGGTTCTAATCTTAAAACTACTCCCTTTTGGGATTCTGTGTCCTGTACAATTTTTTGATTAAGGCGCACTCAGAGAAAAATCGCTCTGAAAACAGAATCTCTATAAAGGAATTAGCTAAAAATGTTGATATGTTTGTGGACATCATTAAGTGTCCTTTAGTCTAACAAAGGTGTCAACTCTCCAATCTTAGCCGGAGATCCTGATATTTTTCTAAAATTTCTTGCACCTGTGATGGCTCACTTTAATTTATTCAGATATTTAATAAGGTTATGTATGATGTAACATTCCAGGCTATGAGTTTGAAAGTATGAAAGTTTGTTAAAAGCTGCTTAATCAGCTGCTGCATGTACAAGTTACAACAACCAATAAACTAGCAAACTGTTAAATATCAAAATAAAATATGTAAGTAACTTGCATTCATGTTGTTATTACAAATAAAAGTTTGTAGCCTATGCAATGGCACATCTCTAAAACATTTTTGTTAGGGGATGATCTTCTAACATGTAGTTTAAAATGAGGGTAAACATGTTAAAGGAGCCAGAATGTGAAAGTAAATCAGAGTTATTGTTTTGCATTTCCTAATTTTACTTTAACATGTTTAATAATTGCAAGGGTAAAATTTATAGCATTGTATATAATAAATCCAAAGTGTTACAATCATTCAGAAGTCAGTAACATTTACTCTTATAAAATACCAATCTGTAATTAAGCCAACAATTCCAGATAAATAATTCCTTTTATCAACATGAACGACAGATAAAATCAATTTAAGGATGTAATTATATTAAAAAAGGAGGGCAAACAGATCCTGGTTGAACACTGACTCTGCGGGTGAATGAACCCTTTGGAAAACAGAGCTGACAAAACATGTTATGTTACCATGGTTACAGACCTGATACTCTCACAGAAGGCAATGTGGTGACACAATACACAACACTATGAAAGTATTTGAAAGATAGGATTTGAATAAAAGAACAGAGTTCCAATGTTCCCCGCATTGCACATATTTTATCTATCCAAGGTACAAGGGCAATAACTGAAAAAAACACTTTTTTTTTAAACATTTCTGGTATAAACCTATGATATATGTTTCATAAAATTCTGGCAAGAAGATGAGAGTGCTAACAATGCAATTTTCCATATAATTAATGTTTCCAAGGGGCATAACTCTTTTAAAAATAATTGATCGGCACTAATTTTCGAACTCGTCGAAGACATTGCTAATATAAACCTATGATATAAGTTTAATAAAAATCTGGCAAGAATTGTACACATGAGAGCACTATAAACAATGTAATTTTCCATATAATTAATGTTTCCAAGGGGCATAACTCTTTTAAAAATAATTGATCGGCACTGATTTTCGAACTCGTCCAAGACATTGCTGATATAAACCTATGATGTAAGTTTCATTAAAATCTGGCAAGATCTATACATGTGAGAGCGCTAACAAGACTGGACAGAGGGACAGACGCCTGGCATTTTTATGTCCCCCGCAACGTGTTGCGTAGGGGACAAAAAGCAGATGTTCCTTATGAAAGATTTTTTACTGTCATCAGGAAAAAATAGCCATGGGCATAATTGAAATTATCAGAACTTGAAGTAAGGTCTACTGTCATGACTGTGGACGAATTGAGAGATAGTTCAAATTAAATCTTATTGAAATACATATCATGTGTCCATACTTCTGGTTGTTAGAGAAATTTTGACATATGGTAGGTACATGATGTATGCTTACCTGAATGATATATATAAAGTGGTCTTATAGGGATCTAAGGGCAGTCTCTTTTCTAAAATGTGAGTGATCTTGATCATGTTTATAGACATATATCATGTATATATATAGAAAACTTGAAATAATTGAATACATTAATGTTTAATTATTTTTGGGTTGTAAAAAGCTTTTTCCAGTAGTCAGGTAGTTAATATGATTTGTTTGCATTAAAAAGTGTTTTATATCCTTCAAAAAACAAAAAAGCATGAGGTACTTTGGGTAGATACGACACTGGAATATCAAAAACTTAATGTGTTAGGACAAGTTTAACTGCATATTCTCTATGCATTTTTGTTGGGTTATACACTTACACTGGCCTCAGTAACATTAGAAAAATAGCTAAACTGGAAATACATGTACCTCATAGAGATGGGATCTCGTCTGGAGAAACAACTACATAAGATATATGAACAGACTTTGAGGCATTTCATTGATCCTTATAAAATTCTAATTGAAGATATATATATGTGAAAAATCTTATTTATTCTTGTGCAAATTTACTTTTACTTCAGTTCTATTTAATCAGTGATATTAATTTTACAGAACAGCGCCTGCATACAGGGTATGTTGCCATAGTAACAGGGGGATCAGCAGGGATAGGATTTGAAGTGTCTCGTGGTTTAGTCTCTAAAAATGTACATGTTGTGATAGGTTTGTTTTCATTTACCAATATTGTATATTTGTTGTTGTAAATTGTGTACCGTTGTGTCTTCCAGGTATTTCTGTTGTGTTTAATGAAGACCAGACTAATTAACAACACAATTTCAAATTATCAACTCTGACTAAAATAAATTGTCCACTCCATAATAGTGGTAAAAATGGGAGCTCTTTGGTACTACATGTACAGTGCTAAACTGTTCAAGAAAAACACTTCACTCTATCCCCTTATTCTGTCTTTTTTGTTGTGTGCATATTTATTTGAATAAGCTATGAAAGTATGTTGTTGTAGTAATGAAACATGTTGGTATGTATATAAATATACAAAGCAATAAAATTATATTGTTGATGAGTACTGGTATATATGACAACGAATGATTGCAATAAATATTGAAACAGGACCTGCATAATACAGTTTATCCCTTAAATCTTTGAAATTATAGGTTTCATAATGAGTGAGAATTGGATATCGCTTGATATCAACTTGAGTTATTTAATTTCAATATAATAATAAATGAGCCTCGGTGAGTTTATTATTACTATTTAAATCAAATAACGAGTGTTGATATCAAGCAATATCCAATTCTCAAGAGTTGTTAAACCTATTTCTCTTATGGTCAACACTCTCATTTGAAAATTCCGCGAACCGTTGGTCTAGTCTTTTGCACATACCTGTATGACGTCATATGTCCTGTCCTGGAGTCAAACTGTAACATCAGACATTTTTAAACTTTTTGTATGCTTCAGAATGTAATAAAATTTGACAGTAAGAAGATTTTCAGGTCAAAAGTGTGAGGGTTTTGTATATCATTGAAGAAATCACATATGTCCGTTGCCATGAACGAAATGAACATCGTCTTTACCTTTGAAAGTCATCAATGACCTAACTAATAGCCAATGGAAATGTCGTAATATTTTCTCATGATGCTGGATAAGCTAATCAAATTAACACAGTTTTCGTATCAATTTTCTTATCACTGTGATACGAGAAATATCTCTTCATACAAGAAATAGATAACAGGCCACAACCATAAGAGAATGTGTTTGACTAGAAAAAAAACTATTTGTATTAAAGTTTAGCAGTTTAGGATTGAAAAATTATGCAAAAAAGTTGGTGCATTTTAATTTGACCAATTCAAAATTCCTAAAAAAATTCTTTGTGGTATACTGGACTGTATACATGTTAAAAGCTGTAAAGTGGATCGTCAGAAAATACAAATCATCTGTTATTCAATGCTAAGATAAGTTCTTGAAAATTTTAATTAGAAAAAGAGGTTTTCCTTTTTTCATTTAAAAAAGAAAACATGGAATAAACATGTATAATGTGAGTCCATACACACTGAATTGTCAGTTATTTAATTATAATATTAAAAGTGTACACAATTCACGTCATATATTGATTTGATGAACCAAAGGGGCAGTATCTATTTACAATCCACTCCTCAACCTAGGATGAACTAAAAAGTTTAACACCCCCAAACCAAGAATAAGACTATCTTCCAACACTGACCAAAGCCATACATTACACTGTGTATGCTTTAAATTCATTGACCTTATGTAAATGATTGTTAAATAATTGTCACTTTTAATTAGAATTTGATTTGTTTTAGGATCAAGATGTTCAGAAGAAGGAAAGCAAGCTGTAGCCAAGATAAGAGAAGAATACCCAAATGCTAAGGGTAGGTCCATGAAGATTAAAAATTTAAGAATTTATTATTTTCACATGTTGCAATAGACTGAGATAGTCCTGCCTCACTTAAAACTTCATGATGAGACCATATACATTCTTCTTTTACAACAATGTTTGATGTTCGTCCATTTTGTATTATGAAGGAACATCTAACCTCACCAGAGGCATTTTATACCTGAAGAAAAATTACGAAATATGATTGCATTATACTTCAATTGATTGTGTAATTTATTATTAAAATTAAGAGCAAATAATATTTAACGCCAAACTATGTGATACATGTGTTTTACCTTGAGTCTTTTGGAGAGAAACTAGCTTTCACATTGCTTAATGAAAAAGGGTAAAAAAAATAAGGTAGAGGAGTAAAAGTAGAGTAGTTAGTTAAAGGTAAACACACAGACTTTTTACTCTAGCCTTATGAAGATATTTCATGTATTCAAAATCAATTTCATATCTTCCCATATTGTCTTTCAGTGGATTGGTTGCACATAGATCTCACATCATTGAAGTCTGTTAGAGAGTTTACAGACAGTTTTCTAGCAATGGGGTTGCCATTAAATATCCTAATTAACAATGGTAAGATTTCTGGTTTAAGGTTAAATTACAGATCAGTAAAGCATTAACTTATCCTTCATTACAGAATGTCTTAGCTTTAATCATGTAAATTTCAGATAATATTCAGTTTTATGCAGCATCATTTGTTTGTTTAAAAGATATCTTATACTTGTATAAGGAAGAACAAATAAAAATTAAACAACAGATACAATATAATTATGTTAGATCTATCAGAAAAAATAATTCTTATGACAAATTTAGTATACGTATTCATTATACAGTCTTTCCTTTTTGGGGTAAAGATTGCATTCCTGCAATCAAAACCCTTATGGGACTGGCTTGACACAAAGGAACTACATTTTATAATGAGCATATAATTTAGCTACTTAATCAAATGTCTCATTTCATTAGTTTTGCTATCAGTACCTTTAAGGATTTTTAGTGTCTGACTACCTTAAGAAAATCTTAAAACAGACATTTATTATATTGTAGCTGGAATAATGTTTGCTCCATACCAAGAGACAGATGATGGATTAGAAGAACATTTTCAAGTCAATTACCTAAGTCACTTCTACCTCACATTACTGCTATTAGATGTGTTAAAGAAAACAGGGACAGACAACTCTTACTCTAGAATTGTAAATGTATCATCAGTAGTACATAAACTGGGAAACTTAGATATCGACAGACTTTGTTCAAGGTTAGAAAAATATCAAATGAAAATGTATTACTGTAAATTTAGAAATTATTGCGATGTTTTTACTATTGCGAAAAATGCCACAGGGTTATAATCCCAATAATTTAAACTCGCATTTTGAAATTTTTTATATGAATTAAACTGGATTTTTCTCAATATCGCAAAAATTAAAATTGCATTTTAGTCTTAAATGACAAAATCGCAATAATTACTGAATTTACAGTACTAGATATCAGTTTGTCTATTTTCTTTCTCCATATTGTTTCAGGAAGGGACTTCAATCTGAAGTTTTCAGACCTGTTAAATTTGAAAATTAGCCGTACCAATGTTTATACTTCACTGGACGTGCATTTCGACAATACTATAGTGTGTTTTCAGTGATGCTCGAGTCCAAAATATGTGAAAATCCAAACTCTACTACAAACATTGAAGACCTGATAGAACCAAAAAGTACCAAAAGTATAGCCAAACTCATTAAAGGAATACCAGAATGTCACTGGCAGTCTAATTTGGGCTACTTTTTTGATAGTGTTCTGTACAACACAACACCTAATGAAAAGTTTTCTGTTTCAGAATAGTAATTGATAAGTTTTTCATATTTTGAATTCTGCATCTGATTAGTTTTGAGCATTATATGACATGTATGAATTACACCACATTACTTCTGCTTCAGTGATTTCAGTTGTGAGATTGCAAGTCTTTAATATTTTCAGCTTTGTATAACAGCAAACCAAATGTAAATAGAACCCTGAGTAGAACAAAAATCATTTGAAATGAATTATTGGATTAACACATTCATTGAATCTTCATCAGTACTTTAAATCTGTGAAAACCAAACAACTTGTCTGATCAGAAACGTAACTTCTTGGAGGAGAAGAACCAGTAGTTTTCACTGTATTTAAAAACCAAACTATATGTATTATTAAATAAGATACACATTTCCAATTACTGGTATGAAAATTTATACGAGATAATTATAATTACTGGTATAGAAATTCATGGGAGACAATTGTGATTACTGGTATGAAAATTCAGGGGAGATAATTATAATTACTGGTATGTAAATTCAGGGGAGATAATTATAATTCCTGGCATGTAAATTCAGGGGAGATAATTATAATTCCTGGCATGGAAATTCATGGGAGATAATTATGATTACTGGTATGAAAATTAAGGGGAGATAATTATAATTACTGGTATGTAAATTCAGGGGAAATAATTATAATTACTGGCATGATAATTCATGTGAGATAATTATAATTACTGGTATTTAAAGTCAGGGGAGATAATTATAATTACTGGTATGAAATTCATGGGAGATAATAGTAATTATTGATTAAAAATTCATTGGAGGTAATTGTAATTACAGGTTTGAAAATTCATGGGAGTATTCACCTCATGCAGCATATTCAGATTCCAAACTAGCTGTTACTGTCTCATCATTCATGCTAGGAAGGAAACTAAATGATGAAAATTGTAAAGTAACAGCCAATGTCCTTCATCCAGGAGTGGTTAAGACAAGCTTATACAGACATGTACATTGGAGTATAAAATGGTTCTTAGACATTGTTGCCATACTTTTATACGAGGTTAGTTTTAATGTTTTTATATATGCCTGGTAGTGGGAGGTCCATTTATATGTCCTTCAATGATTAAATTTTCTATCCATATCTAATTAATTAATTATGAATGAATTTCAGCCAAATATAACTTTTACACTATGTTTTTTTTTCAATCTGGCATCTTTCAATAAGAGTAGTATTGAGTAATAATTTAAGTTTAATTCATATTTAGGGATTCACCTGATATTTTCATAGTTCTTATTTTCCCCATTATCAATGCATTAATTTTTGGTTTAGGGGTCAAATTCATACAACAAATGATGACTGAGCACTAGCCTACGCATCAATTTTGATTTATACAATCCATTTGAGCTGAGTACAATTGTGCAATTCAAGTAATCGTGAAATCATCAAAAATAACACCTGTGTAAATTTTTCAACACTTTACTGAAGTTAAACTGAAGTTGTTTTACATCAATTTTTTTCAGACTCCAGAAATGGCAGCAGATACAGTTCTATATTTAGCATTATCACCAAGTGTAGAGGGAGACACTGGCAGTTACTATGACAACTGTGTTAAAAACAAACCACATGACAGTGCACAAGACAGACTATTACAGGAAAAATTATGGCATAGATCATGTGAAATTATTGAACATTTGACAGAAAATGAATTTAAACACAAATGATAATTCATTATCAGCAATTATATCTTGAACCATGGAGTTTACAGATTATGCATATCTTTTTAAAAAATTTCATAAATTTCAATATAACTACACTACACTGCATTTAAAAAAGCCAATGAAAGTACATTATCATATCATAGATCTACTAAACTAGATTTTATTCTTAGGCACTTGTTACTGTGGATTCCTTTAATGGCGGTTATTTTGGTGGATTGATGTAAAATTTATATTCCTGTATTCATGGATACTAAGTTTCATGGGTATGACAAGTTATTGGTGGTTTACCATAAACAATGAATTTCTGAAAAAATTAGTACCCCATGAATAAAAGTGAATCAAAAGTATTATGGTAGAATTGACAGAATTTCTATTGTCAAATTGATTGACAAATGTTTTCTAAACATGAATGGATACAATATCAATCAATCAATCACAGACATAGAAAAAATCTTATCAACTGAAAAAATAACCGTACTAGGATCTGACAACACTCCATTTTACTTTCTGTTCTGATGATTATTACATCAGCCAATGAAATGTTTGCCTTCAAATATTTGAAGATGGGTTAACGTTTCATCATGACAAAACCAGAGGATCCTGAAAGGTCTTAAGAACTGAAAGTAGAACAGAGCAAAGTCAGACCCTTGAAAGCGGAGTGTGGACCCATGATCTGTATTTTAATCATCTATTGATTATTATTTTACTCCATGGCCCACACTTCAAAAAGTTTTTGACCCTTCCATCAGTCAGTCCGTCAGTTATTCTCATTTTCCAATGCTTACTCAAATACTTTATATTGATTGTAACCTAGCTTAAGTGTATGGTCAAATATAATAAGAGAAAGACCCTTTTGATTCTGAGGTCAATACTTCAAAGGTCAAGGCTCAAGCTCATGGTTACTAAAATATATGGAAATTTATGCAGAAAAGTGGTTTCAGATGCTAAATCAAATACTACATAGGACAATGCAACTATACTTTGACATATGGTCACATATAATGAGAAGAAGGTCCCTTTTGATTTTGAGGTACTTTATCTTAGGTCAAAGTGACTGAAAATGGACTGAAGTTTGTGCATAAAAGTGGTTTAGTATGCTTAATCAAATGCTAAATATGAAATTGCAACCTTACTTGGATGTAGGGTCATATAAAATGAGAGGAAGATCTCTATTGATTTTAATGTCACTATTTCTTAGGTCAGGGTCAACGTTACTAAAACTAGACTGAAATTTGTGCCAAAAAAGTTATTTCAGGATGCTTAATCAAATACTAAATATGAAATTGCAACCTTACTTGGATGTAGGGTCATATAAAATGAGAGGAAGATCACTATTGATTTTAAGGTCACTATTTCTTAGGTCAAGGTCAAAGTTAATAAAAAATAGACTGAAATATGTGCAAAAAAGTGGTTTTATGATGGTAAATCAAATACTACATATAGGATGGCAACCTCACATGGATATGAGGTTGCATATAATAAAACAAAGATCCTTATTGGTTTTGAAGTAACTTGGACTAAATTAAAAGCCACAGTTGATAAAAACAGATTGTGTATGACAATATTACTGTCCAAAATTATAACAGAAAAGAATCATACCGTAAGTAAACCAAACAAAACTATGCAATGAGGTCTCTATAAGCTTTTCCACTTTATATGGGAGGTATGGGGTGTGTGAGCTTGCTTACTTAATGTTCTATAATTGTATAAATCTATAAAAAAAACAAACGCCTGGGACGAAAGTCGCAGTATGCGAGACATAGGGGTTACTATCCAGCGGCAGCGGTGGAGTAAACTATTTGTATAAAGCTTTATATTTCAGAAGGTAGAAAACCTGGATGCTTCATACCTTGTATGCAGATACCTTATGTTACGAAGTTTCTGTCTGTTCTATGCCCATTGTCCTTGACCTTATTTTCATGATTCAGCAATTGCTTGAAATAAAATTACAGCTTTTTTGTCATGTGAATTTCTCACTTATTATGTGTAATAGGATAACTATATTTGGTATATGGGTTCCTTGCAATGTCTACAAGTCCATCAGACAGGGTTCACTTGACATCAACCTCAATTCATGGATCAGTGATCAAGGTGAAAGTTACGTGATTAGGTCTGTTTCTCAATTACTATAAGCAGTAGGTCAACTATATGTGGTGTATGGAATGACTGTAAGGGGTACATGTCAGTCTGGCAGATTTCATTTGACCTCTATTTCATGGTTCATTGTTCAATGTTAAGTTTTTCAACTACTATAAGCAATATGTCAACTATATTTGGTGTATGGAATGAGTGTAAGGTGTACATTTCTAGCCGTAGTCTACTGACCCTGACCTCATGTTCATGGTTCATTGCTCAATATTAAGTATGTGTTTTGGCCTGTTTTTTAAATACTAATACATGTAGCAATAGGTCAACTATATTTGGTGTATGGAATGATTGTAAGATGTACATGTCTGTCTGACATGTTTCATCTGACCTTGACTCCATTTTCATGGTTCATTGGTAATTGTTAAGTTTTCTTTGATAAGTCTGTTTCCTTAGATACTATTAGCAATAGCTTAAATATATTTGGTGCAAGGAATGATTGTAAGGTGTACTTGTATGTCTGTCGGGTATCATTTGACCTTGAACTCATTTTCATAGATCATTGGTCAATGTTAAGTTTTCACAGTTTGATTTCTTTCTTTGAAAGTATAAGCAAAAGACCAACTATATTTGTTGCATGGAATGATTGTAAGTTGTACATGTCTGTTTGCTAGGATTTATCATGTTTTGGTCTGTTCTTCAATTACCATAAGCAATGGGTCAACTGTATTTGTTGTATGGAATAATTGTAAGTTGTAAATGTCTGTGTGACAGTTTATTATCTGACCTTGACCTCATTGTCATGGATCTTTAAAAATGTTAAGTTTATGAGAAAAACCTTTATCTTTAAGACTTTCAACCTAAAATCAATGATCAGTAAAACAGGCAAGACATTTCAGCGTGTGCACTCTTGTTAATTAATGTGATAACTCTACATGTTGTACTGTGGATTCATTTAGGGCTATTCCATTAAAATGTATGTGGGAGGGTAGGAAGGGACTTTCAAAATATCCCTACAACCAAGAACCATTTTTTAGATAATTTTGCATAATGGTAATAGACGCATACTGAAAAAAGACCCATGACCCACATTCAATAATAAAACTTCCCATCCTACCCTCCAACATACATTTTAATGGAATAGCCCTTATCTTTTAGGGTAACAATTTTCATGTATTAAGGAAAACTGCCATGTTCTTGGATATTTGATTTCAAGGTTATGCTAAAGTCTGCATACAACCTTATAGAAAATGTGTTGAACATTTAAATTCCTGGTTCACCTGTTTCCACGAAATCCACAAAAATGGTATCCAATGAATAATCCTAAGTCCACATTAATGTGATAACTCTACATGATGTAGCAGAATATTACTAACAAAAATGTATAAATTCTAACACCTTTATTCATTTATAAAAATATTGCAGTAATTTCTGAATTTGAGGTATCAATTTCAATTTACATATAAAAGTGGAAAAAATTCAATAAAAAATACATACGGTACTAGATATAACTATCAAAAAGTGGAAGTTGTTTCAGTAAAATAACAGTGTGGAAGATGTAGAGATTGATTGTCATATCACAGGATCATGGTTTTATCACAGTGATTTACATCTCTTAAGTTCAATGAAACAAAGGAGTTTTATATCTTACTGTAACATGTAACCTTAAAAGTTCGGTGTAAAAGTTAATATATTAACCATCACAATGTTTGTCAGTGTAAATAACAATTGCTGATTGGACTCTCTGTCTCATACCAATACTCAGATTTTATGTGTGTTATGTGTTTTGTAATTTTGTACAGCTCTAAAGACTATTTTTTATTGGGCCGTGTATACTTTTTTGTCCCTCGTAGCAATTAAAGATTCGTAAATGTATTCAAAGACACTCAGTTACTTTAATACCAGTTCCTTTTGCATCTTGTGAAACATTTTCTTCATAGCAATTATGATTCGTAAAGTAAGAAAATCTGACACCATAGATTTCGACACCAAGTCCAATGAACTTTGTAACAGCTTTCCGTGTTTTGCAAATTATTACGAGACTCAGATGAGACTTAATAAAATGCTCCGCTGGGCGCAGGTTGATTCGACCGCAGAGGTCGAACCCTGAACAGTTGGGGCAAGTATGGACACAACATTCAAGCTTGATACAGCTTTGGATTTGGATTGTGATTAAATATTTGACACAGCATAGGTTTCTAACACAGATTGAATGTGGTCTAAGAACTTAAAAATTTTAAATTGGACATTCACCTATTATGGTCCAATATCCAAAATCTAAATACATGGTTAGATTCAGCATATCAAAGAACCCCAAGAATTCAATTTTTGATGAAATCAAACAAAGTTTAATTTTGGACCCTTTTGACCTCAATGTGGACAAAGTTGATAACGGGGCCCAAAAATCACAAATCTAAATACATGGTTAGATTCAGTATATCAAAGAACCCCATATATTCAATTTTTGTTGAAATCAAACAAAGTTTAATTTTGGACCCCGATTTGGACCAACTTGAAAACTGGGCCCATAATCAAAAATCTAAATACATGTTTAGATTCAGCATAACAAAGAACCCTAAGAATTCAATTTTTGTTAAAATCAAACTAAGTTTAATTTTGGACCCTTTGGACCTTAATGTAGACCAATTTGAAAACGGAACCAAAAATTAAGAATCTAAATACACGGTTAGATTCGGCATATCAAAGAACCCCAATAATTCAATTTTTGATGAAATCAAACAAAGTTTAATTTTGGACCCTTTTGACCTCAATGTGGACAAAGTTAATAACGGGGCCCAAAAATAAAAAATCTAAATACATGGTTAGATTCAGCATATCAAAGAACCCCATATATTCAATTTTTGTTGAAATCAAACAAAGTTTAATTTTGGACCCCGATTTGGACCAACTTGAAAACTGGGCCCATAATCAAAAATCTAAATACATGTTTAGATTCAGCATATCAAAGAACCCTAAGAATTCAATTTTTGTTAAAATCAAACTAAGTTTAATTTTGGACCCTTTGGACCTTAATGTAGACCAATTTGAAAACGGAACCAAAATTTAAGAATCTAAATACACAGTTAGATTCGGTATATCAAAGAACCCCAATAATTCAATTTTTGATGAAATCAAACAAAGTTTAATTTTGGACCCTTTGGACCTCAATGTGGACCAATTTAAAAATGGGGCCCAAAATCCAAAAACTAAATACACGGTTAGATTCAGCATATTAAAGAACCCCATGAAATCAAGAATAAAACCCCATTGAAATTGGTCAAGAAATAAGCAATTTATAGGAAGTATCTTCTTTTGCACAATCCTGTGCTATTAAATATTTCTTGCTATTGCGCAATACTGTACAATTGACAATTTCTTGCTATTGCGCAATATTGTGCTATTGGATATTTCTTGCTATTGCGCAATACTGTGCAATTGAAGATTTCTTGCTATTGCGCAATACTGTGCAATTGAAGATTTCTTGCTATTGTGCAATACTGTGCAATTGAAAATTTCTTGCTATTGCACAATACTTATTATATAATAATTTACACTTTCTGTTTGGTGTGTATCTCCTACCATATCATTATTATTTGATTTTAAATATAAATCAGAAATAACCAACTTAAAATGGAAAATTTTAAAAGAAACAAAAAAGGAAAAAAAGAAAAAAAATGAAAAAAAAAATAAATCCCCCCCCCAAAATTTTTTGAACCCCCATTATGATTCATCACCCCCAAACTCAATCCCAGCCTTCCCTTTGTGGTATGGTATCTTGCAGTACAATTTCAGAGAGATCCATACACTTGAACACAAGTTATTGTCTGGAAACTAGAAAAAAATGTGTTTTTGGCCCCTTTTTGGCCCCAAATTCCTAAACGTTTAGGGCAATTACCCCCAAACTCAAACCCAGCTTTCCCTTTGTGATATGGAACCTTGTAGTACAATTTCAGAAAGATCCATACACTTACACACAAGTTATTGTCATGAAACTAGAAAAATGCTTGTTTTTTGCCCCTTTTTTGGCCCCTAATTCCTAAAATTTGGAGGCAATTACCCCCAAAATCAATCCCAGCATTCCTTTAGTGATATTGAACCTTGTGGTACAATGTCAGAGAGATCCATACACTAACACACAAGTTATGTCAGGAAGTTACAAAAATGCTTATTTTTGGCCCCTTTTTGGCCCCTAATTCCTTTACTGTTATTACCATAACCCCCAAAATCAATCCCAACCTTCCTTTTGTGGTATTGAACCTTGTGGTAAAATTTCATAAAGATCCATTCACTTAAACTAAAGTTAGAGTGCGAAAACCAATGTGTCTTCGGACGACGCCAGACGACGCCGGACGACGACGACGACGACGCCAACGTCATACCAATATACGACCACAAAAATTTTTTTGCGGTCGTATAAAAAGTGTATGAAATTTCACAAACAGTCAACATAAGTTCATTTTTTGTTGAACAAATATTTATCTCTGCTTCTTCTTTGAATATTTAAAGGTCAGTGAAGTCAGAAACAGAGCCTGAGGTCAAGGACAAATTGTAACTGTTAAATGCATATTTACTCTCTATTATAAATCAATATACAAAGTGTTGATTCTTATAATTCATACATATAAAGAGAGATGTGGGGTTTCCTGTACGAACCAGTCCTACAGGAATGTACAAGGAATCTAGTAGGAATTTGTTAAGAATTCCTACCAGAAAAGGGTGCATATTCCTGCTTGATTGTAGCAGGAATCCGCCAGGAAAAACAGCTGAAAAATTTTAATTAGCAGGATTTTCTTAGTAGGAATAATGCGATTCCTACCAGGAATATTCAAACTAGCAGGAATAATTTGGTAGGAAAGTAAAATTCCTACCTGGATATTTGTCTAATTTTCCTGCTAATTTGAATATTCCTGGTAGGATTTTTTTCATAAATTCCTACTAGGAAAATTCATTTTCTAGCAGGAATCTAAAAATATACATTACAAACTTAGGTGTATACACATATACACATCTGGGTCATTCATTAAGTTTGAATCTCAGCCACAAAGAACAAAGAAAATTTAAATACCTAAATATCTGTAAATCAGTAAAAGACATGTAAAGGTCTACACTTGTTCTTATATAAGAGGCAATTGTCTATTCAATATTGAGGCCTTGGTGGCTGAGTAGTCTAAGTAGTTCATTTACTGTAGTACTAGACTATCAAAACTGAGGTTGTGAGTTCAAACTCCGCACATGACAGGTGCATTCGACTCCAATCATAATTGACTAAGTTTGCTGGTTTTCCTACCAAAAGTCTGTGGTTCTCTCTCTGGGCACTCCAGCTTCCTGATCTATAACAAGTGGCTGCCATGAAATAGCCAATAGTACTGAAATTGGTGTTCAACACCAAATATTCTATCAACCAGTCTATACAATATGTCAAGTTCTAAATCACTCTTGAGTCTTCTCAACTTTTGAATGTAATCAATAATGACTACCAAATTTCTGAGATCAAGGTTATATTCCTTTATGGAGAAAAACACCAAAATATAACTCACAACCTTTGACAGGTTTCCTGACTCTGGAAAGGCACATAAATAAATTGGTTTTTGAGCGCTCACAATTTTTCACACAATATTGTATTTAAAAGTGCATTTAAAAAATATGATCATGCAGAATGCAGAATGCACAAACAAAATTTGTGTACAGAATTGACTTGTTTCTTGTGTACTTTTAGGAAGCCAATACATAGTGGGAACCAAGGGATTTTCAGCGATAGCTTTAACAGTCTTTGTTGAGAAAGTTTATCTTCTCTTCGTTTAAGTATTAGGAATGAAAGTAATAGAACAGTTATTCATAGTATAAATACTTATTATATAGAAACAGATTATCAAAACTCTTTTCTTTGTTACTGGAGTTATTTGGATTCATTTTATGTGTAGTTGATTTCACTTTAACATTTTTGTGTATGAATATATTAAGTGTATTGTACACAGTTGTCAAAAAGAAAGATCATCAGTTCAAGAAGATTGATGTAGATTTTGCAATTATTGTGAAGCAAGAAGTTGTTTTAAATGTACCCGGACTATTAATTGTTGATACATGACACATTTAATCAATTAGTTTTAAGTATCAAGGTGTAAATTTTCAGTTGGAAGTCTCATGTGAGGGTCCGGAAAAGAAGGAGAAAGTCTAGAGAGTGAAAATAAAAAAGTTATTTCACCTGTGAGATTATTGATGGGAAATTCATATATATAACCATCTTCTACTTAGTATATTATAATCTCAGTTATGTAGTTATGTAGTTGGTTAGTTTTCAAGAAATATACATTAACCAAAACCTCAAACATCATCGTTTTGCTGTAAAGCTGAGGTCAAGGCAATTTGTCAGATGTACGCCATTCAGCAAACACATTGATCAATTTTAATGACCTTTGTTGATAGTATAACAGAGGAAAATAGAGATAAAAAATCCAAATTGGAGTCAGAAAATGGACTTTACAATGATTCTACATACAAAGTCAAAATACAGTTAACTTGTTGTTTTAATGTGCTGATGAAGAGACACTCATGACAATTGAACCTGACCAAGATCTGGTGCATGAAAATAAGATCAAGCCAAGCATTGTGTCAGAATGGATATCATGCTACTTTAAAAAAGAATGCACTCGCTGAAATGTCTCGCCTGTTTTACTGATCATTGATTTTATGTTGATAATCCTAAATATAAAGCTTTACTACAAGTATCACATAAACTTAACATGATCCAAGAAAATGAGGCCAAGGTCAGATAAACCAAACTGGAAATACATGTACACCTTACAATCATTCCATACACCAAATATAGTTGACCTATTACTTATAGTTTAAGATAAACAGACCAAAACACAAAAACTTAACACTGAGCAATGAATCGTGAAAATGAGGTCATGGTCAAATAAAACCTGCAAGACTGACATGTACATCGTAAAATATTTCCATAAACCAAATATAGCTGACCTATTGCATATAGTATTAGAAAAAAGGACCAAAACACAAAAACTTAACTTTAACCACTGAACCATAAAAATGAGGTCAAGGTCAGATGACACCATCCAGTTGGACATGTAACCCCTAAAAACCTTTCATACACCAAATATAGTAGACCTATTGCTTATAGTATCTGATATATGGACTTGACACAGAAAACTTAACCTTGTTAACTGATCAGCCAACAATCGGTTCTTACTGTGATGTTATAACATTAGCATTGTGAATTTGTAACATGAGAAATTTACAGGAAAATGCACAAATTCAAATGTCGTCTATTGGAAGAACAACTGAAAGGCCCAAGTAGGTGCAATTTTGCTAAAATTCTTAGATGTACAGCATGTTCCTTTTATAGATGGAAATTTCATAAGGACCAAATAACTTTATATTTTCAAAACCAATAGCAATTTTAAATATCATCCTGGGTTTTATTACTGGCATAGTGGATATTTTGATTGCATCTTGTTACTTTGTTTATAGCATCAGGGAAAGCCAAATTTTATAATTTCAAAACACCCTAAAGATGGGATCAAAGAATAAAATTACAGCAGCACGATGACCTGATGTCACAAAACCATAGGTGGGAATACTGAGGTTTTGCTTATTTCAAAAGTATCAATCATTTAAAAATAAATTTAATAAACTCTTTAATTATAATATGTATAGTCTCAGTAATTGCACAGGTTATAAAAGTGTTTATGGTCACTTGATCTGGAAGGAACAGCTTCTCTCCACAAGCATCTTCCATCAGTTAAAATAAAAGTACTATCTGAGCTCTATTTTTCAACCTGGAAAAAATTAATTCAGACTTATTTTATTTCTATATATTTTATAATGTATACTATATACAACATGTATAATAAGGGAGACGGATTTATATAAGTTCTTCTTGTTTCTGAATCCCTGTATTTCTATTGTATTACTGTAATTTGTGCACTTTTGAAAATAAAATATTTTGTAAAATTTAAACTAACATGTATAATACATGTAATAAGGGAAATAATATATGTCTACACAGAAATCACACCTATCAAAACAATTTTTTTATATCTAATTCTTGACAATAATAAACTTACTGAAGATTACATTTTTTTTAACCAAAACATAAGTGTTTAATTGTAAAGTCAAATTATATGAAGTCGCTTTGAAAATGTTATGCCATGCTTAAAAAAAACATTGTAAAAAAACCTAATGTTCATACCTATATATGCAAAAATTATACTTTGGCAAACTTAACTAGGAATGAAATGTAGGCCATGATGATCAAGATGTTCAAGAACTGTCTTACAATATTATAGGAATACAGCAGTAACATAGCATTGACTTAAGATTAATAAGACTGTAAATGTACTGTAATTATCATCAATTTTTTACCTGAGTTATCAATGAATTTCCAATATTTATCTGGGTTTTTGTGTGTCAATTCCAGGGGTAAAATTTGTTTTTAATTTAATTGATTTTTCACACTCAAAAATTTACTTGATTACAAAAAAAAAATTCTGTTAAATCATTGCTGTGATGTCAGACTACTTGTCAGGAACTGATTTTTTCCCCCTATAATCAATGCTTCTTAATGGGTTGCTGAAATAGTGTCACCTACTTATGTTCAATTGTTCAGGTTGAAACCTGTGCTGATCAGCTATCTGCAAGCTAGATCAACAAATAGAATTAGGGTTTTGCTCATTGTTGAAGGCCGTACAGTGACCTATAGTTGTTAATGTCTGTGTCATTTGGTCTCTTGTGGAGAGTTGTGTCATTGGCAATCATACCACATCTTTTTTTTTTATTTTTAAGGCAAAAATTCCCCTCTCTCTTAAAGAGAGATCTCTTTAAATTTTGAGTTTTGTACAAGGAAATCAGATTTGCGAATAATAGGTTACAATGTATGTATCAATGGGACAGCAACCCAAAAACACTAAAAAAAAACAAAAAAAAACAAAAACCTTCATGGATCTAGATTGATTAACAAGGGAGATAATCACCTGCTTCATCCCCTGATTCCCTGTCATCTAACATGTCTGTATCCAGTTCATCATCATTTGTGTCACTTTCATCATCATCGTCTCCATCATCATCTTCCTCATCTTCTTCTTCATCTTCCATGTGCTGAAAAAAGAAAAGCATAATTCTAAATAAATAACTTTCAGAACATCTCTCCAATGTATGTTTACATGACCAAATACTTTTTTAGCATATACTTAATAAATATAAAAGTTACCAGTATATCAAACTTTGTGACTGCTATATTGTGTTGATGGATGCACATAATTTTCCAACGCAATGTTTGTTATTCATCTTTTACCCCTGTATGTTAGTAGAAAACTGTATTACATATAGTTTCACAACTGACACAATTGCCAACATTTGTGTACCTATTTAGTTGTGTATCAAAGCATGTATAGGTCATAACTAAACTATAAATCTGATGTCAGAAATACATTTGTGTACATTTGGTACTGTGAGGATAAGGATGAGAGTGTGCTTTCACTGCTTATTTTTATAGTAACTTGAGCAATTTAATTGTTTTCATGGGGATGAAGATTCATTGCATTTACCCAATATTACACAACTTTAATTTATAATCAGACTTTTTGCAGCAATAAAAAATTTAATAATGGTCAAATATGGCATAAATTTTTTTTCTTCAATGTAACGTGTTTAGAGTTGTAAATTGACTGGCTACATGGTGCCAAGAAATAAATTCTTAAAAAATCTAAATCTTTAACTATAAACCATTCGAAGAACAATTTCACTGAATAAATAAATGCAAATAGGTCACAGAAAAACATCTCAAATTTGTAACATGATGTAGGAAAAAGAGTTATAAATCTGCATTCTGGTAGGAGTTAAACCAGTCACCGGGAAAAAACATTTGTGATAAAAATTACCTTCTAGTGTCATTTCTATTTGATTTTTCTTTTTTACAATTAATTTCATAATTCAACACAATTCTGTCGAAGAGATATAATGAACCTGAGACATGTCAAACACATTTACAATGTACCTGTAAGCTACTGTATTTAATTTATCACTAAAATGCAATCAGCACTTCCCTTTACCTTTGACTGGTGACTTTATTGCTTTCAATACATATTTTTATACGACCCGCATCGTCCGAAGACACATTGGTTTTCCACTCTAACTTTAGTTTAAGTGAATGGATCTCTATGAAATTTTACCACAAGGTTCAATACCACAAAAGGAAGGTTGGGATTGATTTTGGGGGTTATGGTACCAACAGTTAAGGAATTAGGGGCCAAAAAGGGGCAAAAAATAAGCTTTTTTGTAACTTCCAGACCTAACTTGTGTGTTAGTGTATGGATCTCTCTGACATTGTACCACAAGGTTCCATATCACAAAAGGAATGCTGGGATTGATTTTGGGGGTAAATGCCTCAAAATTTTAGGAATTAGGGGCCAAAAAAGGGGCAAAAAACAAACATTTTTCTAGTTTCATGACAATAATTTGGGTGTAAGTGTATGGATCTTTCTGAAATTGTACTACAAGGTTCCTAACACAAAGGGAAAGCTGGAATTGAGTTTGGGGGTAATTGCCGAAACGTGTAGGAATTGGGGGCCAAAAAGGGGCCAAAAATAAGCATTTTTCTAGTTTCCAGACAATAACTTGTGTTCAAGTGTATGGATCTCTCTGAAATTCTACTGCAAGGTACCATACCACAAAAGGAAGGCTGGGATTGATGACGGGGGTAATTGCCTCAATATTTTAGGAATTAGGGGCCAAAAAGGGGCAAAAAACAAGCATTTTTCTAGTTTCAGGACAATACATGTATCTTGTGTGTAAGTGTATGGATCTTTCTGAAATTGTACTACAAGGTTCCAAATCACAAAGGGAAAGCTGGGTTTGAGTTTGGGGGTAATTGCCCTAAACGCTTAGGAATTTGGGGCCAAAAAACACATTTTTCTAGTTTCCAGACAATAACTTGTGTTCAAGTTTATGGATCTCTCTGAAATTGTACTGCAAGGTACCATACCACAAAGGGAAGGCTGGGATTGAGTTTGGGGGTGATGAATCATAAGGGGGTTCAAAAAATTTGGGGGGCGGATTTTTTTTTTTTCCTTTTTTTTTTCTTTTAAAATTTTCCATTTTAAGTTGGTTATTTCTGATTTATATTTAAAAGCAAATAATAATGATATGGTAGGAGATACACGCCAAACAGGATGTGTAAATTATTATATAATAAGTATAGTGCAATAGCAAGAAATTTTCAATTGCACAGTATTGCACAATAGCAAGAAATCTTCAATTGTACAGTATTGCGCAATAGCAAGAAATATTTAATTGCACAGTATTGTGCAAAAGATTGATTGATTGTTGGTAACTTAACATCCAGTGGCAAATATTTCATGCATATTCAGGACGATTGTGCAAAAGAAGATACTTCGTATAAATTGCTTATTTCTTGACCAATTTCAATGGGGTTTTATTCTTGAATTCTAGGGGTTCTTTAATATGCTGAATCTAACCGTGTATTTAGTTTTTGGATTTTGGGCCCCGTTTTTAAATTGGTCCACATTGAGGTCCAAAGGGTCCAAAATTAAACTTTGTTTGATTTCATCAAAAATTGAATTATTGGTGTTCTTTGATATGCTGAATCTAACCGTGTATTTTGATTCTTAATTTTTGGTTCCGTTTTCAAATTGGTCTACATTAAGGTCCAAAGGGTCCAAAATTAAACTTTGTTTGATTTTAACAAAAATTGAATTCTTAGGGTTCTTTGATATGCTGAATCTAAACATGTATTTAAATTTTTTATTATGGGCCCAGTTTTCAAGTTGGTCCAAATCGGGGTCCAAAATTAAACTTTGTTTGATTTCAACAAAAATTGAATATATGGGGTTCTTTGATATGCTGAATCTAACCATGTATTTAGATTTTTGATTTTTGGGCCCCGTTATCAATTTTGTCCACATTGAGGTCAAAAGGGTCCAAAATTAAACTTTGTTTGATTTCATCAAAAATTGAATTCTTGGGGTTCTTTGATATGCTGAATCTAACCATGTATTTAGATTTTGGATATTGGACCATAATAGGTGAATGTCCAATTTAAAATTTTTAAGTTCTTAGACCACATTCATTCTGTGTCAGAAACCTATGCTGTGTCAAATATTTAATAACAATCCAAATACAAAGCTGTATCAAGCTTGAATGTTGTGTCCATACTTTCCTCAACTGTTCAGGGTTCGACCTCTGCGGTCGTATCAAGCTGCGCCCTGCGGAGCATTTTATTACCTTGTGTATTGATCAATGCAAGCTACAGGTCGTCTAATGATTGACAGAGGACCATCACGGTGGAAGTATTCTTATGATTACCAATTATCAGAGTATATATCCCAGGCTGTACTTTATAACACAAAAGACTGCACACGCTGAAATGTCTCGCCTTCTTTACTGATCATTGATATTATGTTGATAGTTCTAAATATAAAGCTTCACTACAACTATCACATAAACTTAACATGATCCAAGAAAATGAGGTCAAGGTCATATAAACCAAACAAGAAATACATGTTCATCTTACAATCATTCAATACACTAAATATAGTTGACCTATTGCTTAAAGTTTCTAAGATACAGACTTAACCAAGAAAACTAAACATTGACTTATGAACAATGAAAATGAGGTCAAGGTCAGATGAACCATGCCAGGCAGACATGTACAGCTTGCAATCCTTCCATACAACAAATATAGTTGACCTATTGCTTATAGTAATAGAAAAACAGACCAAAACACAAAAACTTAACACTGAGCAATAAACCGTGAAAATGAGGTCAAGGTCAAATAAAACCGACCAGACTGACATGTACATCATAAAATATTTCCATACACCAAATATAGTTGACCTATTGCATATAGTATTAGAAAAAAAGACCAAAACTCAAAATTTAACATTGACCACTGAACCATGAAAATGAGGTCAAGGTCAAGTGAAAACTGTCTGACGGGCATGAGGACCTTGCAAGGTACGCACATACCAAATATAGTTATCCTATTACTCATTATAAGAAAGAAATTAACATTACAAAAAATCTTAACTTTTTTTTCAAGAAGTCACTGAACCATGAAAATGAGGTCATGGACAATGGACATGTGACAGACGGAAACTTTGTAACATAAGGCATCTATATACAAAGTATGAAGCATCCAGGTCTTCCACCTTCTAAAATACAAAGCTTTTAAGAAGCTAGCTAATGCCGCCGCCACCGGATCACTATCCCTACGTAGAGCTTTCTGCAAAAAAAGTTGCAGGCTCGACATAAATGATCTTTTCTCCTAGAAAATTCAAATGATCAATTTTATCATTGTTTATTTTATTTATAATCTATAACTTTAGAATAACAAACATACCTCTGATGCTGTTTTTCCAATAGGAACAATATTACTGTCTTTCTTTGCAATGCTTTCCATCTAAATATAATTATAGATATATAAAAGTTAAATGTATTGTAATACATTTGTATTTTGAAAATTAAAAACTTCTTGAATTTTGATTTTTACCTGATTTTTTTTTTTTATCCCTACATGAACAGAAGGGAATATCTGACCCACCAAAAAAATGCCACCTGCAGAAAAAATAGAGTCTGTAGGTCATCAAAATTTTATATAAATTTTATTTTAATTGAACTCAGAAATAGCTTTATCTGTTTCCTGAATAATAATCTATAAATAATATATAAATAATGATATTGCATTTACCAAGCAGCATATCTTATGTTTGCCTCACTAAGATTATACCCAACTCAAGTTTATTTTGACACCTTACCAATATAAAGATGATGTCCTCTCTCTCAATAATTCACTTGGTGACTATATTGAATGCATCTACATGTATCTCATCAAAATTGAAATAAAGAATACAACAAATGCAGTTAATGCATTTAATTCTGCTTCATATCTTCAAACTTGACTTACATCTAGAATTGACAATGAGGATCTGTTGAGAACAAAACTATACAACAGAAGAGATGAATTGTGAACTTTTTATTTCTATCTAGCTACATACCAGCAGCGCCTGCTTTCAGATTATATCTCCCAGTTGATACAATTTTCCAGAGCTTCCATTTCCTATCATGAGTTCTTGATAGAGGGTTCCTGCTTACAACGATCTAATTAACCAAGGGTTCCAAGTGATGAGCATGATGAGGTTGAAGTCTTCAAGTCGATAATTTTGTAGACGCCATCATGTCTTGGTTTAATGTTATGGAATATTCATTTCACAGATGACAACAGTTAAAGTGTTCCAATTGTTTTTTTACCACAATCTCAACCTCTTTTCCTTGAATGTTACATCAGTTAAGTAGACTTATCCCAAGAATTGTACTTACATGTACATGAGCAACATGACAGGCGCCACATGTGATGCAGGATCTGCTTACCCTTCCGGAGCACCTGAGATCACCCCTAGTTCTGTGTGGGGTACATTGTACGTGTTGCTTGGTCCTTTTTTTCTATGTTGTGTTTTACCATGGCGTTGCCAGTTTGTCTTCGACTTACAAGTTTTGAAATTCCTTTGACTGTTTAGTATCTCTCTCTTACTTTTTTTTACAATAAATCCAATACCTAGGATGTACAAAGTGAACAACTTTATCTTTTGGTAAACAAAAACATTAAAAGTAATTTTACCCATGATGTGTGTTCTTCTTCCAGTTTTGAAATTTCTTCTTCGTCATCGCATGGTTTATCAACAGTAAACCACAAAGGATCTGATGCACTTGGTACAAGTGATGGGAAAAACGATGACATGCTACCAGTATCTGAGTAATAGCAACAGTTTGGTAAAGTTTTGTTGACAAATTATTTCTAAAGATTTGCTTCAGTGTTGAATAAAAGCTTCAAAGTTAACAAAACTTGCCCCTTGTCTAAAAAAGTTTTGTGACCTAGATTTTTTCAATCTAAAACCATAAAAAATATGAAGCAAGACGGTCTTAATTAAAATAATTCAGTATTATGTTTTTGAATTGTAAATCACGTTGTATCAACAAAATCAATTTCTATATTTTTGTCTCAAATACTTAGTTTTTTTATCACAAAATCAATACCAATACGTTATGACGAAAATGTGAACATTTCATTTCTGTACGTAGTTCTTAAAACTTCACGATTGGTACTTAGTTAGTGCAGCCATTGATATTTCCGGTTTAACGAGACACACGTGGTTGATGTAAACAGAACATAATGTCAGACAGAAATCACAACAAACTGCCAAACAATCTCCCTCAGCTGCAAAACTTGATAAAACGTGATCCAAACTCATACAGAGAAGAGGTTAATTTGCATTGTAAAATCGATTTACAACATTTTCATTATACCTGTGTATAAATAACTATAATTTTCTAATTTTCAACCTGTCATCCACAGACACTTGTTTCTGTCCATGAGACGATCCACTATCAACGTATATTCAATTAATACGTTGATAGAGGATCTTCCCATGGATAGAAACAAGTGCCTGTGCTGTCATCTACTTTATTTTGATATCAATAAAGTAGAGATGCATCGCATAATTTACTTGGTAGATGACAAAGATGTATTCTCGTCCTTCCTATCATTTGCCAGAGGAGTAAATTGTCTTTAGGTAATTTGGTAGAGTGCCAGTGGTAGGTTATTATTTGGAAAGGGGTTTTGTCTTTTACATCTTCGCTACGATCCAGCCCCTCCTCATCAGCTCATCAGAGCTCATGTTTTTCTCTGTTTTTGTGTACATATATGCCGACTTGAAATAAAATTTACTTACTTACCCTAAATCCTCAATCCCTTGGCAGATTAAGTCAGAATTTCAGTGCCACAAGGTAATGATTTCTATTGGTCGCAGTTACAACTAGCTGCATGCAATCAACATGATCAAAAAGTGTTTTTAAGGTGTAAACATAAGTAGATTTTAAGTGAAATTTTAAAGTTTTAAATATTGGAATGCCAACATGTACATGTATATACAGCTTCTGCTTAACAACAATTTGTACACTCTGGACACAGCCATTTTTACACCTCCCAACTAAAGATAGTACATGTGCTGTCATTGATCAAGAATGATGTAGAAAGAGTAGATGTGACTTCTAACTGATGCTAGATGATATAATGCTGTATACACAAATTTTGTCTTTAATAGTCTGCCAAGGGTGAAGAGGAGCGGTTTGATGATAACCTTTTTCTAGCTAAGATGCATCTTCTATTTTAACCTGGAACTGTGGTTATTTAAAATGGAAATATCATGCTTGCCTTACATTTTACCAAGCATTAGGTATACATTCATGTACCTTGGTTGTTAGAACGAGATTAAATTAATTAAGCAAGTGTTCAATGCTGGATATCATCATGATAGCACTAGGTGTTGGGGAAAATTTATTACATTTATAATTTCTAATTGACCTAGAAGATTTAGTATTTTGATTCTACCTGTCAGGGTTACCATTCTGCCCCATCAGGCCCAATGGAGCAAAAACGAATTCTTCATTTGAACAAAATAATGTCTGTAATTTGTAATATTGAAAAAAAAGTGAAACAACTAATTTAATGACATGATTAATGAATATTTTGCAAATTTAGGTCTAGAGAAAAATTGCGTCTGGAACTTCTTATGATTTATTAGTTATTGGAAAAACTGACTATTTCTGAAATTGTGATGTTTCCTTCAACAAAATTTTCCAAATAAATGGATTTAAATCATAAAATTTATTGTAAACTCTATTTGAGCCATGAATGCATTATTTCTCCCACACACAATCACTCCTGGGCTGTTCCATTGTGAATGATGGGTTGCAAAAGTGTAATTAGTGATATTTTAATGCAGTTATTAACTTAACATTGGACAAGAACATATTTCTCAATAGGATGTAAATTACTAAATAGACTCTTTAGAGTGAAATGGGAAAGTACAGTACTGTTATATTACAACTGTAAATGCTCTGTTCAAACAATAGGAAATTTATTCATGAGTAAAGTTGTTCACTGAAAGTGTAATTAGTGATATTTCATTGAGATTGTTGTATAAATTATAACATATATATAATTTTCTACAGAAGATTTATAGAAACTTGTGAGTGTAAAATAGTAGTGTGTGTCTACCTGAATTGTCTTTGGAACGTTTTAGATTTCTTACAACTGCATAAGATATTAATAAGTTTTCTTTCTTTTTTAGTTTTTGCAACAATATCGTCACTTCCAGTCAAATTTGCAAATCTTCCAATTGAAACCATCAGAATATTCCAAAACATTAGAAGAATTAGTTTTGTTTCTGTCTCAAGTAAGTAATACATTAGTTAATTCATATTATAAATTTAATACATCAATTTAAGTATGTTACGATTATGTACATGTATATAAATGGTTTATACTTCATGTAAATTTCTTATGGGATATATTTACTGGTAATTTTTGTCATATCATTATATCTTTAGAGCTTGGTAGAGCATTTGACTTCAAGATTGTTGATTTTCAAAAGTTAATGCAATATTTGATCGAATTAGAGTGATAACATGTGACATGATGAACAATGATAAAAACTTGCATTTCAAATTTTACAAGGATAATCTTGTATCTTTGGTAAGTTTCTACTACTGCCACTGGTACAGAAATCACATTAATTTGATTATTACCCAAAGGTTTACTAGTTTACCTCAGTTTGTCAGTAACTCATTTCTGTCAAAATTCTCTAAACAATGAAATGTTGTAGCTTCTTGATATCTGACACCAAAGTTCATCTGAACATGCTGAATATGCCATACAGTATGACAAGTTTTCAGTTCCTTTAATTTTTTACTTCCTGTTTGCCAAAAGTTTATGTATTGAATGGTGATTTTTCAGTTCACATTCAATATATAAATTTTTGGCAAACAGGAAGAAGAACATTAAAGGAACTGAAAACTTGTCACACTGTATAGCATTTTCAGCATGTTCAGATGAACTCAGTTAGCAATAGCCCACAGTACATCTTGTTCATTGTTGTTATCGCTTGTAGCTGATTAACAATTATTAATGCATGCATTAAATTCTGTATTTAAAATAAATTTCTTTAACTAGTGATATTCTTTGTATGAGTCAATAAAATGGAAAACAATTTCTTGTCTAACTATAAAAATAAGAAGATGTGGTATAATTGTCAATGAGACAACTCCCCACCAGAGACCAAATGACATAGAAGTTAACAACTATAGGTCACCATACGGCCTTCAACAATGAGTAAAACCCATACTGCATAGTCAGCTATAAAAGGCTCTGAAATGACAAATGTAGAACAATTCAAATGAGAAAACTAAGGGCCTGATTTATGTCAAAAACAATAAACGAAATACAAATATGACATACAGCAACAAACAACAACCACTGAATTACAAGCTGAATGTTTTCATTATGTTGTGAAATGGGAAAGATTATGTGTAAAGAAAAATATTTCACAAATTACCACAAAAGACTGCAAAATTTTGTATAATTATGTCCTTTAGAATATGAGTTTTATGTAAACAGTAATGAAATACACCATACACCTTAACGATTAATATCATAAGTTAGCAACTCATGATATATTTAAGTTATGTTGCAAACTTATTGAAAAAAAATCAATCTGTATTGTAATTAATATACCGATTGTAAGAACATCAAAAGTCATTTCTCGATTTCAATTGAAACGGTATTTGGAAGGTCATATTATTTACCTCAATTTTGGATAGACTCTTGAATTTTGAAGAGTAGAAATAGGATGAACGGATCATATAAACCCCGAAGGCAAATATAATACAAGCCCAAACAAAAAAATATAAACAACGTTCAAACCTATGATTGCCTTGGATGCCTCAGAATGTAGCTTTAACACATGAATGAGTGTTATAAAAATAGTTTTATAACAATCATTCATGTGTTAAAAATACATTCTTAGGCATTTATATAATTTAATTTTAATTAGAAACTGTATCAGTTTATTTTCAAACTGATCCATGCCTAGATAGATTGAATGTTGATTGTTGCTATTTTTAGACACTATATATATATATATATACACAATAATTAAAGGGCATGCAAAGATTGAAAAAAGTACATTTAGAAATATTTTGATTAGGTTTCAGGACTCTTTCCAGAAGACTCATCAGATTTTCCACAACAACTGTGGGATGTCCTGAAAGTACATTCAACAGTTCTCGACAGGAATATGAGAATGGTAAATTAAAAATTATTAATATAACATATACCTCAACCAAATTAAGAAAAAAGTGATTAAAAATATAGTCGTTCCATAAGAAACACTTATATTATTGATGTTTAAGAACATTATATTTGTGCTAGCAGTGTTAAAAACTTTCAAGAGTAAAACTCTACATTGACCAGTTGAATTATAGAAAGTACTTTTAAATTACCCATGATATGAAGAAATAATTTATATGAAAACAATGTAAAGTGGTACCATGGAATTAAGAAGATATAATTATAACCTAGAAAATGAAAATATAAAGGTGTGAGTTTTATTAATTTTTATCTTCTTTCAGTCATTTTGCAGAGCTCTTATTCTACTGAGAAATAAAGGTACAATTCAAGCAACCAAGCTTCTGGAACTGTTTTTTGGACTATTTCGTTGTCAAGATAAAGTTCTACGGAAGACATTATACTCATATATTGTCACTGATATTAAAAACGTCAATTCCAAACATAAGAATATGAAATTAAACTCGGTAAGTATTATTGATTATGAAGATAAAAATAGAGATGTTGGTCATTGGGTAAACATCAATACGACCGCAACCTGACAATGCATAACAACCAATAAAGGAACATTCACAGATCTCCATATGAATAAACTAAGCAGATGCCAACACTAACATGACTAAAAAGTGAGCTCTAAATTGTCAATTAAATCAATAAGAAAAATAAGAAGATATCAAAGGGTCAGTAAAAAATCCTAAGTTTACAAAGGACAGATACCACAACTGCAAATAAAAAAAGGTAAACAAACAATCCACAAAACAAGTGATATTAGTCTTGTAGTAATTAATTTATAATGTAAGGCTTAAATGAAGTGAACATTTCTTAATTTTACCATATCCAAACATTTCATTCAAGAACAAGACTACTTTAAGATGAAAATATGTATAAAAGTAATGTAAGTGACAGACTTTGACAACATTAACAAATTAATAAAACTCCTTAAATTATGGGTTTTATATAGCTTAACTAATAATTCTACTAGTTCTCAGACTCTTCTTTAAATCACAAGTTTTGGGGATTACTGTAAGGGCAGTTCTGGAAATAAATTTAGGTGTTGGGGTTGGAATACATAATTTTATTTTTCCTACCATGCATATAATTTGAATTGATTATTTTCTATAATTGTTCTGGCTATCTTTATTAAAAAATAAACACCACCAATAAAATAAACGAATTTACACTTTTGGTATTTAGCTATATTTTGCCTCCGAATGACCTTAGATCTACTCCGAATCACCTTTTGACGTCAGGCAACAATCACTTTTTAATTGTGACGTCAAATGTTTTGAATTATGATGTCAAAGTTTACGGGAACCTGTGTGACTTTACGTAATGGCGGACCAATTTGCATACAAGTGTAAATACGTCTATTCAAATAGAAGTGCCTTCAAACCTCCACCCCCAAAATACAATCAATTAGGTAACGACCATTTAACTTCAAGGAGGGGGTTAGGGTTTTTTCCTAAAAAAATATTCTGATCCCCAATTTGATGAAAAAAAATAATTTGGTCAAGCAGATGACAAAAAAAAAAATATTCTGAATCCAGATTTTCCCCATACATTTTCCATACCTTATAGTGTTAAATTTTGAAAAAAATAATTTGATTGATAGCGTCGAAAAAACTTTAAAAAAATGTTTGCGCTTTGTGTGAAAAAAAATTTCTTACTCAGACAAAAAACCATAACCCTCCTTGAAGTTAAATGGTTGCTCCCTTATGGCAAAGCTCTAAATAATCATTTTGAAGGTATTATTCAATACAGCTCATCTCTGTTCCAATATGTTTGCAACTATTTACCATTTATTCATCTGTACTAGTATTCTACATGTATAAGTGCCTCTGCATACTATGTGCTAAGGAAATGAATTAATGAAATAGTCATATACATAGATCTCTATTCAATCCTTATAAAATATTTTTTATAAAAAAAAGACAGAATGTACTAAGGGGCTATACATATCATAATTATAAGAAAGAATGAAAAAACAGACAACGCCATGGAAAAAGATGAAAAAACAGTCCACAAAACACTGCATAGTAAACTTATAAAGATTGAGCAAGATGAACAAGATATATTTATTTATTTTACTTGAAAGGTGAAGTTTTGCTTCATGAATATTTTTATTTACATACAAATTTAGAATTTACTTTAAGTATGTGCTACTGTAAACTATGAATTTTAAGCTACGGTAATCAATTAATATTTTTACATACATTTGATGAGGATTTTTGATTTCAGACATTACAGAATTTTATGTATACCATGTTAAAAGACAGTAATCCTATAGCAGCTAAGATGTCATTGGTAAGGAGCAGTTCTTAAACATTTACACTTTGACAAAAAAATTTAAAACAGTTATCGATTTAAATTAAAATTTCCATTAAACCTGTCTGTGACTTTTTTGTAATAAATAATGCATAGATGAGATGCATTGTACCTGATTTTAAATAGGTCACATTACTTTTTTGTGTCATTAAGTATAATGATTGTTTTAGATCAAGAAGCTAACATTAGTATCAGTATATTAAGCCTACATAGCTTTATTGTAAACTAATATTGGGAAACGTTTCAAAAGTATAAAGCCAGGAGGGAACTTTCTGTGTTTTCTGCAAGGCACAAAGTTTTAGCATGGAACCAATTACATATAAATTTGAAATGGGTTCTTTAACAGGAAGAATAAGAAATTCCATTTCCATTTCTTTATTTATTTTCTTCCACAGGATGTAATGATAGAACTGTACAGAAGGAATATTTGGCGAGATGCCAAAACTGTAAATGTTATAACCACTGCTTGTTTCTCTAAAGTTACAAAGGTGAATACATGTTTGTTGAAATTAAAGTTATAATAATGATTTAACCAATTTATCAAAGTAACTGAAGTGAAAAGTTTGTTACTTTAAAAATAAGAAGATGTGGTATGATTGCTGATGAGACAACTCAGCTCCATACACCATATGACATAGAAGTTTCATCTATAGGTCACCGTCCTGCCTTCAATAATGAGCAAAGCCTATACCTCATAGCAAGCTAACGAAAAACAAATATGATATACAGCAACAAATAACACACTGAATTACAGGCTCCTGACTTGCGACAGGCACATATAGGCATGGTTAAACATGTTTGTCTTTGGTTTTTGTTCTTTTGGTACAGGCTTAACAGCCTTTTATTTCTGTGGAGAATATCACCATGTAGTTTCATAAAAATGTTTTATGTGTTTGATTTTAAAAAATGCTCCAGAAATTTGCATGATTTTAAAACTTGTTGAACTGCATCTGAATATCAAAAAATTATATAGCATTAATATTTCCAGAAATACAATCAATTAAAAATTTGTGAAATAGATTATATATATAAATGTATAGAATGTATGCACACAGTGGCAATAAATATGCATTTTTTCACTTTAAAATGTGTTGAAAATCATTCTCCAGAGAATTTTGTATAAGAATATATCAATTCCAGAAAGGTAAAATAGTTTTAAAATGTCATTATCGAAAAAGATAATGGAAATATTTTTAGAAAGTGATTATCTTATGACTTTTATTCTAAGTACCTTTTTCTTAATTTAATTATTTTATTTTCACAGATGTTGGTGGCTGCCCTGAAGTTTTTCATAGGACATGATAATGAAAAACCTGATGATGACGAAAGTGAAAGTGAAGATGAGGTTAGTACAAAGTGCTGGAAAATGGTCTAATTAACAAAATAAATATAGGTATTGTAAATTCAGAAATTATGTGTGTGCATTTATTATTGCGATTATTAAAGAATGGACAAAAATGCATGATAAATTATTGCAATTTTCGGAAAATCTGCATACAGATATATGTATCAGATATCAGAATACAAGTTCTTATTAATGCAATACTGATCCAGTCCCTATATTCGCAATAATAAAAACGGTAACCTCACAATAATTTTTTAATTTACAGTTCTTGTATACACATTGTTTCTGAGTTTGATTACTAGAAAAGAATGAAAGTGGAAAACCGAACAAATATTGTAACAGGGATTCCAAAACCATCATATTGTCTGGACAAGTCCGACAAATTATAATCTGCACTTGTTGTGGCGAGCCTGAATTGGACATATAAAGTGGGTTTGCCATTTTAACATAATTCAGAAAAAAATTTGAAGTTTATGTGCCCTTTTGACCTGACGTCTTAAACAGTCACACATTTCCAGTCATAAAAGTGACATTATGAATAAATACTTTAAAGCAAGCCCTTCTTTAATACCCCCTCATTACAATCAAGGTTAATTAGTTGTCTGAAAGCTGAAATTTACCTGTTCAGATCACAGGTAAACTATTTTGTACTGGACATTGATTGGTCTATTTAAAGTTATTTTTCTAAAATTTTACTGGTTTGCATCGTATAAATTTAGTAAAAATGATCAGAAATACTTATTAAAATATGATTTTATGATAAATTTAAAAAGGTTTTAAGTGAAAGATAGATAGAACCACTATGTTTTAACTAGTACATATTTGCGAATGTGCGAAGGTGTGTGTATATCTGCATCCGAATTCTTCAAAAATGCTAAAAATATTATTGATACATTTATCTTGCGTTCATTTCAAGTATTTTCTTGAAGAAATAATGTGGAAAGAACTGTTTATACTCAAATGTGTTTGGTAAATATATATGGATTTTATGTTTCCGTCTTAAAGAGATTAAAATTGGGGTAAGAAAAAAGGGTCTGGCTGGCTCAAATATTTTTTGGAAGCCCTGATTGCATATTAAGTTGATAAAATAAAGGTGACTCCTGTATAAGTTCCTTAAAAACATGCAGTGTTTATCAGTAAATGTCAAAGAGTATTGCTTAAGACATATGTGTAGCCATTTTCTTAATCCTTGTTATATACCTTTACGTTTCTGAGTACTTTTAGCATCACACACTAGAAGTACTTATTTTAATTGCAAAGGCAGATACCTTGAGAAAGAGGTCATTAAGGGAGGCAATTTTGACCCACTTATTATGTTTTTACACGACCGTAAAAAAATTTTGTGGTCGTATATTGGTATGACGTTGGCGTCGTCGTCCGAAGACACATTGGTTTTCGCACTCTAACTTTAGTTTAAGTGAATAGATGTCTATGAAATTTCACCACAAGGTTCAATACCACAAAAGGAAGGTTGGGATTGATTTTGGGGGTTATGGTACCAACAGTAAAGGAATTAGGGGCCAAAAAGGGGCCAAAAATAAGCATTTTTGTAACTTCCAGACATAACTTGTGTGTTAGTGTATGGATCTCTCTGACATTGTACCACAAGGTTCCATATCACAAAAGGAATGCTGGGATTGATTTTGGGGGTAATTGCCTCAAAATTTTAGGAATTAGGGGCCAAAAAAGGGGCAAAAAACAAGCATTTTTCTAGTTTTATGACAATAACTTGTGTGTAAGTGTATGGATCTTTCTGATATTGTACTACAAGGTTCCATATCACAAAGGGAAAGCTGGAATTGAGTTTGGGGGTAATTGCCGAAACGTTTAGGAATAAGGGGCCAAAAATAAGCATTTTTCTAGTTTCCAGACAATTACTTGTGTTCAAGTGTATGGATCTCTCTGAAATTGTACTGCAAGGTACCATACCACAAAGGGAAGGCTGGGATTGATGATGGGGGTAATTGCCTCAATATTTTAGGAATTAGGGGAAAAAAGGGGCAAAAAACAAGCATTTTTCTAGTTTCAGGACAATAACTTGTGTGTAAGTGTATGGATCTTCATGAAATTGTACTACAAGGTTCCATATCACAAAGGGAAAGCTGGGTTTGAGTTTGGGGGTAATTGCCTTAAATGTTTAGGAATTTGGGGCCAAAAAGGGGCCAAAAAACACATTTTTCTAGTTTCCAGACAATAACTTGTGTTCAAGGGTATGGATCTCTCTGAAATTGTACTGCAAGGTACCATACCACAAAGGGAAGGCTGGGATTGAGTTTGGGGGTGATGAATCGTAAGGGGGTTCAAAAAATTTGGGGGGGGGGGGGATTTTTTTTTTTTCTTTTAAAATTTTCCATTTTAAGTTGGTTATTTCTGATTTATATTTAAATGCAAATAATAATGATATGGTAGGAGATACACACCAAACAGGATGTGTAAATTATTATATAAGAAGTATTGTGCAGTAGCAAGAAATTTTCAATTGCACAGTATTGCACAATAGCAAGAAATCTTCAATTGCACAGTATTGCGCAATAGCAAGAAATATCCAATAGCACAATATTGCGCAATAGCAAGAAATTGTCAATTGTACAGTATTGCGCAAAAGCAAGAAATATTTAATTGCACAGTATTGTGCAAAAGAAGATACATCGTATAAATTGCTTATTTCTTGACCAATTTCAATGGATTTTATTCTTGAATTCTTGGGGTTCTTTAATATGCTGAATCTAACCGTGTATTTAGTTTTTGGATTTTGGGCCCCGTTTTTAAATTGGTCCACATTGAGGTCCAAAGGGTCCAAAATTAAACTTTGTTTGATTTCATCAAAAATTGTATTATTGGGGTTCTTTGATATGCCGAATCTAACCGTGTATTTAGATTCTTAATTTTTGGTTCCGTTTACAAATTGGTCTACATTAAGGTCCAAAGGGTCCAAAATTAAACTTAGTTTGATTTTAACAAAAATTAAATTCTTAGGGTTCTTTGATATGCTGAATCTAAACATGTATTTAGATTTTTGATTATGGGCCCAGTTTTCAAGTTGGTCCAAATCGGGGTCCAAAATTAAACTTTGTTTGATTTCAACAAAAATTTAATATATGGGGTTCTTTGATATGCTGAATCTAACCATGTATTTAGATTTTTGATTTTTGGGGCCTGTTATCATCTTTGTCCACATTGAGGTCAAAAGGGTCCAAAATTAAACTTTGTTTGATTTCATCAAAAATTGAATTCTTGGGGTTCTTTGATATGCTGAATCTAACCATGTATTTAGATTTTGGATATTGGACCATAATAGGTGAATGTCCAATTTAAAATTTTTAAGTTCTTAGACCACATTCATTCTGTGTCAGAAACCTATGCTGTGTCAAATATTTAATCACAATCCAAATGCAAAGCTGTATCAAGCTTGAATGTTGTGTCCATACTTGCCCCAACTGTTCAGGGTTCGACCTCTGCGGTCGTATCAAGCTGCGCCCTGCGGAGCATTTTATTCAATTATATATTCATTATAGATTTGATGCACTTCTTCTTCAATCCACCTACCAAGAACTTTTATTAAAAGGTGCATGTAAGTGTTCATTTCATAAACATTAAAGTATACTTGGTCGTTGGACCCGTTTTACAGATGTTGATTCTTAAACACTTAAGCTCATCATTGAAGACCATCAAAATATAAGCATGATGCCAAATTATTTCTTATTGTCAATATAACATCACAATTTTTATTTTTTATACAGTACACCAAGAAAAAAGAAACACAGAACTTACTATTGGGTCATAGAGTTGCAAAAAAGACCAAGAAAAGACAGAAGAAACTAGACAGAGCTCTTGGTGTTTTAAAGGTAACTTATAATATATGATCTTTGTCCATGTTATCTTTCTTCTGAGATTTTCTTTAATATCGATCTTGTTGACTCTGCGATTTTGCACTTCGGATCATACTCCACTTAATTGCATTGACTGTTATAACATATGAAATGTTCTCAAAACTATCAAAAAGATTTATAAGCGTGAAGTTAGTGGAAATGTTAATGAATTAGCTGTGAATTATTGTCTTTTTAGTACATAGTGTTTTCAACATTTTCTTTTTAAAAAAACATAACACTTGTGTATGTATTTATTATATTATATTTTATTTTTACTTACCACTGACTTAAGTTTCGTTCATGACATTCATATTTTATGTAGTTATAACCCCACTTTAAAAAAGTGGGGGTATACTGTTTTACCTCTGTCTGTCCGTCAGTCCGGCGGTCCGTTCCATGAATATTTTTTGTAGCATCTTTCTCAGGAACTACATCATATATGTACTTACATATTTTTACACTATTAAAATTATCCAGTTGCGGCGGGAGTATCATCAGTGAGCAGTTGCTCGCAGTTTCACTTATTTCAATTGCTTCTTATGACGTCAGGTAAAGAGAACCTACAAATCTTAGTTCAACTATTAAGTGTTGGTTGCCTTAGATCTGCTTATTTTCTGATACTTATATACTGATATCTGTAGTTGATAGCTTAATTTTTTTTTTAAAGAAAAACAAGAAGAAAAAGAAGACAGTTGAAGTGTTTAATTTCTCAGCATTGCATCTAGTACATGATCCCCAAGGTATGTTTGTATTCAAGAATATTTTTTATAAAAGCACTTTTCTTTATCAGTTGCCAGGAATAAATGTACATTGTCTAATTATAAAAGAAAACTTAATTGAATTTCAATCAGTCTTTTTTTGCTCACTAAGCTTAATTAAAAAACCTGAAATTAATGAGTTTGAAGATTATTACAGACTTTTCAAAGATTAGATACTGAAACTCAAATACTTAAATTAAAAGTTGTTTTCATACGGTTGAAGAGACATTTTAAATTTCACTATTTGTTAAATTTTTACCTGGGTTTTACAGATCAACATCCAGGGGCTTTGGTGGCAAAGTGGTCTTAAGTAGTTTATCAATAGTGATAACTAGCCTGTCAACTCTGAGCTCTAACCCAACTCTTGGTCAGGTGTATTCGACTCTGATTTTGATTGACAAGGATTGCCAGTTTTCCTGTGAAAGATCAATGGTTTTCTCTGGGTGCTCTGGCTTTCTCAACCAAAAACAAAATGGTTGCCTTGATATAGCTAGGGTCGCTGAAAGTGGTGTTAAACACAAACGCACTAACTATCAGTAAAACATTTAATTTATGCCATAAACAAGGTAAATAAATGATCATGATGATAGTCTCTAATACGAATAAGTACAAGGGCTACAATGCAGACTAACAGACATATATTATATGTGATTTCAGATTTTTCTGAGAAGTTATTCCGACAATTAGAAAGCACTACAGAGAGATTTGAAGTTAAGATAATGATGATGGACCTTATATCAAGACTGATTGGTGTTCATCAGTTATTCCTGTTAAACTTTTATCCTTATATTCAGAGGTTTTTACAACCTCATCAAAGAGGTAGGTATAACTGTTCTTAACCATTTCTGCTGTCCACATAACACCTTTATAAGGGCCAAACCAGTTCCAAAAGATTATTTTTTGCTTTACTTCTTCTTGATTTTGACCCTCTTTAAAACCCAAATTTATATGAGGGAATTTTTTTAGCGATCCTATCTTAATCTTAAAATTTTGCAGAAACTAAATGTTAGAACAAATTTTTCTGTCTCTGTCATGATGGACCCTGGGATTATCATGTAACACTTATCTGTCATTCTTTCTACCTTGCTGCCACATAACCTTTTTGTGCTGACAGGACATTTTTTAATGCTAGGATATAATTTGCTGATATTTTGTTTACAGTTGTATAAAAGACACTTATAGGCTTATTTCAAGATTCTTTTATATGAATGAGCTATGCTGGTTAAAGGGGAGGTCAATATATATGTATAAATGATGTCATTGAACAATCAACTCTTATTGTGAATTCAGAAATATACAGGAAAGTGCAGGAATGTGAAAATCATGACATCTATAAGTCAAATTTTGTATTTGTGAAGATTGACCTTGTTGCATTCAGAACTAAAAAAAAATCTTTTAAAATCTAATCACCAGATATGATTTGTTTTCCATGCAAATGTTGAACTGAATATTTGTCTTTTTGCATTGTGTTTGCATTTCTGTGTTTGACAAATTTTCAAAGTTATTATCTAGTGGCCTAGAAAAATTTCAACATGAAATAAAAACAATTTAAGCCATGCATACATGCGTAACAAACTGATCTTTGATATAAAAGTTACAAAATGACATTATGTTTCATTTAACTTTTCTGAGTTACAATTATTATTATTTACCTTTTAACATAGAAAATGTCTTTTGACTTAGTATTAGCATCTGTTAGGCTTATTGAACATAGTGATTTTAAACTTTTTCAGAAGTAACAAAGTTACTGTTGTTTGCAGCACAGTCTAGTCATGAATTAGTGCCTCCTGATGTAAGTTTATCATATTAAAGTCAATACTAAAGTAGAAAATGAATAACTGTACATGCTTATGTAAAGCTCAAGGAGTTATAGGTTGTTAAATACTGTAACGTGACCGAGGAGAGGTCAACACCATTGACACAGACGGACGGACATAGCCATTTATGGCACGACAATGTATCCTGTGGTAAATTCCATTAACTAAATAATACGGTATCTATTTACAAGTTTATTCACAAATGTTTATTACTTCAGACTTATTGACAAATTATTAGCAACAAAGTTTACACATATAAACTTTAAATACAAGTCCTCCAGAATCTACTGATTCAAGACTTCAAGGAAAATTACATCCTTCCAGTATCACAGCTGATACACAATCTGCCAGTCGCTGATCAACTGACCTTTATCATAGAGTTTAATTACTGCATCTCTAGACAAACAAATAGGCATAACTAATTTTATTACCTTACACCCCAAGACATTGCTACTTGTCTTAATTACATCTGACAGTTCAACTTTAACTGCAGATAATAAAACTAGCCATTTGTCAAATTAGCCTTGCGTCATTAATTTTCTCTGTACACAAATAAACAGTTATAAAGTCAATTTAACCAGAGGTCAATATTTACAAAACATTAAAATATTACAATACTATATCAGTCCCATTTGAGAAACAAGATCTTTTGCAAAAAAGAGTTTATATATTTCTTGCTTCAAATGTGCCCATCAATGTTTAATCTTTTTAAAACATCACATTCTTTCAACTTCAAAATTCACATAATCGACATTTAAGTCAGATTTTGACAGTAGTACGGTATTGTGGATTGATTATTATTCCTGGGATACTCATTTTTGTGGATTTCCTGCATGAGCATAGGTGAGCTATCAAAATTAAAATTCAACAACAAAATTCAATGAAAATGTCTATGAGCTTGTACATGTTGCATGAAGAAATTGATGGAACCATGAAATTAAGTATCCACAAAAAATGTACCCATGGAAATGAATTAATCCACAGTATACATTATAACTGCAGTTGGATATTTTGTTGTTTGGTGAAATTGACTCTAGTTTGACATATGCATACTTTTTGAAAATATAGAACTATTGTTAGGTGAATCACTAAATCTAAACACACTGAAATATAGCTCCCAATACTTCTCATGTCCATGAGTGTTTCCTTTGCATCCATGAGCATGCTACTCTTTTCATACAATATATAAACTTGTAGAAATAATGAGTGGCATATGTATTAGTCTGACAATAAAAAAACACAAAGTATATAGGACATAGAACAAACATATTAGTACTTTGAATTTTAAACTATGAAAAATTTATTTACTGGTTGTAAAATTCTTGATTTTTACATTTTAGGTATTGGAAAGTGTACTTTTAACAATAGCAAACAACTTCATTAGTGACAGAAATTCTAGTGATGTCATGGGAGTAGGGTAAGGATGGATATATTAGACATTTAAAATTTATTCATAATTAGGTTATAGCACACATTCTGTATACTCTTAAAGCAATGGTTGATAAGGTTGTTTTAATCACACAAGGATGAAAATTAAATAAAATGATTTATATTATTAAAATAAGAAGATGTGGTATGATTGCCAAGAGACCAAATGACATAGAAATTAACAACTATAGGTAATCCTCCGGCCTTCAACAATGAACAAAACCAATACCACATAGTCAGCTATAAAAGGCCCCGAAACGACAAATGTAAAACAATTCAAACGAGAAAACTAACGGCCTGATTTATGTACAAAATAATGAGCAAAAAACAAATATGATATAAGCATTAATTAAAAACCAAACACCTGTAAGTATATAACTTTTGTTATATGCATGGTCACTTGTTTCTTTTAAGTTACGAACACTGTAAAAAGTTGATGCATACAATTAAAAATGTATAATTTTGGTTTCATCTCCATTGTAATGGAGACGGGTCAATGAATTAGAAAAAAATGTGATGCCTGGCATTATAACTCCTAGGTTAAATTCAAATAGTCAGTTTGAATATTAAAAATTGCTGGCTCTTAAAATTTCACCAAACCTGGCATCCAGGATACTATAGAAAAGCTGTTCTGAAAATTTTGCTGTTTTCAATTGCTTACCTTTAGATTTAAAAAATGAAAATGGACATAAAATGTGTTTTTTTTTAAAAATTTTATACGACCGCAAAAATTTTTGCGGTCGTATATTGGTATCACGTCGTCGTTGTCCGAAGACATTTGGTTTCCGGACAATAACTTTGATAAATGTAAATAGAAATCTATGAAATTTAAACACAAGGTTTATAACCACAAAAGGAAGGTTGAGATTGATTTTGGGGGTTATAGTCCTAACAGTTTAGGAATTAAGGCCAAAAAGGGGCCCATATAAGCATTTTTTTAGTTGCCAGATAATAACTTGTGGAACGGTGTATGGATCTCACTGAAATTATACCACAAGTTTCCATACCACAAAGGGATGGTTAGGATTGGCTTTGGGAGGTTATGGCTCAAACTGTTTAAGAATTAGGGGCAAAAAAGGGGGAAAAAAAAGGGTTTCCTGGTTAATGTACAATTTAAAAGCAGTGTATGGGAGGTAATCCAAACACATTTTTATTTTGGGGGGGGGGGGGGGTCAATATGCAACAGCATAGTGTATTGCACAAAAGCAAAAAAAAAGGGGGGGGGGGGTAAATTTTTTTTTGGGGGGGTGGGGGGGGGGGGTAAAAAAAAATTGAATATAAATTCAAATCATATAACCAATTCTAAGTTGTTTGACTACAGTTATTCTGTGTCAGAAACCTATTTTGTGTCAAATATTTAATTACAATCCAAATTCAGACCTGTATCAAGCTTGAATATTGTGTCCATTTTTGCCCCAACTGGTCAGGGTTGGACCTCTGCGGTCGTATCCAGCTGCGCTCAGCGAAATATTTTATTTTATTTTGAAGTGCAGTACTACTTTTGATATGAACAGTTAGTAAGGCCAATTTAAAAAAAGAATAATTATAATTTTTATAGTAGAATGATTATCATCAGGGTAATAACTATTGTTAAAATGGATTAAATGTTCACTGTTATATAATTTGAAAGCTAAATATAAACTAATCAGAAAATAGGATGAAACCTATTTAAATCAAAAATGAAATTTTCATTTGGCAAAAAACGTGTACACTTAATAAATATTTATTTTGATTTTAGATTAAATGCTGTCAGGGAAATATGTAATAGATGCCCATTATCACTGTCAGAAACTTTACTTAAAGATTTAACAGAATACAAGACACATAAAAATAAAAGTAAGTTTCCTCAATCTGATTGAAATACAGATCCTGTGGCCACCATTCACTTACAAGGATCTGATGAATTAAATATCAACCAATGAAATTTCTTCCTCCAAACTTTTTAAAGTGTGAATCATTACCACAAAACTTGAGGATCCTGAAAGGTCGTTAAAACAGAAAGTAGAATGGAACGTTTTCAGATCCGTGGAAGCGATGCATTGACACATCATCTGTATTTTAATCAGATTGTCTTATACTGTTTAATCACTCAAACAAGAAAATCCCAATAGTTTGTAAGTATTTTATATGAAGTTTTATGAGGACCCGATTACCACCATGATCAGTGAAACAAAGTAACAGAGTTAAAAAAAACACTATTAAAGTCAATTTAAGGCGGGTACCAAACATCTTGACTAAAATTAATTTGGCTCCTTTAATTTTCATAAAATTTTGACAAAATAATTACTTTGACCCTGTGACAAAAATATAAAATTTTCAAAAAACTTGAACCACACACTTTATCAGAAAAATTTCATTGGAGATATAGCAGTTTGACAAACACTTTTGATCATTGAGAAGCTTAATATTTCCTTAATGATATAACATGATTAAAACGTTCAGCTGATTTTTACAGAGTTATCTCCCTGTAGTGTTATGTACCACCTTAAAAAGATGTCGGAAATACATTACTATTTGATGACGACTAAAAACCAGCTTTATGGAAATCATATTGGGAATCTGCAATATTCTTGGTTGGAGTATGGGTGATTTGTTATCTGGCTCAGTTCAAAACTATGCCAAGTTGGGACTTCTAGGCAATTGCAATTTCTCTGTTTCAGTATCTTAATGACTATGGGTAATTTCATTGTTCCTACTCCATAATAACAATTAAATTGTTTCATTGGTTGAATTTTCATTGTTTAGGACATTGTTAGCCAATCACAATTTTTTTAAAGTACACTTTTAAAAATATTACCCAGAATGAATTAGATTCTGAAATTGAAAATTGTTTCCATTTGAATTGTGAGAAGAGATATAAAAAATAGCCATGTTTTTTTTCAGAACATAGTACACTTTCTAATCTTCCAATAATAATAATTAAATAAATTGGAAATTTTAGGCTTTCTTTTAACTATTTTGTACATAGTAATTTTCAATTGTACAACATTTTAAACAATTTATAGCAAAATTGTTTATATTTCAGCTGTTATGGTTGCAGCCAGATCATTAATTACATTGTACAGAAAAGCTAATCCAGAGTTACTGCGTAAAAAGGATAAGGTAGAAATTAAGTTTATTTTTCCCCATCTTATTTGCTGCAGATGGACAATCAAGTTGTACCAATACATGTAGTTTAATATTTTTTAATTTTTATTTAAATAAATATAAACTTTAAAAAGCAAAAATGATCAGCAACACAAGATCACTTAGTCTACTCCTTATTGAAGTAATTACCCTTTAAAGATGAATTTCTCAATTTTTGCATTTTTGCCTATTATCTTGATAGACAGAAACTTTAATTAGCAATAATGATCAGCAAGACAAGACCTACAAAGAAGCCATAATGGCCAAAATGTTCAGTCGAATTGTTTTTGTAGTTATTGTCTTTGTAATAATTATGATTTATACTAAAATATGGCTTTTGTTGAAGAAGCAGGTGAGCAACACACGCTCTTTAGAGCCCCTAGTTTTATCCACCAAAAGTACTTTCTACAAACTTACAATGTTCCAGATTTGAGTCATTCGAGAGCAGAAATTTTAACCTTTCAGCTGTTGTGTATTGTTTTTACCAAGTAAAAATAAATTTACAGGGTAAACCTACAGAATATATGAAAGAACACATAACACGAAAATATGCAGAGCCTGACACAAAGGATTATATACCAGGGGCTGAAATATTAGGGGAAGAGGAACAGAAAAAAGAGGGTCAGTATAGAATGGTTTATGATGCAATTAAAATTGACTGAACTGCTTGAATTGTGCTCTTCTTATTATCTCTTGCTACTAGGCTTCACACAAACAATAGCCAACCATTCAGAATTATCTCATTTTAACAGTATGCTGTAAATGTTATTTCTCTAATTCTGCATGGTTTGAAACAGATTTAATTTGAGTTGTCTTATTTCCAGCCATTTCCATTTGGATCATTAATGCACACAAAATTTTTCATTATTAGAGAAATAGATTCTATTCCTTTCCCCCTTTGAATAGAGTTTTATCCACCATCAATAATTAGATAAAAAAAAGTTGTACTTTCTCAAGTCAGTGTTCCAGCTAGGATTTCAAAAGGGCAGGGTGCCAATCCTGAAAAGGGGCATTTAACGCATGATATGATAATATGAAAAGGGCATGTTTTAATAAAGATTATAATCAAACATTGTTTGTTCATTGAATCACTGGTTATAAATATACAAGAACAACATCATTAGCCCAGAGAAAAAACTATCTTTCTACTTTTTAGGCTGAAAACTTATCAAGCAGCTTGTGACACAAGTTTTAAATCATTGCTTGGCACAGTTAAGCTTTATATGCAGTATTTTTTGAAAAATGTCCTGCTTCATTCTGTTTCTATGGTCTGACACACTTTACAAGTTTCACCTTTCTACCTTTTCTGTGCTTAATGGCAATACAGCACAAAACAGCTGTAAATGCACAATGTTAGGATATAGTGAACAGTGAAAATTTGGATTGAAATTAAAAAATACAGAAAAAGATGACCAAGGCACCCTACCAACCCTGCTACTAAGACCCTCTTTAACTTTTCCCATAACTCAAAACACCTAAACATATAAATTCTAAAGCCAGAAGTATGAAGACATATTTTATAATATCTTAGTAGGTTACTCAATGCTAGGAAAAAATAAGATTGAGTTATCTTTCTTTATTTGGGTGTGCTCCTTCTTTGGAGGATAATAAACAGTACGTAGAAGATGTAAATACGATCAATAATATGGCGGCCGATTTTGTTATTTTCGTATAAAAAATGAAGGCAGTCAATGAAAAATATGTCTTAATTTGCTATTTATTTCACAGAAAACAATAAGAGCAATGTTTTTGACGAGTTGATTATGGTTTTTGACTTTCTGTCAATTACTTTTTCACCATGAAACTACGGTAAACATTGCTAATTGTGCCCAAGTTATATGAACATTTCTTCAAGTTCAAAGACAAATGCAGACTGACCGATTCTATTTGAATGAATTAATGTTGATGATCATTATCATCCGATAAACAGATTACCTATAACAACAGATTATGACACCTGTTGTAACTGTTGATTAGCTTGGGGTCGTAAACAAAGTCATATACTTGTCGCCAGGTAAATTTTCGTAATTGGCTGATCATATCAATACGAACAAAATAATATACCAATCGATCTTCAAAAAAGGCAGGGCGCCCTGCAAACTGTAAAAAGGGCACAGGGCGGCACTCGGGAAAGGGCGGGCGGACCGCCCTGTGAAAAAGACCTAGCTGGAACACTGCAAGTGGATAAATAATGTACTGTAATTTCTCATTGTGATTTTTGAAGAAAGGTCAAAATGTCATTAGTGTACTTAATTAGAACATCTTAGTTTTGAATGAGTATACATGTGTTTAAATGTATTTTTTATTCCTCTGAATACCTTATTTAGAATATATTTAGTCTAAATAATTGAGTTTTATAAGGGTCATGTCAACACCTCTCTTTAGGGATATCCCCCATAAAGGGGGAAAGTTGGCAGGTCTGTAATTATTGCGATTTCAGGAAAATTTTCCTACAGACATATGTTTCAGATACCAAAATGTGAGTTCTATTTTTGTGAAACTCACCTAGTCACATCATTTGCATTAATAAAAACCTCTTAATAATTTCTGAATTTACAGTAATCAAGGGGATGGCATGGTAGAATCTATATGTCTTGTATTCTTTGAACTGCAATGTTTTTTTATGCCCCCACCGTAACAAGGGGCATTAAGTTTTACCCTTGTCCGTCTGTACGTACATATGTATGTCCCAAAACTGGTTTCCGTTCTCTAACTTGAGTTTGCCTCAACCAAATGTTATGAAACTTATACACAATGCTTATTACCACACAACACAGATCAAGTATGAATTTTGGTGGTGTCACTTTAACCATTCTAGAGTTATGCCCCTTTATAAATGGAAAAATTGCAAAATTTTTAGTTTCCGTTCTCTAACTTAAGTTTGCCTCTACCAAATGTTATGAAACTTATACACAATGCTTATTACCACAAAACACAGATCAAGTTTGAATTTTGGTGGCGTCGCTTTAACCGTTCTAGAGTTATGCCCCTTTATAAATGGAAAAATTGCAAAATTTTTATTTTCTTCTAAATATCAAACAATTTTAAAATTGGAGTTATCTTCCTTTGTCCATGATTATAATTGAATCAGCTACAATCAATGCTTTATACAAAGCAATGTTTAATTTTGACTTCCGCTGATAAAACACAGATCAAGTTGAATTTGGGTAGTGTCACTTTAACCATTATTGAGTTATGCCCCTTTATAAATCGAAAGATTGCAAAATTTTCAGTTTCCATTCTGTATCTTAAGTTTGCCCCAACCAAACATAATGAAACCTATACACAATATTCATTACCACAAAACTAAGATCAAGTACAAATTTTTTGTTTCTGTTTTCTAACTTCAGTTTGCATCCACCAAATGTTATGAAACTTATACACAATGCTTATTACTACATAATACAGATTAAGTACGAAATTTGGTAGCGACACTTTTACCATTCTTGAGTTATGTCCCTTGTTAAACATAAAAATTGCTGAATTTTTATTTCCGTTCTCTACTTAAGTTAGCCTCAACTAAATGTTATAAGACTTACACACAATGCTTATTACCACAAAACTCAGATCAAGTTCAAATTTGAGTAGCGTCACTTTTACCATTATTCAGTTATGTCCCTTTATAACTATATGATATGCAAGTGGGGTCATCATCTGTGTCCACATGTGGACACTATCCACATTTATTTATTAACAAAAGCAGATGTGATCTAATTGCCAATAAGGCAACTATCATCCAGAGCTTAATGAAGTGAATGTAAGCAACTATAGGTAACAGTAAAAGTTGCTTAAAAGTAAAATTGCAACATCAGAGTTTAAGGTTAACTTTATCATGCATCTATTTTAATTATGAATAATTGTAGGGTTAATCATATTGATGGCCTCTTTTAAAAAGGATGAACATAAAAGGTTGAAATTTTTTATGGCATTTTTTCGATGTGACTTTCATTTGTAGATGATTGGGATTCCGGTAGTGAAGAAGAGGCTAGTGATGGTGATGATGACGACGAATGGGTAGATATACATCATTCTTCAGACGAAGAAGATATGGTAAGTTCTGTTTTTCTTCAATATTATCACACCTTTAATTGTTGACTGTATAGGTGTTTTTTTAACAAATATTGGTGGAAGCATTCAAATATTGTTTCCCAGAAAATTTGAAATCGACTCATAAACCGTTATATATGCCTGTCTCAAGTCAGGTACCCCATTAGTTTTGTCTAATATCATATCTTAATGGCTTTGTTATTTGTAGAATTTGTTGTTGAAAGCAGATCTTTGATTTATTTCTGTTTAATTTATTCACCACTTTTCTATTGGTTAGGGCGCTGACTGTAGGTTTCCCTCTAGATATCTTTTGGTAATTTTTATGCCCCCAACGCAGTGGAGGGGGCATTAAGTGTTACCCTGGTCTGTCTGTACATCTGTCCGTTCGTACATACATCCCGAAATTGGTTTCTTTTCTCTAACTTATGTTTGCCTCAACCAAATGTTATGAAACTTATACACAATGCTTATTACCAGAAAACTCAGATGAAGTTCGAATATAGGTGGCATCACTTTTACAGTTCTTGAGTTATGTCCCATTATAAAGTTTTATTCAAGGGAGGGCATCATCTGTGAAATCCAAGAAGATATCTGGCATAAACTGGGTATCTGCAGTCGGTAGAAAGTTGTAATTTAACTGTTTATACATCATATTTGTTGCAGTCACTTTCTGTTCAACGATACTTTTAAAAAAAAAAAAAAATTTCCACTGAGAACAGATTTTTTCCTCAATGTTTTATAATAAGTAAGGATATACTTTGCACAACATCGCATGTAAATCCTTGTATAAAAAAGTAACTCATAATCATTAGGTTTAAGTCAGGTTCAATATTCAACTTCACAGCTTTTATGGATTCAAAGTTCCTAAATGTTCATTATTTTTACCTTGATAAAATACTGGAGTTATATGAATATTGTAATTTATCTTCAAATAGGAGAGTTTGATATTCATTTTCAACATGGCAGTTATAAAATGCAAGAATTGATGTCCCATAATAAATGGAAATCTTTCTTTAGTACAGCAGCATATGTATATGTTAAAAGAGTTTTATCACATAATCTCATTTTGTTTCATATTGTCTTACATTTACACAGGATACTAGTTTAAACATGGATCCTGAAGAAGAAAAGAAGAAAGCTCAGGCTGTATCCTCCAGTCGTATTCTTTCTCAGGAAGAATTCCAGCAGATACAGAAAAGACAAGCAACAAAGGAAGTACAAGCAGCCTCTAAAGCGAGAGGAAAGAAGAGAAAAAATGTACCGTCTGATGATGAAGAGCAACAAAGGTAAAGGAATTACTTCCTACAATACTCTGATGATAAGGCATTCTTACGAGGTCTTACTGTGCCACCTGTATATTTGATGTAACACATGGGTGTTACATTTTTTGTACTTTCTGTTGTCTTGCATGTTCAGTCATTATCTCACTTTTGTAGTACACTACCCCTAAACCATCTGGCAGAAACCAAGCAAATTTAAGCAGATTTATTATACCCTACTCTAGGATTGAGGGCTATACTGCATTCACTTTGTCTGTCTGTTGTCCAACAAATATTTTCGTCAAATTTTCCTTTATACTACTTAACAAAATGACTTTATACCTTGTCTGCAGCTTCATATGGATGACTGGTAACATGATCTCTTTTCGAATCTGTCATACACTTACTTCCTGTTTTCCAATACTTTGAATTACGAATGGTGGTATGCTTAGCATAATAAAGCATGCACATTCTTACAAAATAAGACCATAGCCAAACAGAATTCCAAAAATGTTTGAAACCAATCCAAATTTGTCAAATTTCTTCTACAAAAAGTGCATTAGAACTCCTTTAGTAATTATTAATTATTTACATTTCTTGAGTTACCCATATCTTAACAGTTTTTTTTGATAGGATTCAGAGTTGTCACACATACTTTGCTGAATCCTTAAAAAGAACTGAATAGACCACTTTTGAGTTATGTCCTTCACCGGAAAAGTTTGTCAATTATGAGCGCCTTTATGACGTCATTTATTAGATAGAGGGGATCCCCTGTATCCCTGCACTATTAAAGTTCATCAAGCGTCTTCGTGATCATCATTATGCAGGATAAACTAGAAATAATGTTTGTTCCGTAGGTACTTAATCACAATTCCCTAATGACAGCAGTGCTGATTATCAATTATAAGAATTTAATTTGTCGAATATTTCGTGCAATACAGCATCATATTTTTTCAACCGCTTGCTCAACATGGAAAGGAAGTGTTGATACCCTTAAACGCATGAATGATGTTCACTAAAACCAAAGATTTTGACAGAAATGCAACGAACTCGAAAGTGGTCTATTGAGACACCTATTTTATTTTTGTCCATCTTGATTTCTACATAGATTGAAAAAATATGAGATGCAGTTTGTTGTTTGCTGTTTCTGAGTGATTATTTAGTTACACTTGTTGGATTTTCATAAACCTTAGCTTATATATATGTGCCAAAAACCTCAACATTAATGTATGTGAGTAAAGGCTGGTCAGTTTTTAAATCAGGATGTTGCGTCTTAGTAGTGATAAATGATATTTCTTTTTGACACTTTTACCTTGTATAAAAGCTTTCACAAATGTTTTTTCTTCACCAATTGAATCAACTGGGATATGAAAACCCTAAGCAGTCAAGGGAAACTTACATAGGGCTTCCTGCTGTCATATCTCATTTGCCAAGTGTTACAAATGGGTGGAAAAAAACTCCCTGTTCTTTTCATTCTTTATTAATACCTGTATACATTTCCAATGAAGTGACTATAAATTTTGGACCTTGTATTTACTCGTAAATTTATTCTTTTACACAGAAAAATCCAACTAAGCGAGTTGATATGATATAAACCAATGTATTTTCATATCTCATTTGCATGTAGTTATTCGGAATATACATGCAATATTTGTTGCTGGATGTTCAGCAGCAATCAGTCAATCAATCTACCATGGAATGCAAGTTGAATTCAGGAAGTAGTGTGTCCCCTTGAAGCTGCCAAAGCATTGGTTGCAACTTACTGTGCCACCTGCATATTTGATGTAACAGATGGATATTACTTTCTGTTGTCTTGCATGAGATTTCCTGAGCCTACTGAGGTCCCCTAGGGACCTATGTGATCCCCAGAATCTTCACTTATTTTTTCACAATACTCTAACACAAAATCCTGGACCTGCCCCTAGTCCTGATATGTGATATTCACTGTTACAGCTATTTCTGGCATATGAATTATCTCAAAATAGTGAAAAAGGGTTTCCAGATGATAATGTTGATTAGTGAAATTAACTAGCATTTCAAGTTGATTTTTTAGTTTTCACATTAACCTATCCCCAGTTGAGTCTTCATTTATCTTGATGTGATAAATTGATTTTATAGGATGATAACATTAATTTGATTTGAGCTATGCCATTATAGGCTTTTGTAATTGGATCAGGGATCTCCATGATCTGTTTTATGATGGCGAACTGCCATCGTTAAAGTATCTCCCCCTATCGTAAAATGATCCCAGCCATTGTTAAATTATCTTCCGCCATCGTCAAATGATCCCCGCCAATGTCAAAATTTTTTTTCATTTCTCTAGCCGCCGTCATTTTTGTTAGCAATTATAATCAATTGCATGTAATTGCATAACCCTTATTGTATTATAATCCAAAGGGTCCTCCTGATTACAGTTTTAAAGCCCTGAGGGATATCTGGCTAAAGATTGCTTATCACTTGAACAGGTAGATTGACACACCAGACAGGAGAACACTTGATCAAGATAGATGATTAATTGCATTATTTAATTAGGTTAAATCAAATGCTAATGAAAATTTAGATTAAAAAATAAATTTAAAATTCAGTTGAAAAGTTTAACAAGTCGAACACATGCTTTTATATTGACTTACGCAATCAGCATCTCCCTTTTTAAACCAGTACAAAATAAGACATAAAACAGAACATAATTTTCTTTACGTTTTTCCAAAACGGGTATGTACAAAACTTCGTGTTGTTGATGCTGCAAATCTTCAATACCAGTTCTTGACTTCTGAATTTGACAGTGAAAACAAGATCCCCGATTTTTAAGCCCTAAACAATTACCAAAATAGCAAGAAAATGACTTGGGAAACTTAAGGACAGCTTGTGGTAATTCTTGACTAAGGGGGAGCCATGCAGGCTTGACATTGAAATTGTTACAGATGGCAGTTAATGTAAATATTGATTATTCAATAATGAAATAAATATAATAAGCAATATATCAGTCTGTTCACCATTCCTTACTTAGAAATGGAGGAATGAAATACTTTCCATCAAGACATGCTGTAGACGTGGGGTTTTGTCATGGTGAAAGTTCCTCCATTGTTAAATTTTCATCCATGGAGATCCCTATGGTTGCTGTGTTCTTTAGGGAGGATCTGTTGGCATAGCTGACTTTTTACTTGTTTGTTTAACTTGGAATTTAACGAAAGAATGATTCTTGTCTGGAGTTTTATTAAAGAGGCATTAGCTGTCAAAATCAAGTTCACCAATTTTACTCAAATTCTCATATTTGTTTTATAACATACTATATTTTTTTTGTGGATCAAATCAGTCAACCAAACGGTTTACCCTTGTTTCATTTTTAATGTTGACATTCTTTTCCTTTTAGTTTATGCATTAACCATCTCTATCTAAGGGGTTAGATTGAAGGTTACTTGAATACGGATTCACTGAGGTCGAATTATTCTCTTACAAGTGAATAATTCATCAGCTATTTTACTTAGCTTATTTTGACAAAATTGAACCAAACTGGCTGTTAAAAGCGAATTATTATATAACTATTTCATTTTCATTAATGATTGAACAAAAAAAATCATATTTTAATTTTTTTTATATCTCATAGCTAATGTAAGACAGACATAGACATTTAAAATATGGAAGTTAAGTAATAAATGTTTTACTATGCTTAGCTGGACCTTTTTTCCAGAGTATTCAGACGTCATCATTTATGAAATGATATGTCTTGTCTAGTTCATCGTATTCATAGCAAGTGGATTTGAGCCACAACAATAATCATTTTCCATTTTAGCATCTCCTTATACTTATAATCAAATTTATAATTTAAAAATGAAATTGGTTTATCACCAATAATTTTTCTAATAAAATTTGTTTTGTAACATTTTGTTCACTATGAAATAAGCAGACTTAGAGTTTATTGTTTCATGTAGAGTCAAATGTATTCATGTCAATTATATTTTTCAAGTTTATTTTTCATTTATATACAAGAAAGTTATTTAAATTCATTTTGTTAATGTAATCTTCAATTTAAATATGTCGGAAATTACTTTATAGTAACAGTTATAAAATTTCATTTTTTGTGTGGATATTTAAGACATATATAAATTAAAAAGTTCATCATCTAAGCTTTTTTCTACTCTCAATCATTTACAAAAAAAACAATAAAAGACATTTTTCCACTTCTGGGTTGTTCACATGCTCATACTTATTAGCACCTATTTGGTATCATTTTTAATGGTAAAATGATAAATAAAAAATTCCACCTTTCATACCAAATTCTGTTTAAATTTATAGAAACACATACACAGGAAAAATAAGTGCTCAGCAATGTGCCTCCTTTAGACTAAACCTATAAATTAGTATAGTGAAGAGGAATTTGGGAAACTATTTTGATTTATTTGTTCTCCCCCTAGGGGGAGTGGGCCGATCCTGGAGGTACTGCAATACCAGGCCAACCCGTGACGAGAGCGGAGCAAGCCCCTGACATCTCATCGAGTACCAAAAATCAGTTTAATATCGAAGTACCCACATGGGGTACGTATCAGATATTAAGCTGATAAGAACAGATACTACACTTTGATCTTAGCCAAAAGGCCGAGAAGCGATACCAACTAACTGAAATTCTTGGGTAGTCTTATTTAATGATTATTTCATTAGATAAGGTCTACATTTCATTCAATTTGAAAAATTTGACTTGCAAATAAATACAGCCATTAAAAGCTTTTAAAATTCTTATATAAAGATCAAGATTAAGATAAAATTTTCAATGTTGTGGTATTTTTCCCTATACAATGTTACATTTGATTAATCGGTAATTTACATTTTTATAAAGAATTATTGATGTTTGTGTACAAGAGTTGTCGTAACTTGTAGTTAAACCTATTATCTATGTCAAGCTATTTATAGTAACATACACATACATAACCTATGATAAGCTATTTGCCTTGAGCAAGTACTAATCAGAAAATCAATATGAAGTATATCTTATGTTACCCAATTTGTTTTTGTTATGTATGCATATATATGTATATATTTATATCAGATTGTGTTTTGGTCGGTGATTAACCTAGTATAAAAGATTGGTCTTTACATATGTCCAATGTTTGATTTTTCTCTGGAATTGAGAATATTTCCTTTTTCTTTAATAAAAAAATCTCTGATGAACAACAATAGATTGGCTTTCCTTTGATCTGTCATAGTTTTTTATTCACTTCTTTTGAATGCTCTCTCTTGTATGACTTTTCCCATTATCAGCAATGGCACGACAATATCAGCTATAATGTACATACCCTCCTAAAATTGTCTCAAATTTAAAATTTAAAATCCAAACCATTTGAATAACTCTTTCAGTCTTTCTAACAATTTTCATCAAGTTACAAAATATTTCTGTGCATTCATATATGTATTATATAATACTATTTATAATTTATAATTATATAGTTATTAGAAAAATTTGTATGTTCTTTATTCTTTTTTCTTATACTTAATTATATAAGTAAATTATCAAAAAAGACAAAAATAACCTAAGAACTCTCCAAATATGTCATTACTTTGGCCATAAAAATTAGAGTTTGGTGATATTTATAACCTAACTTTAGTTTTCTTTCTTATTATTAACTAAGAATAAAAAAAGTTGCAGCCTATTATTAGTAATTTAATTAAAATAAATCAAAATTTACTGAAAAAAAAACCAAAAACTGGGCTAGGTCAAATTTTGAGCTGGAAGTAAGTATAGCAGTAATCAATATTGGATAACCCAACTCTTCCGGACCTGGCATACCATTTTAGTGGTCTGAACAGTATAAATATCTATCATTATGTGAAATTTACCTGATCAAGCCTCAGGATATTTGCATATTGAAGTAAACAAATGCAAAGGGAAGTAAGCCATTTTTTTTAAATTGATTGATATGTTTTGCCTTTATCAATAAATTTTATTTTATTATTGTGTCACATACTGATTGAACATTATACAATGACATAATAAAAATATACATTAAAACAATCAGTACCCAGCCATAAGATTGGCTTATGAGACACATATCTACAAAACATTTCACATTTAAATATATGTAAATATAACATTTCCTAAAATTTGTTTTTTGTACAATTTCAAAAAGATTTATCATTTAAATAATTACAAATTCAATTAAAAATTCATTTAATAAATTAAATTATAAATTATATAGATAAAAATTATTATTTATTTTATCAATGTAATGTGTATCTTAAATCCATGTTGATTTGTTTACATTTGTCTCATTTATATTTTATCACTACCAAACATTATTGTTATTTATTTATTCACCTCAATGACATAAAGATATTAAAATGTTAACATTTAATCATATTTTTAACTTACTTAATTATTAAAAAAAAACGAAATACTATGTATTACTTTAAGTTTTGTCACATTAGATTATTTTCTAATGTATTTTATATAAATTCATATCATTTGAAAAATTAAAATAAAGTATATTTTGTTATTTTCGTAAATATTCTACCTTAAAAATTAGAATTACTTGCATTTCATTAAGATATTGCTGTTTTCACATTAAGTTTTTAAACTTTGGTTTTTTTTTTTTATATATTTTTCCAGGGACTTTCTATACTTGTATACTGTCCCTAAATTTTCATATTGACATATAAAAAATGATAAATCTCAATATTATTGTAAATTCATTGCAAATAAAGACATCAAAGCTGAGAATATTTATTTGATATTACATACAGAAATAGAATTTTGAATTCCCTTTCAAACCCTTCTCTGTTCCCACTACTGTTAACATTCTGTTTAAGTTGATAGTGTTATAGAAGATTACCACATTAATTTAAAAAGTTGATTAAGTTGAGGGTGTTATTGTAGTCTACCACATGAATAAAAAGAAATATATTACTGGAGACAAAAGTTAAAATTTGTTGTGGTAATTTAGTAAAAGCAGTATGATTTATATTGTACAGCATGTATCATTCAAATGTAAATTTGATAAAATTTTTAATTTAAAAAATAGTTTAATTTAAATTGCCAACATTTGAAAAGAAATTTAATTGATAAAGGTCTATATTTTGTATATCTTTTAAAAATATTCTACTTGAATTATTTCATTTAAATAAAGTTAACATTTCATACATCATTATAATTGCTGTGTTTATATTACTCTTATACCAGAAATACCTGATAAATTTTGGTTTTTCAGTTATCTTGCCTGACATGATGAAAATTGAAGGCATGCATCATATATTTTTAACTTTGGGAGTTCCAAGTTCTTACTATCTTTGAATAGTGCTGTATGATCAGTTGATTTGTTTGCAATATGGCATATTGAAATTTTGAAATCGTTGTCTATGTTTCCAAATATTATGTTTTAACATGTCACAATACAATAAATATATTCATTAACCTGCTATCTTAATCCACATATACCATATATATGAACCAGATGATACAAAGATAAATAGCCGCAATATAAGAACTTAGAATATAGTATTAAGTTTAACTTAATATTATATTCCGCCAAGTGAAGAAGAATTTTTAAGAACCAGAATGGGAACGTAGGGAAAACAGAAAATTATGGAAGAAAATATCATGTGTATAATGCTATATTTTTTTTTATTAAAGGCATATGTTAAGTTAAAAAATTGGGTGTCTTTTTATTGCAGTGGAGAATTAGTAAACTTATCAGCTATAGAGATGGTTCATAAGAAGAAAGCTCATGATAAAGCATCACGTCTGGAAACAGTTATGGTAAGATATAGTTCCAGTGTAATATTATTGAATTACCTTATATTTATCTGCTCTCAGAGTCCTGGTTTAAAAAAGTTCTACACCATTTTTATTCCATTTCTTGTCCTGAATGTGTATGAAATATCTTCCACTGGATTTAATCAATGAATCAAGGATTTTTTTTATCCCTGGTTAGATAACAAGAACATACATCTGAAATTTTGAATTTTTTGTCAACCTATGGCAAACAATTATGGTTCAACAAGGAACAACAATCAGAGAAGGGATTTTTGTAGGGTTTTGCTCACAACATCATTTATAAAGTATTTAGTTAAGACGGAAGAGGCTGTGTGAATAACTGGATAATACATGGCTTAATTAAAGGTAATAACAAATATTGTGAAGTGGTTAATAGAACACTATTACGGTTTGTTAAATTTTCAAGTGAATGAGAGAGATACCACGCAGCAATTCAAATCCAGGCAGGAAGCAGACGCTGAAGACTTAGCTACACAGTATAAAAATGAGAAGATGTGGTATGTTTGCCAATGAGACAACTACCCACCAGAGACCAAATGATGTAGATTTGAGTAACTATATGTACCAGACTGTATAGTTTCTGGCAAAAATCTAACACATCAGTGTGAAAATGAGGCTTTTTAATTGTTGGCATTGAAGTGCAAGGATGAATTGATATGGGCAGAGCTTAAAGCTAAATGTATAGTGTACAATCATAGCAAAGCAATATTTGTTGGGTTGTAAATGCATAATATGACACCTAATTGCAGGATGAATTATATTTCATTACTTCAAATAAGATTAAAGATAGTTATGAATAACTTTTAGGCTGGAAGGAAAGATAGAGGAACGTTTACTGGAGGTCCACAGAAAATGAATCCTAATGCTAGCACTTCAAATAAACAGAAAAGGAAAAACAAGGCCTTTATGATGGTCAAACACAAAGTACAAAGGAAAAAAGGAAAAAGATCATTCAAAGACAAACAGGTATAACTTTATATCATTGGTGTCAACTCTAAAGATATTTCTGAAGCCCCAAAATTTACTTTTCAAATTTGAAATCTTCCTGTGAAGCAGCATTATTACCCACCCACCCCAAAAAAATGTCCCAGGTGGAGTTCTTTTGTTTTATTGAATCCAAGAATTTCTATTCATAACTGTAAGTAACATGGAATGTTTTTTCTGGGTTTACATTTTAACTTAAAAACTGGAAAAAAGCACAACATTTATTTCAGTTTTCCAGGCTTGGAAATGCCTGCGAAATTCACAAAAATGACAAAAATCTTATAAAAAAGCCTTGAACTTCTATCAAAAGTTCAGTATTATGTGAATTATATCCCTTCTTCAAATCAAAACTCCTTTGAGTTTTTCAGCTCCAATACAATTGATTTTGTAAACTATACAATGATTTCTGAAAATTTTGATTTTTTTGTTGCAAAAAAGAGTCAGATTTCCATCGGTGCAAAGTTGGTTTAATAAATCTTTTTTATATTGTCCAGTTGCAAGAAAATATTTTTTTTTTAAATGTACAGTTGCAAGAAAACTATTTTTTTTTTTAATGTACAGTTGCAAGAAAATTAGTTAACTCCTATATCAGTTTTGAACTGTCTATGTACGGATACTGATGTTTGTAATAATTAATGAATGATAGAGAGACCTTTATAAATATTTATTGCACCTAGTGTAAATTAGTGACGTTTAAGGCCGTCACATGGCGACCCCCTATGAATTCGTAGGGGGTCAGTATATTTTATAGGGGTTTCATGACGTCACGTCTACCATCATGGTTATTGTATTTCATTGTTTATACAAAACTTGACAGGAAAAGTCCCGTGTGTAATAAATTCGTTATCATTTTGCCACTGACCATCCATGGGCCTCACCCCTTATGGATTTTACCAACCCTCTAATATTTGAGTTGCATTTAATATGGAATTACTGTAAAAGAGTAATTTTGAAAGCACTTGTCTTCATCTGGTACAGATTTTGAGGATTTTGTAGAGTTGTTTAAATCTTCAGCAATGGATTCAAACACCCTGGATTTTTCACAAAGAACTTAAATGTGAATCCATTGATAATAAAAGTGGTAATGTTTTTAATTCAATATACTGATACTGTGGGTATCTATTCTTGTGGATTGGGGGAAATTTGTATTTTCGTGGATATTGGATTTCGTGGTTTTGTTAAAGTCTGTAAACATGACTATAAAAAATTTATACTTTGTTGAACATTTAAATTTATGGTTCACATTTACCCAAGAAATCTACGAAAATTTGTATCCCATATATAATAATGAATCCACAATTAAATAAAGCAATCCTGAAAGAAATATTATATATGTTTTAAGATTTTTAATACTTGTATTTTCAGATTGCTTTACGGGATTCATTACTGAAAAGACACAAGGCAAGAAGATAAAAGAATTAAAACAGTTTTAATTTTAAAAGACATAAAATTTATTATTAAAGTATGGTAAACAAATGTTTCTTATTTAAATATGCCTGTCCTACAACTGGACACTGACAATTTTAAATATCAAATAAACTTGGGATTGATATGAAGCAAAGCAACTGCTTGCTGCCATACCTTATTTTATGCTCATTTATATTGTTATGGGACAAGTTACAAACTAAGTAATACTTGTAACATAATTGGCTAAATGGCCAATGTAATGGTTGCATAGCAGGCAAATCGGCCAAGGCACTGGTTTAATGATCTTGTTTGATACTGTGAAACTGTTTACTGATTTAGTGGTATTAACCATATGTGGATTCTAAAAAACAAAAGAACTTCTGGATAATTTTGAATCTCTGAAATTAATTCTATCAAAACTTTTGATTTTCAACCCTGTATATATCGCCATTCCCCATGTGAAATTGAAAAATCATCTCAAAGAAATACTCCACAATGCTTTTCAATATAAATCTGTAGCATATGCTTTAAATTTATTACTTTGGAATACCATACTGCATATTTTGGTAATAGTGAACAAAAGGTAAAACAGTATGCTGGAGTTTCTTATTGACAACATATTTTTGAATTTGGAGGTAAATTTTTTAGTCCCCTACTGACGAAGTCGAAGGGGACTTTAGGTTTGCACTCCGTCCATCCGTCTGTCTGTCTGTCTGTCTGTCCATCTGTCAGTCCGGCAAATAAGTTTTCCAGACTTTTTTTCTTCGTGCTTGAAGATATTGATTTGATATTTGGTTTATGGATTCATCATGACAAGTTACAGGTCAAGTTCAATTTTCACGATTTTAGCTTTTCTCTTTGTTCAGTTAAAGTTCTTTCCCTAGAATTAAATTTTTGATGAAATACTTATTAATGAGTAGAATTCTGTTCAAAGGAAAATTACTCATTTTTTAAAAGATTTAAAAGACAAAATGACATTTTGGATTTTTTTCCTTTTCTTTGGTAATTTGTTTGAAGAATTTAGTGGTAGGTTTGTTTGTCATTCTTGAAGATATTGATTTGATAATTAGTATAGAGTTTATCATGACACCTTACAGATCAAGTTGGAATCTTGTTCCAGTCTGATAATTTTGTGCAGAGTTATGGTCTTTAGACATGGAAAATTCACTTAAATAATCAGTTTTCAACAGTTTTTTTTCGTCATGCTTGAAGATTTTGACTTGATATTTTTATGTAGTTTACACCATGACAAGTTATAGATCAAGTTAGAATTTCGTTCCATTACAATGAATTTGTAACCAGTAGGGGACTATGTATTGCCATGCAATACTCACAGAATGCTTGTTCCAACAAATTTTCGGCAATCCTATGGGAACGAACTGTGCCCCTCTCCTTGCCGACCTCTTTTTATTTTCATATGAGTCGAAGGTCCTTCAGACACTTGGTCAAAACAAGTAGATCAAAGAAGCCAGATTATTTAATTACATATTAAGATATATTGATGATGTGCTTTCCATTAACAATCCAAACCTTTTTGATTGGGTTCCATTAATATATCCTCCAGAACTAAAAATTAAAGAAACAACAGACACAGCTTCCTCCACCTCTTTTTTAGACTTATACCTCTAATTTGAGGTAAGCTGTCATCTTAGTACATGTACCAGAATCTATGACAAACGAGACGATTTTAATTTTGAAATTATCAATTTTCCCCACCTTATAGGCAATATACCTCCATATGGGATATACATTTCCCGACTCATTTGGTATTCAAGAGCTTGCAGCTGCTACCCAGATTCTATAAAACGTCACCAGTGTCTGAGCAGAAAGTTGATGAACCAAGGGTTATTTCAAAGAACGTCAGGTCTTTTTTTTTTTTTAAAAGTTCATCTGAAGATACCAAGACCTTGTTGATAAATATTCCGTATCAACTTCACAGATAATACATGATGGTCTTGAAGTATAGATTCTAGGTACTGACATTGTTTATCATCTTAATCACGTGTTATAATGTTCTTTTATTTGTCTTTGTAAATTGTTAACCTTTACTGTTTAGTCAATCTTAGGTAATATCCTTTTGGCGTGGCTGGGAACTTATGCATCCCCAAATGTTTTCTTGTGCTGGGGTCATATTTTGCATTCTTGTTTTTCTTTTTTGCATATATGCTTTGTCTATATGCGACTTTGTTGGTTTTTTTTGTTGACATATTTGTTTGATTTTATAGTGATTAAGATAATAACCCAATGTTGACTGCTGTACCCCTTTTTTTTTGTCATTCATACCTATTATGTCTGTTTGTTTTGTTGACACATAAATTGTCGATATAATGGAATTTTATGCCACTGTCATACAAGTGAGAGGTTTAGCTAGCTATCAAACCAGATTAAATCCACCATTTTCTACAAAAGGAAATCCCTGTACCAAGTCAGGAATTTGACATTTGATGTGTTTGATTTTTTTATTTTGCCATTTGATAAGGGACTTTCCGTTTGGATTTCCCTTGAAGTTCGGTATTTTTGTTATTTTTCTTTTTAAAATGGTAACAGAGAAACTGTTAAACATTGACTTACTTAGTACAGGTGCAACCTATAAGTTTTTAACAAGATTTATTTAAGCTTTATAACCTTTTTGTTATGTTTATCTTGTCCACATCGTATTAAGAGTGGTAAAATATCTAGGTCAATCATAGTTGGTCCATTTATTCAATAAGAAGGCCATTTATAATTTTTAGTGTTTCTGACAACAACAAAACCCTTCTAGTATAAGTATACATTGTTTTTTCATCAACAGTTTCTCGATAACTCTTTTGATAGGCTCATTTACCAATCAAGAATTATGCTTTGTGAAACAAAATAAAATAGCTTCTTGGGATAACTTTATCTTGCTTTGGAAGTCCATTATATTTGGCTCCCTACGACCTTTTAAGTAAGGTTATACTGCTTGTAGTTAGTATTATGTTTGGGTTTTTTTTCTTATTAAAAACCACTTTGAATAAAGCATGTTTTATCTACCCTTGTACTCTAGTTGGTACACATTTAATAATTAATAATATAGCAAGTCAACTAAATCTCTTGATTTATGGTAATGTGTTTGCATTGAATGCAGGAGGTCATTGGTTTGATCACAAGCCAGGTCAACCCACGTTTTAAAATTTGTTTTTGCTACTTTTTCACTAAGCACATGACAATTTGAAGTAAATTAAGAAACTTCTTGTCTTGGATGAATAGATAATGATATATATTTCAGTTAAATGTTTGTTACATTGGCTTGTGTGCTTATTTTGTATCTCCAATTTCTTGTATTTCACCGGGTTGTCTCGTGTATATTAACCCCAAGTTATTTTATTGTATTCCACTGTTTTCTATATATTTCTTGTTGATAAAAAAGTAAGAAACAAAACACCTTTATTTTCTGTATTTGTAAATAATTTGTAACATGAATAATGATAAACCATAAACAAACACAACCTTAATGACTGTTTACACAATCTTTAAAAACATACAATAATAAACTGTATATTATCTAATCAGTAGAAAGTTCTGCATTTGAACTGTATAAACAAATAGATATTGAACACATACATATAGCCATCATTGATACTGTTTTACATCAGCTTTACTTTCAAATGAAATTTAAGTTTATTTGCAAAGTATTCATTACATATAATAGCACCAACATTAATTCTTTTAGCAACTTCAATACATCACACATATTATGTAGTTAAACATTGACTTTAGGAGAGGAATGATGAAAAACCAAATAAAGGGAATTTCAAAAATAAATGTATTTTAAGATTTACTTATATAGGGGTTTAAAATTATGTAAGTGCTAAAAATAAGAAGATATCAATTAAACTTTAAATATAGGACATATTGCATCAATTGCATAAAGAGTATAAACATTGTACTACAAAACGTTACAATTATTAGAAAAGAAACTATCAACTGAAAGTGCAAAAATATAGTCTTAAACTTGTCATTGGAAATGGTGATGGGGCAATTTCCCCTTTCAAGCCAATCCCTATCTAAAATAAAACTGATGCACATTAACATTTAGCTCAAAGATGAAATAACGCTTTTAACTATTCAATTCTTTTGAAAGTTTATACTTTTTACTTCTATCATTATTATATACGCCCCATAGTGATCATTCTGTCAGTCCGTCAGTCCGTCCTTAACAAATTGTGTCCGCTCTATATCTAAAGAACCGTTATGATTTCAAAGTTTATACTTGACATGTATATTAACCAACATCAGAGGGTGTGTCATAATGTATGTACAACATCCTAGGTCAAAGGTCAAGGTCAAAAACTGCTTTTAGTTGACAACCCCATGTCCTATGGTAAAGATCGTGTCCGCTCTATATCTTGAGAACCGTTATGATTTCAAGGTTTATACTTACTATGTATATAAACCAACACCAGAGGGTGTGTCATAATGTATGAACAACTTCCTAGATCAAAGGTCAAGGTCAAAAACTTTGGTTTTAGTTGACAACCCCATGTCCTATGGTAAAGATCGTGTCCGCTCTATATCTTGAGAACCGTTATGATTTCAAAGTTTATACTTGATGTGTATATAAACCAACACCAGAGGGCATGTCATAATTTATGTACAACTTCTTAGGTTAAAGGTCAAGGTCAAAAACTTTGGTTTCAGTTGACAACCCCATGTCCAATGATAAAGGTACAAAATTTTTACCACACATTATTCACAGCGGGGCCCACAGAGATGGCTCCCATCTCAATGATATCTAGTTTTATGCTATCTCCACATTTTCATCATCATTTCAAGATATTTTCATATTATTATCAGGATTTCATGTTATTTCCAATTATCATGTTATGTTTGCTATTTTCACATTTTTATCAGCATTTCATAATTTTTTACACATTTTTATCAACATTTCATGCTATTTTCACAATTTTGATCATCATTTTAAACTTTTTTTCACATTTTTATCAGCATATTCTGCTGTTTTCACATTTTCATCATCATTTTATGCTAGTTTCACATTTTCATCATCATTTCATGCTATTATTAAATTGCCATCATCATTGAAACAGTAACTGCAGACTCCAACAGTAAAACATCATTGCATAATATTTTCACATTTTCATCATTTCATGCCATCAGCATTTGAATTGTGTTGACAAAGATTATGAAATAAATGATAATAATGACTAATATATTACACTTACATTACACATACAAATGTACTAGAAATTATACTAAAATAGTAATTTTATTTTAATAACAAACAAAAACAATTATACAAGTAAGAAAATATCAATTTTGCAATGTAAGATCTTAAACCTTAAGACTATAACTATACAAATTAAACTTGATTAAAGCACCAATTACATGTGAGATATATGGAAAACAAACATTAAAAGCATTGTAGATTTTTGCAGAGTGCACAACCAAGGGAGAACTCATCACCAGTTGGAGGGTGTTGCAGTCCAAGAGGGCATTCAGTTCCTGTTAACTTTTTCCCGAGGGGAGCTGAAAAAAATGCATATTTATAGGTTTATAAGTATTGTACAAGTAACATACATTTTTATTTGACTCCACCTGTAGTGTAATTTTTCACACTATTTGGTATTACAAAAACCGATGTTTATACCCTCCCTACTGTAAAAGATACCATTGAACTGGTAAACTTGATCAAAAATTTTTAAAATGAATAAATTATATAAGATATGTCATGTTCATTACTTGCATTACTTGCATGCCATACAGTTTTTGGTTGTTCAGTTCAAATTTTTTAGAAGCTTTACACTGAAAATTGACTCACCTGCTGGGCATTGTGGTAATTGCGGTTTTGACATGTTGGTGACAACAGTGTGGTTGTTATGACAAGTGTTACAGAAGTGTGTAGTTCCAAAACAATAGAAAACTGCTATAGAACAACAGTAACGGCACTTGAACTCAATAAAATCCTTTCCATGTTTTGGACATTCCTGAAATAGAAAATATATGACATGATGCTTCTATTTACTTCCACAAATTTTGATCAGGGTATGATTACCCTTCCGGATCACATCACATCATATAACAATTGATTATTATTTTGTTTTCTTGTGTCAATGTATGATGTTGTTCTTGTCATCTGTTTGGGGGTTGTTGCTGTCTTTATTATCAAATATATTTTCAATTTTGGTTCATTCAGGTATCAAAAGAATTATGATTTTTAGTAACACTTAAGACCTTAAGTAACTTTTTCTATTTTGCACATGTTAAACTGTCCTTTAATACTTTGGTAAAATTCACAGTTCTTTTTCTAACATTCATCCTCAAAATAGTTTGATTTTTTGATAAGAGAAACAAACCTCATTTTCTCCAGAATCACTATTTAAAAAGTAAAATAACAAAAATACCGAATTCCGAAGAAAATTCAAAACGGAAAGTCTCTAATCAAATGGCAAAATCAAAAGCTCAAGCACATCTAACGAATGGATAACAACTGTCTTATTCCTGACTTGGTACAGGTATTTTCCATGTAATCTAAATGATAGAGGCAATAATGTTTGTTATTCTGATATGTGAGGTTACGGATTGAAACAAAGGTATGTTCATTTTTAACATACTCACATTACTTGAAACATTAGTCATAAATTTTATCAACTGGACCATTTGTCTGATCTAAGTATGAATTCAAATGCGAAAAGACTTCGTGGATTAAATAAGCGAACACATCACCCCTTATTATACCATTGTTATAGCTAAACTATTTCATAGACCCTATAGAATGAGTATGCTAGTTTTACAACGTGTTTGGGGATAAATAAACTCATCAAAGATACCAGGATTGCAATTTTGTATTTGCGACAGACGCGCGATTCGTCTGCAAAAGACTCATCAGTGACGCTCGAATAAAAAAAAGTTAAAAAGTCCAAATAAATGACGAAGTTGAAGAGCATTGAGGACCAAAAAATCCTAAAATTTGCCAAATACAGAAGGTAATCTTTCCCTAAGGTAGAAAAGCCTTAGTATTTCAGAAATTTTAAGTTTTGTAAACAGTTAATTTATAATCGCCTACCTGTTCTCTAGAAATATCAACACACCCACCACAGACAAGATCTGCAGGATTAAAATCGTCATCATGGTCGTGTTCACATCTACCTTCACCTCCATAATAAGCCTGAAATAATAAATATACTGTGGTTTGAAAATTACCAAAATATGTTAGAACTGATACTACAGTGTATTAAATAAAGGCAATAGTAGCATACCTCTGTTCAATAGTCATAAATAGATTAAACTGAAACAAATCCGGGTCACAAACCAAAACTGAGGGAAACGCATTAACTATAAAACGAAAACAACGGAACAACAGAAACACTGAACTGCTACAAAAAACAAACGCCATCATACATATTAAAATCAATGGGACAGTGTTCTTATAATAGTTCGGGTAACATGTGTAAAGAATTGAAATACGTATCCTTGTTTGCCTTGTTAGTTATGTAACATTAAGTAACCTTTGATAGAGGCTATACTTACATCTACACCAAAGGCAATTTGTTCCAAAAAATATATCATAAAATAATGTTACAAAAACCTTCAAAGAGCAAAGTAACTCTCCAACAACCCATTTAAATCGATATGATAGTCAATATTTTATTCATAACTCATTTGGACAAAAAAGAAAGAAGGTGGAAGTTATTTGTATCAGCTCATTATTTTGTACCTTTCCACATTTTGAACATTCATAATATGCATATCTTTCCATAGCATATCTTGCTGGATCCTGATAGAATATTCCACCTGGTTTGTTTATGGCATCACATTTGAATAGACCTTCATATTCTAGTCTTGTTAAAGATTTGGTCTTCACATCTCCGAACAAACAGTTAATAGGTTGTAGAACTTCTTCCAATGAAGGATGACTTACTCTTGTCTAAAATTGAGAGACATATGTTTTTTATTCTCAAGTTCAGATTAGTTTCGGAGATTATCAAACACAAATATATAGTATTACTCCATTAACAACAGCATATTTAGTCTTTCCCAAATATTTAAAAATCTCAATAGTTAAGTGTCAATACAATGATATTGACATAATATGAACATTTACGTGCATTTTATTGTGATTTTTAATGTTATTATTTGTATGCTTTGTAAAATGTAGTCTCCGTTAGTCGTTTTTGGTTTTATATTTGATCCTTATGGTTTTACTAGCTCTTCATTGTTTCAAGAGGCTTTGGATATTAAAGTAATTTGGTCTCTAGCAACACCAAAGGGATATTGATCGTCGAAATAGGCATCTGGTGCATTAAAATTGTTTCCATGAATGTTATTATAAAAACAGTTTGTGTGATTTTTCATTATAAAATAAGAAGATGTGGTTGATTGCCAATAACACAACTGTCCATCGGAGTAACTGTTCTTTTCATATCGTTTGATTTTGAATACTTTTGATGTATTTAACTTCTTAAATTTTGGATTGAAAAGTTGCTTAAACTATAAGTGAAAATGTACAATTAGTATCCAGGGTTTGAATAAGACATATCAGATAATACACACCTTGCAAATAGGACATAGTGAAAACCCGAATGTTATTCTTGGTCCAATCCATCGCTTCTCCAGAATCTGGCGTACACACTCGTAGTGGAATATATGATCGCATTCCAACTAAGTAATAAACACAAAAGACGTTACAATAATTTTTAATGTGAAGGCTTACCATAATACAAAAATAAGCATAATTTGTATATATTGATTAATAAATTATAATTAGAAGTTGGATGACATTAATCTTTCACATAATACGTGTAAACAAATTTAAAGTCGTTTTTTGATATGCATCGAAAACTATAGTTTCATTTTGCAATTTCATAACTCAAAAATAAAGCTGAGACGAATTTGACTATTTTCTATGTTCCTTATGGCCATACAGTTCTTATATTTTAACGTTTTTATACACCCTGGCTTCCAAATGTTCGGGTTTGAGCGTTCCTGTTAAAGGAAGATCCGGTGGTTATTTCAAAGTGTTATTTCCATTCAATACAATCATTTACCAAAATGTACAAGACCAAATCTAACGGTGGATAATATAGATAATATTTACATTTCTATATTCTTATACCTTTATACATGGGAATGAAGGCAGTGGTTCTGTATAGCATATCATACACATATCATTTGCTGTGTGTTTTTGGTTTGCATTGTTACATGAAAGGCAAGGGACACATGAATTTTCATCTTTCAGTCCCCTGCATGGATGCCCGTGCATACAGATCTTTCCACAGAACTCCTGAAAAAAGGTGATGTATTGATTAATTTAACTATTTTAATATTGAAATGCCATGACTGTCTTGTTAATTGCAAGAACAACAATGGATTAGTTTCTTCATTTTATTGCACATTTGGCTCAATGGACTTTCGATGTTGTCATCGACTTTTCATGAAAATGACAGTTCTAGATCTGTTCCAACATTACGCCAAAAGAAAAGTTTTCAAATACAGACTTTATGATTTATCAGATGAAAATACGAGTACTTAAAGTCCAGGCAAAAAAAATTGGGGCAGAAATTCAATTCAGCCACGGGCCCGCGATGACCTGCGATGTTTTCGATGTGTTCTAGTATATAATATATAAATAAACTTTGAGACAACTATCCATAGATCATAGGACAAAGACTTTAACATTTACAGCTTACAGCTTACAGCTTATAACAGTATACGATCTTCGACAATGCGCAAAACCCAAACTTAGTAAGCTATTAAAGTATATTGTATGTCAACTACCGATAGGTTTGAACGTTGTTTTCAATTTAGACTTTCTAACAAACGATCTAGTATATATATATGCATGATGTTGACACCATTTTATTTATTCGATGTATTTTTGCTTCCAATATATTGCGTAATATTCTGACTTATAGCACATATTCAGATACATTTTCTTTGGGAATGACATCTTTGAATGAAATCATAAAACTTACCATTGTGTGATGTTGAATATATGCTGCTGTTGTGAAATACTGTACATAAAGCAGTAAATGGATATTTATACTGTATATGTCAGTTCTAAATATAGATATAGAATTTCCTATTTTAAATACATTCACAAAAATCAATAGTGAAAGTAGAAAATGTTTGAAAACAAAATATGTGTAAGATTGTACCACTTAAACAAAATACTGCATATTTGAGTCTGTGTTTATAAGTTCAAACTTATTTTCTCAAAGATAGTCAAAAACAGCTTTGGTGTGACATATTTTCAATCGATCATATCTGCAAATTTCAGCCTTGATCTGTACAATGAAATCCAGTCTGAAAATTTTCAGTGAACACGATATCCAATCAGCCTTTCAGAAATTTAATGTAAATAACAAAGTAACACGTACGCACTCACACACACACATACATATACGAGTGATCAATCTGCACTATTAAAACAATTATAATAAACTATTCCGTGTATAATAATACTAGTATTTGTAGCATATGTGATATAATTTTATTTGTTTGATTTTGATTTTTTTTTATTTTTAATGGAGTACAAAAGCGTTGACATAAGCGCATATTTTGTATGAAGCACTTTCGGGAAATATAAGGATGATCAAAATCTATGACAAATTTATGAAATGTTATTTTCATTGTATATCATAACATAGAAAATTCATGAAAAAGTGCAAGTTTGGTCGAGAAGGAGTTCAGTGTTCATTATGTTTCAAACTAAAATACTTATTCCGATATCATCATGTTCTCCTGATGATTCTTGTTTACTTAAGTCTCGCTTCCAGGGGGGGGAATGTAAACCTGGTTTCTTTGATGAAATTTTACACGTGAGTTGAACTCACTTTCCCAAGTAAATGTACACAGACAAATAGATCCGACAGTTGAATTCTCAATCACTGTACAGCGTAAAAAAGTGTAAAAAATAGGATGAAATCTTACTATCATCGTGGTATTTTTTTATTTAAAAAAGAACAAGGATACACCAAGGTACAGAAATAATGCAAACGTTTCCTACGAAGCATACAACACTCGCCATACAAAACTATATTCAATTAAAAAATGTCATGGGGAAGAGGAAACAGCAGTCCACAAAAACTACACGCGGATTGAACTGTTTTTACGATAAATGTAACACAATCAATACTGATTAAATATTATATTGAAACTACATCCTTACATTTAAAAAAAAACTGTATTACTTTTGTATTTGAAATTATACATGGTAATCCATCTGGTCTTTTTGCATGTTTTATTTATAGAATTGCATTAGACATGTTAGAAGCTTGTTACGTTGACACTTAAAAAGGTTTACATGTATCTTTGTTTCGTGCGTATTGGTAAGAAAATGTCAAAATTCCTACGTTCAAAATTCAAATATAAAGCTCTAACCGTACATCACTTTTCAGAGAGTTCCACATAAAATCGGACAGATCATGATGATATAAATAACAGAAATCTACATATATTTCCACAACTAAGTTTTAGAGCTTGCATACCTGTTTCTTGTTATATCAACATAAAACTATGGTCTTTGTGTGAATACTTAGTACAACCAAACAAAAATGTAAATTTTAAGGAAGTTCTTTTAATTTTGATTCGTTTAGGACGAGAAAGCGGGCAAAATTCTGCACTGTATATAGATGAACATATTTTGTTTAGTTATTATGAACTTTTTACAGCTTCGCTTACCATATGGTATCAGCTTTTACTCATTATTGAAGGTGGAAGGTGACTTTGTCATTTGGTCTATGGGTAGTTTTTTGTCGCATTGACAATCATACCACATACCCCACATTTGTAAACATACAGTATGCAGACATGGCAAAGTAAATGTCATGTCAAGAAAGACTGCAAAATCATCCGTATAAACGATGCAAATAAGAAGTGCAAAAGTACCTGATGTGATTTACTTTATGTGAGTTTCATAAAAAATTGAAAAAGTAGGACTTACGGATGGACTGTTGCATAAACATACGGACATCACTATATTACTATATAAAAAAACTTGGGAGGATCATATTACGTTTGTTTAGAACTGCATATAAGCGAATACGATGAACTCATAGTTAAACCAAATGCGAGGAAAGATATACAAAAAGTAAAACGCTTGGAACGATTAATTGAGTTCTGATGTTTTATGCCATATTTAGCATCTGGCTATTTCGTGGCGGTCAGTTTTTATTAGTTGAGAAAGTCGGAATACTTTGGAGACACGAAAGTGAATAATGAATGAAAAATATGTCAGAGAAAAGCAAGACATTCATTGGTTAAAAACAAAAAGAAAAACAACAATCACAAAACACCAGACTGAACATAAAAAATTATCTTGAGCAACATTTACACTTCCTAGTCATTTACCAGTTTGAATACATGCAGAAGCCTCGTTGTGTAAGCAATTTTGTCTGCACGTATACTTGATTTGGCATTCCAATTTTTTTCATTCGAGCAACACTGATGAGTCTTTTGTAGGAGAAATGAGCGTCTTGTGTACCAGATTTTAAAGCTGGCATCTTTGACTAGTTTACACCAAGGGATCCCCCAACACACGAAAGTGCCCTTCAATAAAAAAATTGTATGAGAATGACCACGATGGAAAACTATTTATTTGTAATGGGAATGTTTTGTTCCTTGGTATGAACCATAATTTAATGAGGAAAATATAAAATTGTGTGATATTTGAAAACTATTTGATAGTTTGTGAAACCCATATCTGTTGAATGAATAGTTTTAACTTTTGATTTTATATTTCATATTTTTTATAACTTTCATGTTTTGTTAATAACATTTTATTGTAGATAACACGACTTTTCTGATTAAAGAATCATAGAATCTTTAAATTCCATATCCCTTTAATGAGGTAGACTTGTTTTGAATTAAAAATCAGTATTATAGCTGTCGGTCATGTCGGATTTTGTTTATATATATAAAGACAGACCCCTGTCCCTGGTTCCACTTTATAAACTTGTCCATCTTCAGAGAATAATTGTACCCATTACATGAATTACTTTACCATGACATACTGGTTTTGTGTGTAGCAAAACAAAAAACTTATCCATCTAAAAATAAATATAAAGGTTCTCGAGGGAAAATGACGAGTAGTCAATTGAAATGTTGATATTAAATAAAGGATTAGAGTTTAAGAGTGAATTTTGCCAAAAGTTCAAGCAAATGTTTACAGCTCAATTAACGCAAAATATTTCGCATTTTCTTGGGACTTTTTTCGTTATAATTTTAAACTATTTCTTGGTTAAGACAAAGTTTATTTATAATAAGACATCGGCGTGATAAAAGCAGACTGTCAAGCTAAGATCATATATTTACAATATATTTGCATTTCAATCAGATCTTCCATATTTTAAGGTAATAATAGTATAACAAATAAGAATAAACCTTGTCAACACGCTGTTATATGTAATACTTATCAAGATAATGGCCAGAAGGAAAATAGTAAAGTATTACATATAACATTCGAACGGCGTGTTGACATTGTAGCATGATGCATGCCACCTAGATGTTGTTATTGCTTTTTAACATACAATCATATTAAAATACAAATATGTGTTCACACCTTGCTTGCCTTGTAAGCGGAGCATTGACAAAGTATCAGATTGGTTATTATACATGTTATGGTTATACTATCCAAAGATTCTTTTAATAGTTCAACGATCTTGACTGATAATAATAGACTTCTTATTTCTCACTTGGAGTATGAATAAAAGAAGTTGTTGAACATGTTGAAGGGAACTTAAATATTTATTCTCTTTTAAACCAAAAGGTATCTAGAGATTTTTCGAATCACCAGCCGCGTAGAAACGAATATCGGTTATTACCCTCATTTCTAACTTAAGACGAGGGTAACTTAAAAAAAAGATGGTTATGTCGATGGGTTTTTTTTCGGTCATGTTAAAACATTCTTTTTAATTCCCTGATTCTTACAAAGACTGACACTGGAATATGACAGTCGTTGTCCATTCGTTTGATGTGTTTGAGCTTTTGATTTTGCCATTTGATTAGGGACTTAATTTCCGTTTTGAATTTTCCTCGGTGTTCAGTATTTCTGTGATTTTACTTTTCAAATAATTTTAGATAGCTTAGTGAAACTTTAACTTATTCCTCATTTTGTTAACTGGATGTTCAAAGGAAAAATCGGTTATTTAGGGATGTACGGCGGGCGGACATCCGGGCGCGGTCGGCTGCTAAACTGTGTCCGTTCATAAACATGAAAACGCTTTGACGAAGTCTTTTCAAATTTTGATGTGTTGTTTCCTGTGACTAAATAAAGGTCAAATTTGCTTTTCGCGATTTTAGATTTTATCGTTGTTGATTTGTAGACCTTTCAATAGCGAAAAGTGATTCTTAGAGCGTTGTCCGTGCAATAACTTGATAACGCTTTGACAAAATCTTTTTGAAATTTAGGTATGTTGTTTCCGGTGACTAAATGAAGGTCAAGTTTTATTTTCACAATTTTAGCTTTTATCATCGTTGAGTTTTATACTTTTTACTTCATACTTAGATTGATTTTGGCATTTCTGAACCCTGCAAAAATCCATAAGTTTTTTTTACTTGATCCTGTTTGGGGGTCCTGATTTGCAAATATCATTTTCATGCAGGAAAATCCGGTTTGCTGTCACTCTGACAGCCTCTTGTTTCATACAATTTGACTTAACGTTTTACCAAAAATAGCACTGTCATAGGCACCGGGTGGAGGAGTGGGTAATTGCTCCCCCTTGGAACTTATTTTTTGCCAATATTTTTAAACAAAAATTGCAAATAATTGTAGATAACTACTAGACTATTTGATTTTCTAGGGGGAGGCAGGAGGATTTTGATAATGAATATCCTGGCCCGCAAGAGCTGTAAATGAATAACTTTGAATATCAAATGGTTGCTCGCTTAATTTATTTCTTTTTGACGGAGTTCAGTATGCATAAATACTTATTCCGGCCATGTTCTTCTGATGGTTCTTATGTAAACAAAACTCGCTTCTTGAGGAAAAAAATATATAAGCCTGGTTTCTTAGAACTCATTTTCACGATATGTTTTTTTCTATGT